GAACTGACGGCAGGCCGTCTCCTCTATATGCAAAGTGCGGAGGTTCATGATGCGTGTGTGAGTACCTCTTGTCGGCTATCGCCGACGGTAAGCGCGCTACAAAGTGGTTTGAGACGCACCTACCGGTCGGAAACGCCTTTTTTAAAAAAAACGATCCGCTTACAGCGTTGGAAACCATTTTTCGACTGATGATCTGTCTCTGTGTTTCCCCATGTTATAGTCACGTGGCTTTATACAAACATTAATGGTACAGTTACAAGTGTTACTCGCTCTTTTTATGTTGGCTAGAGCGTCTCCTACGCATTTTAATCACATGGCGCATTGCTGAGTATGCGCAGAATACAATGCCCAGGCATACTCCCATGAGCGTGAAGTGTTTGGAGCGCAATGTTAGAGGTTGTGTCTCCGATTCTTGGCACGCGACATATTCGTTATTGTCGAAGTAATCACATTCCAATGTTTCACTGTCTCGTGTATGTCTTAATAACATTCCGATTTTGCAGTTATATTGATAGTAGCTAAGCTCTCCTTCGAAAACGATGGACGCCAGAGGTCGAGTTCGACAGAAGTTTTCCATACCTACCATCCACATAGGATTAGACATTGCTGTAGCGAATGAGCATGATTTTTGTCCACGAGGGCAACCACACGTCACTCCCTTTGATGTCATGATTTTTTGTGACTTGTATATATGGCATGTTGCGTCTTCGACAGCTGCATTTCGAAGCTCTGGATGTTGTCGGTATGTTTCTTCGAGCCAATTATTGGCTCGGTCATCATTCTCTCCTTTATGTGCTTCATAGTCCAATATGTGGATGGTTTCGTCCGTTTCACTAAGGCTGTCTACCCATCTACCTTTTTCACAGCCGCCCAAGTGTAGACAGAGTTCGAACTGCAGTGTTCCTTCTCCTACATGGAAGAATGAGTTTTCTGCATCTTTAGCCACTTTTCGTGTCCTGTAGCGTGTGGCTACGGACTCGAAGTCGTTGCAATCGGCCGTGCACTCGGACCATTCGCTCCAATTAGCATAGCTTTCTTTTTCGGTAGGGAACCTACACATAACATATCCGCTACCCGCTTTACGTGAAGGTACAAATTTACATTTTTCTTTGAAGCGTTCAGCCGTATCTGGCATGGGTTCTATTGGTATCCTTGGCGTGGCGGTCGTTGTTGGTTCTACTTCTCCGAGCAAGGATGCCATACACCATGTCATGGAATTGTGGTTCTTAAGCAGTTCGTTGGCCTCACATTGCATGATAGCGTTCTGTGTGAGTATGGCACATGCTTTTTTGTCGATTTGTTCTGTGTCGAATGTTGAGACGTAGACGCGATAGTAGTCCACATCGAATGTGGCGTCTAATGTAGACGGTAGACGGCAACCATATTTATTGAATAGGTGCGACTCATATGGTAGTTCTCCAGTAAGTCGTTGTTTCACACACCTTAAAAAGGACTCATGACTCGAAGCACACCTCGTTCTCATAGTTCGGCATAGTCCCATGCATTCTAGATCCGATGCGTCTTTGCCTGCCGCTGCTGCAGTTGCGCAGTCGTAATTATGTGGATACTGCTTTACTGGATTTTCTACCGTTGGCCGAAGTGCAGCATATATGGGTCCATGTCGACAGAAGTTTTCCAGTTCTCCCGTCTTGAACTGCGTGTATGTGAATGTTTCATTTACTTCAAGTGGGCAGTGCAGGCGTTTGTTATCTGCCAGAGAGACATAGGTTAGTGAATCTGGTGTTGCATTTTCCTTTGAAATGTTGAAAAACGACTGTTTATAGTTTAAGCTGGGGCAGAAACCTGATTCTATAAGATCTCGGAATACTTCACCACGGGTGTAGTGTATTTCTTTAGCTGTACATGGTACGGAACCTGGGATAGAGCAGTGGCAGCTCTGGTTTTTATCGTTGACCCACGAATTATCCTTTACTGAGTACGCGGCCCTTGATAGGAAGCATTTATTGCGGAACAAAGTATGCATCAACTGTATCGTTCTTTCCTCCTCTTCTGGGAATATACATTTAAAGAAGAACCCACCAGATTCCAGTGAATCTGCTTTAAGTCTGGCAAAACATGACATATTACTAGTTTCCTTTTCATCTCTGCACAATGAAACTAGTCGTGAACATTCTCTTCGGCATTCTGCATCTTCTACTTCCGAGAAGAATGCACTCTTGACAGTATCACAATTTATTCTATCGACGAGTCCACATTTTTCTTGTTCAAGGCATTTGCGTGACTCCGTCTCGTCAGCCAGGTCGTATATACTATGAGGATCACAAGCGCTTGACAACTTGTACTCATGTCCTTCTTCATCATCACATGCTGATGAGCATCCGGACCATTCTGACCATAGCAGGCAGTGTTCTGATTCTTGTGGTCCTTGGGTTTCGAAAAAGGAAGTACCATCTATTGGTTTTCCTTTCCCACTTCTTCTGCGTTTCCTCCGTTTGAAATTTTCTTCAGATCGATCATTAGTACTATCCAAAGGTTCGTCTGTTGACTGTTGTTCGTCGCCAACTTTAACAGTGTTCTGTGTCTCCAAAAACCCGTAACCATGTTCTAGGTCCATGTCATCCCCTAGATCACCACCCAGCGCTTGTGTATCATAATCTTGTCCATAGAAATCATCTTCTTCCTCATCCCATGTTGATATTACTTGATCTTTAGACATGCATCCTTGTATTTCCGTCAATTGTACGTCGTCACAGCGTCGACTATAAATTTTGATAAAACGTTCTCTCTGTTTTGTATTATTTGAACAAGAAGACCATTCTCCCCATTCTGTGAGTTGACATATATCTCTACAATTCGGTATTTCATAGTTTGTGCATTCCTTCACTTCCTCAGTGACACACTGTCGTCCATCTCCAGATCGTGGTCGTATTACATACCTGAACCGTCTTTTGACTACTCTTCCATTTGCTGGCATACATTCTGCGCTACATGGACTCCATTCTGCCCATTCTGATTCGATACAATCTACCGATTCTGGTTCGTCACCAATTTCTTCAGGTATTGGTAACGTATCAGCGTAGTTTTGCATGATTACATGTCCATTATATATACATAGCCCGTAAACATGTTTCTTGTCGAAAATTGTTTCCACAGGTACCGGTTTTGCATCTTTGGTATAGTGGTCTCTCATTGATTCTAGTGACTTCCATATAACACTTGTTCCTTCTTTGATTCCGTCACATAAATTGAATGATAAGTGCATATCGATTACAACCAGTATATCGTTACTGTTTTCTATCTCCTCACATATCCTTTGAGCTTCCCCTATCCAAAAAACTCGTTGTTCATGTACCTGTTCGATCGTCATGGCATCATACATTCCGGCACATACAGATCCCTTTAACTCATAATTTAGAAGTTGCACTGCGTCTGCAAACATGTGTTTACGCTCTTCTTTTTTTTTCTGCTCAGATGCTAGGCCTCCCATTATACATTCTCTACCCATGTAAGATTGTACACAGTTGAGATCTCCTTTACATCTATTTCTGAGTGTGGTACATAAACGTTTGCATTCCATATCTTGTTTCATGATTCTATTTTTAGGTGATTTATGTATTTCCTTGCTGTTTTTTGAGTACGCCGAGTTACAACTTCCATATCTGAATTCATTAAGGGCTTCACCTGAGTCAACTGTGATAGCATGAACGGCTAAGAAAGCGACGTTTGGGGTTCCCTCATATTCGAATTGGACTAGTGATATAGGTTCCGCTTTGCAGGCAAAATTCCATTCTGTTGCTGACGTTATATTTGACCAGCATGTAGCTTTTGGTACGGCCGCTCTATTGCGATTATAATATGGTGTGAAAAATACCAGTGTGTTTTCTAGATCGTGTGTTTCCAGGTGGAAACTATCTTTTTTTGGGTGTATGGCTGGTGAGGACACTGGTACAGTACCGAAGGTCACCGTCTCTTGTTTTTTGAAATACTCCATATCAACTAGTAGCAATGCGACAGCGTTATCCTTTGACTTTTCACCTGGTTTGGCTGCATTGGCTACAGCCTTTGGTGTTACCTCCACGATTATTCTATCTTTTTGAACGGATAGTATGACAGAAGTGGTAATATTTGGCGTTAACTCTTGGACGAACAGTGCAATATTATCCGACCAAATACTATCTTTATTGTCATCGGCTTCTATGGTGAGTGTTCGTGTTTCGATTTCTTCAAAATTGAGTACTTGTAGGTGTACATGGTATGCACCAAACTGTTTTAGTTTTGTGTCTTCTCCTAATACAAACCATGCAACGTAATAGATTGGTTCTGTATTATCGCCATTCCTTGTCTCACTAATATCCTGTGGTTCTACAGATAGTGTAAACGAGGTTTCATGTAGATTTTGTATTTTGACCCTCCCATATCTTGGTTGTGCTTCATCCGATAATATTTGTGCGAATACGGTGGGTTTACTTATCCTTGAGAATTTGACTGTTTTATCGGTTCTGGCTCTTACTGCAACCAATCCTGATGAGACTATCATGTTCGGATCGACATTTTTTCCAAATGTGAATATACAATTTTCATGTAATTCTTTATACTTTTGATTGAAACAAGCGATGTTAACAAGTTTTCCTCCTGCTTTTGGATTACTTTTCGATTGAGTGGTTGGCGTGGCGCACGCAGCTGCCTTTTGTTTACAAAGGTCTACGCATTGTATTGGAGACAACTTGGAATCATGATTGAGTCTAGTGTGATGACAATATACGACATCATTTTCTTTATGATTTGCAGCATCTACTGCTAATAGCAGTAGTGTCGCTAAAATTAGCGTTGTTTTCATTTCTTCAGATTCATTGTCGCAGACCGCATTGGTGTGTACCAGCTACAGAGCCGTTATCGGCTGTGTTACGTTACGTTGTAACGATGTCTTATATGTTATTATATTGTGAATTGATATTCATGTCAATGTGTGCTTCCAGTACCTATTAAGTCGAGAAGTTTAATTTCCCCACGGTACACGACATCGGTTAATACCGCGGTAACTACATCATGATTCTGTAATCAAACTTGCATATAGGACAGACGGTACTCCTTGACAACCATTCATCGATACATCCTTTATGATATCCGTGTGTGCAAGCTAGCCTTCTTATAAGTTGATCTTGTTCATATGCATCAAGGCATATAGAGCATTGTTTTGCGTCTTCGTTCCATGTCTCTGCTGCGGCTGCATCGAAATCTGTCACTGGAAACTGTGATATGATATCATCTGGCAGCCCTAGCAGTTCCGGCACTGCGTCTAAGCTGTCCATGTTGTCATAGAATACTCGAGGTGGTTCTCCATATTGGAATTCATCGTCATCCATTTCACCACGTGGTGTATTAGCTCCTGCCATTAACTGTTCGTGGTAATCTGCAGTCTCATTGTTTGACACAATTGGTGCATATCGGCTATCTATTTCTGCGACATGTTCGCTCTCCAGATTATCCATATGTCCTGTTACTCTTCTTGCAGGTGTCACCTACGTATAATTAATCTATCAAAGTGTAAAAAATACCCTTGGTGATATTGTGAAGTTATGTTGGAAATCACGTAACGCTCTGTTCAATGCTTCTATATCACTCTGTGCTGCGGAGAAGTTACGATCCGACATGTAGTTTCTCCCAACAGGTTCACTGATTTGTCTTTGTTGTCTAGCGTAACCACCTCTTCCTCTTGACATATAATCACGATTCGGTATGTTGTCATCTGCATCATCGCAATGCGGCTGAATGGATGTGGTCCTCGATAGTACTGCTGTGACAGGTGCCGAGCAATCTATACCACTTGTTTAGTTGTGTAATGTTTGCAACTTACTGCGTGTAAAATGTGCTGGTGTATTTGATATAGAGTCTGTACGTGGTGTTCTTGACCCGCTTCCGTTACTGTAGTGTCTAGACATGTTTGCCTTAATAAATCTCATTGTGAGTGCCTCTCTGGCACTAGGCGGGCTTGCATTAATATCTACGATATGTGAAAGTTGTTACTTTGTTACTTACATGACCGTTGTGTTCTTGTTAATCTACTTGAATTTAATGTCAAATCACTTGTTTGTGCCCTGGCTGAACTAAATCCCACGAGATTTCCGAAACTTGGAATTGACGTCTGGTGTGTTTGTGATGCTAGGGAAATGTATATAAAACAGATGAGATAACTTACATGGTGAGTTCCATGTTGCTGGAACCGATCCCCTATATACTAAGGGCTGATGCGTGTACAAAGAGTTAAACCTGGATACAGACCTTACTTGACAATCGCCATTATTTCCCACAGGGCTGCTTTCAGGGCAGAATATACATTGTGTATGGTCTGTCTCTGGGCAAAATCTCCGGTAAGTAGCTTCTCTCCATCTCGGTGAACCTGTATCATATCTGCTGGAGTTAGCTGTTGGTGTGGCTGATGCCATTATATGTCTATTAAATGGTGATTCTAAATCGTGTTCCATTTGTTCTTGTTCCTGTAACGTGTCGTTTGATGTGTCGCTGGGTGACATATTTTGTGTTCTGTGTAAGAATCCGCGTGTAAGTTTAAAAATTCTTCAGCACACACTTAACACCTTCCTACTATTAACCTCTTGGCCCTGATTATACCTTGTATGCTGCTATACAATCACTTTTAATGCCTCCTAGACTGTTACATATCAGTACTTCCTTAATAGAGAGCTCTCGAAAGTTAACGTTTGTTATATTGATTCAAGAGGTCTATAACTCGAATATCAACCTTAATATTTGGTTACAATGGTCAAATTTCATATCCAAAACGTATTCTTGTTGCCCATGCCCGGCAGTGTGTCTCGCGGCGACGTTGTTTTTTTTTTGACTCAATGACAGATTATTAGACTAATATATTGATATGAACATGGTTATTTTCTATGGTTACGCGTCATATAAATTAATCTTAGGCCTTTAGTTGGATTCCAGCACATGCGTCATCGATTTACCGTTTTGATGTATCGTAAAGCATATGTTAGCGGTATCCAATTTGCATGGCGTTCAGTTTATTAGTGATCTGTCTTCGTAGCGCTACTTGCCAGTTGATGTGTGGCTCATGTTGGCACGTTATTGTTGCAGTCCTTCTGCTGTAGAGTCTCTTGCGACGCCACACACGGCGGGCGTCTACCTTCCGTCACATTCTTGTCATCGAATAATAATATCTATTGCATTACACACTGTGTGTATGATAAAGGTTGTACTATGCCCTCCCTCTGACAACATTTTGACATTGACTCAGTGTCCACATCCGTCAAATCAATATACCATTTTAATCAGCAATACGACCTAATCATATCGGCATATGGTTGACATATGATGTGCTAGTTGTGTTATCGCAATTTCTGTTGATTTTTGACGTTATTGTATATTAGTACCTCTAGACTCTTCGTGGTCCTTTCTTCCTCTCTATACCTAGTATAAGCGGTATCTCTAAAGATCGATATCGGCTATGATGAGTTTCATTTACACTATAGTTAAGTTAAGACAACTAAGCTAATTATCATTCTCCACACCAATATATACATCCCTTATTGTTATCGGGGATTAGCATATACTATCTCATTCCTACCATGACACGGAGCGGTCATCGCACTGAAAGGAAGCTCCGCAGCGAGAGCTTCGGGGTTGAATCGGAGTCACCAAAACCAGTGTTTTACCTCCTATCACTTGAGCTGCCAATCTCTGGTAGGTATATTACCCATTGTAAGCATGCTCATATCATTACAGATACGGGGACTAAAAAGTATTTGTATGGCGGCATAGCAACAGGGGATTCTTTCCCCAGGCTATTCCGCATACGTAACGTCTATGACTTGGAGAGTGAGGTATTCCGTGCATCTAAGCTACTGCTCAATGACCGGGGACTAAACTCACACACTCCATCAAATTACATTCGTCTACCGGCAGATTCTCACAGTATCGATATATGCGACCCTAGTTTTGGGACGGAGGTACCATCTGGTGCGCAAATATACGAAAGTATAGGAGATGTGCCAATTCAATATTGGCAAGGCGCTTCGGCGTAAGAATCTGTAGGCTAGTTATCCTTATATAAGGGTAAAAGTTATCGTTTTGTAATTATAACCAATAATTGTTGATGATATAGTTGTAAGATGCACGGTCTGTATATGTGCGGTCGTTTGTCGTTGTGTGGTTGGAATTTGTCGCGAGGTTGGTTGCATCCTTCCAGTTATATTTCTTGGTAGATATTTACAAGCTATTAAAGGAGAAAATAATTCCTTACAAGTTGAAATCAGCGCTATCCAGTTATCAAATCGTTTTCTTTCCCGTTAACTCTCTCGATATCGATCGCCTTATGCTAAGCGTAGCATAGATCACGGCATTTTCGCCCTATCGCCATATATAATTTGTAGCTATGAATATAGGACGTGATTTTAAGTCCGCAGGTCCTGAAGGCGGTCACGCTGGTCGCGACCATGGCCGTAAATCGGCAAGCGACGCTCCTTCTGTGAACCCAGAATGGAAAAAGGATGTTTTAGATAAGAATGCAGATAAACGAAAGAAGACAGAGGTGAGTAAATTGTTATTATGTGTTACATTTTTGTAGGATGTGACAAAGACCAAGGGTAGTGAGTTTGAGGACTACTTTTTGAAGCGTGAGCTTTTGATGGGTATTTTCGAGAAGGGGTTCGAGAGACCGTCTCCAATTCAGGAAGAAAGTATCCCTGTGGCTCTTGCTGGTCACGATATTCTTGCTCGTGCTAAGAATGGAACAGGTATGTTGAAGTGTACTTCTTTATGCTAATGTTATCATATCGATATTACATGTTTTGCAGGTAAAACAGCAGCATTCGTGATCCCTCTACTGGAGAAGCTCAACCCTGCCAATAATCATATTCAAGGTTTGTTTTAATCCATATTAATTACTATTTGCTTCTATCTATATATTTGTACTATTAATTTTTTCAATTGTTTTATATTGTGATTATAGGTTTGATTCTTCTACCTACAAGGGAGCTTGCTTTACAGACGTCTGCGGTTGTTAAGGAATTGGGTAAATACCTTGACGTGCAGTGCATGGTATCTACTGGTGGTACATCTTTACGTGACGACATCGTCCGTTTATACCAGCCAGTTCATATTTTATGTGGTACTCCTGGTCGTATATTGGATTTGACTAACAAGAACATTGCAGATTTGTCCAGGTGTCAGGTTGTTATATTGGATGAGGCTGATAAGATGTTATCTGTTGAGTTTCAGCCTATAATTGAAGCGTTATTACGTTTCTTACCTACTGAGAAACAGATGATATTATATTCTGCTACATTCCCAATGTCGGTTCAAAAGTTCAAGGAGGCTCATTTGCCTAATGCTCATGAGATAAATTTGATGGATGAGTTGACGTTGAAAGGTGTAACTCAGTATTATGCTTATGTTGAGGAGCGTCAAAAGGTTCATTGTTTGAGTACTTTATTTTCACGTCTTCAGATCAACCAGGCTATTATATTTTGTAACAGTGTAAATCGTGTTGAGCTGTTGGCTAAGAAGATTACGGAACTAGGTTTCAGTTGTTACTATATCCATGCTCGTATGTTACAAGCTCATCGTAACCGGGTCTTCCATGACTTCCGTAACGGTGCATGTCGTTGTTTGGTATCATCGGATTTATTTACTCGTGGTATTGACTTCCGTTTTGTGAACGTTGTGATAAACTTTGATTTTCCCAAGACTTCTGCGACATATCTTCATCGTATAGGTCGTTCAGGACGTTTTGGTCATTTAGGTTTGGCAATAAACTTGGTTACAGTTTCAGATAAGGACGCGTTGTTCAGGTAAGTTTGCCCGTTGTTGTGTTATAGTGTTTTAGGATTGAGGAGGAGCTTGGTACAGAGATAAAGGCTACACCTGCTAATATCGATCCGGCACTTTACTGTTGAGCTGTAAAATAACTGCTAGTAATTTTTTTGCCGGGGTATTGATTTATCTCTACATATGTTGTTGTTAAGATGACAGGTTCGGATGTGTCATCCGTCCGTAACGTTCTTGGCGAGCCTCTTGTCCGTCCAAAGACAAAGGTTGGCATCTATATATCATTGTGATTACTCTATAGGTGAGCCTGAGCGCATATTGCTTTTTGTTTAGCGAGATGGTCCAGTATTGTATGTACACTGCCACTCGTGATTGCAGTTTCACTCATCGGTGAGTTCCGTTCTCTCTATATTATGCAATATATATATGTCTGCGTAGTTTACACTCTATGGGTCTTGATGTAGGCCCTCGTCTTCTAGAGATGTTAAGCGCGCGTGATCGTTCTACTAAGCGTCACATGAACATCGTCTCTATTTTATCGTTTATTTCAAGTGGTGTATGGAAGCATCTTTTTGGCCACAGCGCGGTGTTACTAAAGGGTAAAGATGATCCTCGAGAGTGTAAGTGTGTATTATTGTCTGGTATGATTTTCAGACATGATCAATGATCAAGAGTTGCAGATAACTAAATTCATCAGTACACCTAAGGTAACTGAATGTGTAAATATGTATATTATGTAGGATTTACAACACACAAGTTGCGCGTCCTTCGTTGCTGGTATTGTTGAGGGTATTTTACGTTGGTCTGAATTTGTAAGTTGCTAGCACCTTTGCACCAAAATATAGTTGTATAGCCAGCGGCTGTTTCGGCACACAATATCCAAGATAAAGCTCAAGGGAGCTCTGTAACGTTATTGATCCAATTCGATCAATCGGTAGTAGAGCGTGAATGTTAATATAGCGTCTGGGTGCGTGTGTTTTTGTTATTTATATAATTTTTTCTTAGCGTTGTTATCGCAAAACGTGGCACTTAAAACAGCTTGGTGCTTACGGGGCATATTGATGTAGGGTGGCTTCGCGCTGTGGTGATTTTTTCCACGAGTTATCACACGTTGCAATAATTCATTCACAATTTGTAACGTTTTTTGTACAACCAACGGTGTGTGCACGTACAAAGGAAACGTCGTTCGTTACTTCTCGATAAACACGCGTAACTTCTCGCGTGTGTACTTACTGTATCTAGTCGGGTACCGTTTTCGAATAGCTGTTAAAAATGGACGCCGGTGGCAAAATTGGTGGTAAGATTGGTGGAAAAATTGGTGGTAAAGTAGGTGGTTTGGGTAAAGGTGGTAAGGGCAAAGCAGGTGTGTTTAATAATCTTGTGTATACCTCACATTATTTATAGGTGCCGGCAAGGGCAAAAAAACCCCAATGAGCCGTGCCGCACGTGCTGGACTACAATTCCCCGTTGGTAGGGTACACCGTATGCTCAAGTCACGTATCTCTGCTGATGGACGTGTCGGTTCAACCGCTGCCGTGTACACCTCTGCCATCTTGGAGTACTTGACCGCTGAAGTGCTCGAATTGGCTGGTAACGCCTCAAAAGATCTCAAGGTCAAACGTATCACTCCTCGTCACTTGCAGTTGGCCATTAGGGGTGATGAAGAATTGGACACCCTCATCAAGGCGACCATTGCTGGTGGTGGTGTTATCCCTCACATTCACAAGGCGTTGATGAACAAGGTACCTCCTCAGGTGCTTGTCAAACCTCCACAACCCCAACCTCCTCGTCGTGTTTAAAATTTTTTTGGGTAAAAGGTGCTAGGGCGCATAAAACCCTCCAGACTGAGCTTCACTGTGTGCCATAGTTTCAGTGGGCTAACTTACATTTTTTTTACTCAATTTTATTTTTCTATTCATCATGGGTTGGTTCGGTAGTTCTGATAGCTCCTCATCCTCTTCTGGTTCACGTGAAGGTCTCGGGCTTATGGCCCGTGCCGATGCGTTTCAGAAGGATGTTGACGTTATGCTCGGTGATATAACGCGTATGAGTTTACCCCTTCAAAGGTCTGCATTTGAATGTTGTGTCCGTTGTTTTGACAGCGGTAACGAGGACCTAGACAAAATTAGTAATTGCGTCAAACAATGCCAGGAAAGACCTGAGAGGTTTGGTAATGCTGTTCAAACAGAACTTAATCAACTTCAAGATGCATTATTAGGTTGTCAAAAGGTAATATCTATCATATTAACATAACTTTTTCATAGCGTTGTGTGGAACAGTATTCCTCTTCTTCATCTAGTCAAGCGGATTCTTCATCTGCATCTATGGAACGTTGTGCCGTCCAGTGTTATGATAAGAATGAGGCTCTATTAAGAGACATATCATCGCGTCTTAAGGGTTTATACCGCAATATATAGCGCGCGTTTGCCCTAGAGTGAAATACGATCAAGTGGGAGGCAACAAACAGTCAATATTAACCGGCCACCCTTGCTGAAAGATGGTAAATCTTAATATATGAAAATTAATAGTGCTTAGGGTAAGGCCAAGAAGACAAGAAAGTTTGCTGCGGTTAAACGTCGGATGAGCCCTAAGGATTCTAGGATGTAAGATCACAATACCTTATCATATTCACATATATCAGTGCTACTGTAAAGACTATAGAGAAGAAACCAAAGTCGGAGCCATTAGTTGAAGCGTTAGTTCCCTTTCTCAATTTAATTTTAATTGTGTAGACCTAAAGTGCACTCTGGCATGTTTTTCAATTACAATGAAAATTTGGTGCCACCATATCAAGTTATTGTGGATACCAACTTTGTAAACGCTTCAATACAGAATAAATTGGACCTCCACAAAAGCATGCTTGACTGTCTCATTGCCAAATGTTGGTCATCATACATATATTTACTGACCGTTTGTCTTAGGCATAGTATGTGTCACTGACTGTGTTGTGGCAGAGTTGGAGAAGCTGGGTCATCGTTATCGTCTTGCTCTACAGTTAGTGAAGGATCCGCGTGTCTCTAGGTTAACTTGTGCTCATACGGGTACGTACGCTGATGACTGTATAGTTGAGCGTGTAACTACGGTAAGTACATATATTGTTTTGTTGTATATATGATGATCGCAGCATAAGTGCTATATCGTGGCTACGAACGATCGTGATTTGAAACGACGTATTCGGCGTATCCCAGGTGTACCGATTATGTATGTCGCCAATCACAAATACGCAATCGAACGTATCCCAATGTCGATAACGGCACGTTGAAATTGCACATTTTCAATCACATTCCTCAAACATTGGACCCCAATATCATTAATATGGGCATATCGTTTCATATCTTGCCATTGTATGGCTTTATTACAGTTATTTCTGGCTAGCAGTCACATTAGCGCGGCAAGAGTTATGAGCATGGCCGGAGGTATCAGATGTCTACAATTTTGTTTTTTTTATTGGCGTCGTCTCTATTCAGCATAGCTCGGTTGGCAGACGTTCGTTTCTAATGCTTTGCTGTGACATGTTGTCAACAGCCAGTGATACTTTTTTTAATTGCGTTCATTCTTCTTGCTTGGCCTTGTCACCCGAAGCTTCGTTTTGGATATCCGTCGCCCAAAGAGTAAGATTGTCGCGTAGTAACTGCATGATGAGGGTGCTGTCCTTGTAGCTATCCTCGCTGACACTGTCGAACTCGGTGATTGCTTCATCGAATGCGCGTTTAGCCATCTCACAAGCCTCATGTGGTTTGTTGAGAATTTCATAGAAGAATACCGAGAAGTTAAGGGCCAATCCCAGTCTGATTGGGTGTGTTGACTTAAGTTCCGTTTCTGCAATTTCAGTAGCTTTTTGGTATGACTCTTTAGCAGAAGCGGATGCTTGTACCTTTTCCTGATCACTGGAGTACTCGCTAATGTACCTGTAGTAGTCGCCTTTCATTTTATGGTAGAATACTTGACTTTCGCTATCCGTTGTTGCTGGTATGAGTCTGTCATCAAGTAGTGCTAATATATTGTTGCATATTTGTGTCAGTTCCTTTTCAATCTTCATACGGTATGCAGCTGCTAGGTTTTGTTGTACGACATTAGACTTGTTTGCTTCTCTCTGTTCTACACCGCTAACAATACGCCATGATGCACGCCTCGATCCAACTGAATTTTTAAAGGCGACAGACTATAGTTGTATATTATAATAAATTATAACTTACTAGTAGGTTTCTTTCCTCTACTGTAAGTTCTTCTTTACCAGTTATGCAGGATTCGACGAGTGCTTTCATGGCGTCTGCCATCTCTATATAACTTGAGTCATGGCATATTTCGATGAAATCTTACCGTCATAACGCTCAGCTTGCTCGGCAAGCTTTGCGCTGCAGGTTAACTTAAGGCGCTGTGTAATTTCTTCCGCCATTTCTTTCGGCTGCTTGTTATGACTTGATGGGCTTATTTGTACGGGGTGCAGATGGACAGGTCTGAAATGTGTTAGATATCTAGCAGCTTGTATGAAAAAACGGTTCTACACGTATTAGTTTCCTTGTTGTGATGTGATCCTTATAGGCCCACCTCTGCGTGAGTCAGTGGGGATACCACACAGCAGTAGACCCTTTCCGCTCCAGCCGTGTTATCGTGGAAAATAGTCCATAATGTGCCACTGTGTGTAATAACAACCGGTTTTTAAAAAGATTTATTAAAGAATCTTTTGTTTGGTCTCTATTAATACGGTAATTAATACAACGCGCGCGCTGTGTTACACCCTTTTGTCTTACATCTGTTAGAATATTTATCCAGATGTTATGGTCAATATAGTACCAACTATGCCGGTCTCTACGGGCACTATTGAATCTGTTATTAGTTCTGTCACAGCTTCTAAATCTTCATCTTCTGCGTCTCGTGACCGTGTTGCGGCATATCAAGAGCTTTCAAAAGTTAAACGTGGTTTGCCAAATCGATTAGTATCAGAGCTTGAAAAGCGAAAGGTTACTACTGTAGAGGAAGCAGCTCGTGTTGCACAGGTTCTGCGTTCAAAACGCTTAAAATCACACAAGACAACACACCGACGGAAACCTGTTAAGGAGTTGAAAACACCAAAGGTTAAAAAACCTGGTAAGATCACTCGACCTGTTGGTAAGGTTGCTGATAAGGTCATTTCAAGCATGAAACGTGCACTAGACATGGGTGTGATTAAATTATAATTTACCCGTTATTCAATTTTCGAAACGCATTCTTTAGCGTTGCGTATGTACCCCATGAAATTGCAGCAGCGGGTACACATAGGCATATGCGCGTGGTTGTCCCTCTCCAAAATGCTCTTAGACCGTATTCTTGGTATACAGCACGTGCCGTGTCTATTGGGTTCTGTATAATAGATTAGTTGATTTATAATCCGACATACTGTATATTTTGGTTTCCCTAGACCATTTACTCTAAGATAACACTCCTGCGTCTGGAGACGTGTCTTTATAACGTCAATAGGGTTTGTCAGTGCCCCTGCCACGGCTCCGCCGATACCTACACGTTATTAGCAGATTGTAATATAGTTGTCATCCAATAGCGAGCTACCACAGCTCAATAGATTTGCACGAGTGACGCGGGGTATATCGCCCACCCCTGTGAACGTGGTAGTACCGCGTCTTAGCGACACTTCGTCAAGTGGTAATGTACCTACCTGCATATAGGAAGTATCTCCCTATACCTGATTTACTTTTATCACGTGGATATTTTTTTATTAGGAATTCGTTGACACCGACAAGCAATGCGTGATACGGCATGTTCATAAAGATTGTGACCGGTAGGCTTCGATAGAAGGACTTGATACCTTCATGTCGTAGCACCTGTCCAAAGCAGTGTAGCGACCCTTTGTACGATCCCAACTGTAACCTTTGTTTGATAACGTCTGCCGGTGTCAATATAACATCATGGCAAAGTGTTGCTATAGCTCCAGCTAATGGTACATTGATAGTTTTCTTGACCAACTCGTAAACAGTGAAGTACAATACATGTGCTGGTATACATCCTGCGGCCATGACATTGCATCCACGATAAAGATTCCTGTAAAATTGCGATTGAGGTGTGGCTATTGCACAAGTGCCAAATCCCCTTTTTAGATAACTTGAACTCTTAGTTTCTCCGGATTTGCACCATCCACATTGCATACGAGTTTTAAGTGTATCGAGAGGGAAGAGTAGCACGTGTTCCATAACTCCTGCGGCACTGCCACAAAGCGCATGTTGCCAAAGCTTACAATCACCTAGAGATATATATAACACTAGTCATTATGTTCTTACCGTTCCATTCTTCATAGCTCAGCGGGCTGCCATCATCAGATTCCATCACGGTAATCTCGGCAACACAACGCTTCGCGCCACTTTGTGCTACTCGTCCAACCGATAACGCACATATGTGTCGTGCTGGCTTTATTATAGGACTATAATATATATTAGATGATGTATTAATTTACAAGGGTATCAGATTTGTTTCCCCATGGTAGAGCTGTAGTTTATATGTTGTGAGAGTCTTGGGTTATTAGAGGCTTGTCTATACACACTGTATGGCGCCTTCTATAACGTTAATTGACAATGTTTATAGTAGGTTCGCTGTTGGTGTTCCATGCGTTGCTTCTTATAGGTGGCATTGATGGTTTTCGTGTCTTGTCATCTCAGCGCGCGCCTGTGGCCGTTTTTAGCAAATATCGCACACCGGTCAAAGATAACACGGTGAACCTGGTGGATGACGCTAATGCCAGTTTATTGGTGGGCGATGTGCAAGGAACATCGATCCAACTTCTTCGGGTATGTACTGTCTAGTTAGCTGTGTTCTCTTATTCTTAATAGGCAAGGCCTACTGACGATGTAGTTGAAGATAGTAACGTCGATGTGTCAGAGAGTACCGATGTGGAAGATCTACCATCTGATGATAGATACCGTGTTCCTTCGGAGCTGGGTGCTGGTTCGATGCTCGGCATCAATGACCTTATGTACATTATATTTCGGGTCTTTGATTCACTCGGTGAAGTTTCTGAGGAAGAGTGCCGACGTATTATAATGAACAGTTTATCTTCACTCGTTCAGGAACGTTTCTTCGATCTTTACGTTTACCGAGAGGTTGGTGGTAACTTGCCTCCACTCTTGTTGGCACGGTTCAACAATTTCAACGCTTATGAGTTCGTGAGGGTTCAACTATACGCTCGTGATCCTTCTACCGCTGAACTCTTGAGGACATTTTATTTCCACACCACCCGTTACAGTATACATCAGGACCCTAACACAATTTCGATGAGCAGCTATATCAGGAACCGTATGTACCGCGGTGGTAGGATGAATCCTCCTCGAGGTGGTATTTATGGCAGTCGTCGTGTACCGCCACAGAGGTATAGTGGTATGGTAGGGTACGATCGTGTGCCACCACCGGTACAGTACCCTGGCCAGTCCAGTGGCATGGCGCCGATGTACCAGCAGCCTCCACCGCCGATGCCGCCACCACCACACTTGCAACATTTGCAAATGCATACAATGATGCTTTCACCTCATATGATGGGTCCCCCTGGGCACGAGATGGGCCAGCTGTCACACGGCCCTATGCTATAAAGTATCGGATATGATGTAACTAATATTAACACATATTTATTACCAGCCGTATTTCATTTGTGTTTCGTGTTTGGTTTTACGTGCTTGTGCTGTCCTTTCTAGTAGTTCTAGCTCTTGTTCCTGTGCATCGGCTGCTAACCAGCTTATCTGCGTAATCATGATTGGTGATTACCGTATAATTAACCTGATGTTTACGTTTTGACGTCTTTCTCATTACATTGGTCACTAATAACTGTCCATCATCGGTTTCAAGTTGCCGTGCTGGTGCTTTGAACATAGAGCGTCCTTCAAGCAAGGCTTCTTTCGATGTGGAGTATCTCGCGCTCTTCTCACTGAAGATATGTTATTTCCCATAGTAACTATGTTCAAACTTACGTTTTACCCATGCGAAGGTCGTCAGCATTTATATCCGTTACTCGTATATTCGTGCCGAACCACTGTAATTAAATGTATAGTCAAACCTTTGTAAACGTACATCTCCGCGTTTCGGTGCTTTCACTTGGCCTTCACTATTAGTCATATTGAACCTTTGCATGATTTCAAGTGTGTCTAATGCCCCTTGAGCTTGTGTTACGGGTGACGTTTGTTGCGATGATTTAGGCGGTTGTTCTTGCCCAGCTGCTCCTTGCGATTCCTTCAGGGTAGACACACTATCCGATATTGGATCCTCCGTAGGTTTGGGTGGGTTGATTTTCACACATTCTGTCCTGGAATAATCCTCCACTTTCCTAGTAGTGGTAGTGAGAGAGAACAGCGGTGGCGGCGGCGCATAACTTTCAGTATCCTGGTGATCCCCGGATCCTTCTACGACTCCAGCTTCTTTTAATGATGCTTTCTCCGATTTCTGATGAACATATTCCCCAGTTTTATCTTCTGTTGAGTCGTTTGCTATTGTTTCTTTAGTTCCTTCAGTTTTGGCAGTAGCGCTATCAATTGCTGCCTCTGAATTGTCTATTGTACCCTCACTATCGCTGTCATTCAGAGCAGAACGTAACCAATCCATTATATCCTACAGTGGCGTTGGAATATCCACTGACTTCCTCTAGTGTGTAAGTCACTTCCAGCTAATGGGAGTGAATCTTATACTGCCGTTCTGTTTGATCCTTAGCTATGTTGTTGTAACATTAGAGATCCATAATTCATCCGGCGGCATTGTAGGTTTTGCCTTTTACAAAGGTGGCCACAAAACACGTCGACCTAGAAAATCTTCATGGTCGCCGGATGAAAGCTCACGTTTGGCTGATCTAGAGCATAGTATTGCTTCAGATATGCCGGAAGATGACCATGATATTGAACCTGAGCTAACTATCGACCGTTCCTTAGGTGCGTCATTCAGCTCGATAGAGATTCCATCAAGGAAATCATGTGGCGACGTTTCAGTTACAAATTTATCATCTCCAGCGGGATCATCTAGCCGTAGAAAACGTGTTATGGAAGACGATAGCGATGTTTCCACGGATATCGCAGAGGATTCTGCCGACTTACTAGGGGATGTTACAGAAGACGACACGACAGATGTGTTTGTGGATACCTTAAAGGCTGCGGAGAAATGGGAGTGCGACGAAAACCGGTTTCGTAATCCTATCGGTGAGGTGTTGGACAACATCACCGACAAAGAGATGGTCGAGCGTGCGGAGGAGGAGTTAAAAAGAGAGCGTCAGGAAGGTCCTAGTATGAAAGAGTTGCTTGCGAGTTTGGAGGAGCCACGTACTACCAAACCCGATGACGAATGGAAAGGTTTAATTCAACAATTTGAGATAGAGGCGGATACCACCCACTGTGTCGGTTGCGGTATCCGCCTGCAAAGTGGCAACCCTGGTAATCAGGGCTTTGTAGCTCCCGCCGTTCTCACTTCGTTAAAAGATTCAGACGATCGTCCTCGATGCCAGCGTTGTGCCAGTATGCGTAGTGGCCTTATCTTCAATGACACGTCTGTAGCTGTGGGTGACAGTGCTTCTTCAGCTGCACGTGAGACTGTCGCCATACTACGTAACGCCTTATCACTGAGTGCTACCCGTCATGTGACAGTTGTATATGTGTTGGATGTTTTAGACATGCATTTTGAGCGCGGGTTGGCGGATTTAATAACTGCACGTCGTGAGAAACGAAAAGCTGATACTCATTTTTACATTGCGCTTAATAAGGTCGATTTGCTGCCGCCACACAGTCGAAGACGTATTATAATGTATGTCCACCGTTTCATCAATTCTAAGGCTCCTGAATTGCGTATCAAACCTAGACACATATTCCTCATGAGTTCTCGTAATGGTAGTGGTGTTAACCTTTTTCTGAGTGTGTTATTGGATGAAGCATACCGTAATCGCAGCAAGGTATTCTTTGTTGGTGCCACTAACGCTGGCAAATCAACTTTCATCAATCGTTTATCTAGTTTTGTCAGCGATGGTGACGCTAAGTCGGTAAAGGCCCCGTTGCTTTCTACGAGCGTGGTTCCTGGTACTACACTGCGTCCGTTACGCATCGATGCTGGACCCGGTTTTGAGTTATTTGACACTCCTGGTATAGTGGTCAATGACTCCTTTACTTCTTACCTCACTGCCAATGAGTTGAAGGTTGCGGTTCCGTCGTCTTTGGGTTTAACTAAGCCTTTAAGGGTTGGCGCAGGTCATACCTTGCTTTTGGGTCAATTCGCGCGTATCGATATATTGGAAGGTCGTCCCTTTTTCTTCACGCCATATTTCTCTAAACATATCCAAGTTTCTGTTATGCGTACAGATCGTTTGTCAGTATATTTGTCGAAGCGACCTTTTGGTGACACCCGAGTGTTCTACAGTCGTGACTCTTGGACAGAGTTGTCCGACGAGTCACGGGGTGACCCGAGCGAGATGGAGGTCCACTCCTCTATCGATAGAACTTCTGAAAATGCCACTGATGGCCTTAGTACCATAAAGCGTTATGTGGACGTGCGTGGTATTGGTTGGGAGCAGGCTACTGCTGACCTTTGTTTCAAGGGTCTTGGTTTTATAACCCTTGCCGGGGCACTTGAACTATCTCTTTGTGTAGAGACTTTATCAGGTGTTGGTGTCTATATGCGTGAGCCTTTAATGCCATTTGACTCGATACCTTTTGCGCGTCGTAGGATCCTACGCAAGTAGATGCGTGCGATTGGTTCATCTGTATGATGGCAAATTGACCACATATTAACTTCCGTTTTGTTAATAATTTGTATATAGACATGTAACTATATTGACTAATCATATATCATTATTTTGTTTTTTGATGATACGTTTAGTCTTGTTTGCGTGAGCTGATCTTAGGTCCGCTGGTGCTGGTGACAGGTCCTCCTGCTCTTGCCGTTACAATCACACCAACAACGGTTCCTATCATGAGTCCTACGAGTAATGCGAAAGTTGATATGATAAAGAATCCACGGAATGCGACATCGAATATGCGATGTGCCTCATGTACACCAGTGATTACAAAATCTATGATCATTCCCGTGTAAGTCAATGGTTGAGGTACTGGGCTTGATATTGTTTTTTGGTATTCGTGTGTTGCGAAACTGACGAGTCTATCGGTGCTCCTTTCACCATGTTTGTAATGGTACATGCGTCCCTTGTCGATAAGTATAATGGTTGGGTATCCTTTTATTTCGAATCTCTTTGCTACATTTGGGCTTCTTGTAGCATCAACATCTGCTACGTTTACAACACCCTTTAATTCCTTTGCTGCTCTTTCCCATGCTGGTGCCATCTGTCTGCAATGTGAGCACCATGGAGCGTAGAACTTGATGAACCATGGTCCTGCGTGTGTGTATAGACATATAAATACGTTTTACCTGTAGTAGATCCTGTTGCGGCTTGTGTAAGTTTTTCAAAATTAGAATCATTGAGTTGTACAACGTAGCTTGCTTCGGTGTCCACGTGTACCTCTGCGGTGTTTTGTGCGTGTACTGTGATCACTGCACAGATGAAAGCGAAGGTGGCTGTTATGGCATTCATGTTTACAAATGTGTAAGAAGGCAATAGTTTTTATTTATTAGACTGTCTTCTAACAACCCGGTCGTTTATTGTGCAACGGTCGCCACAAACGCTTCGCCCGTCCGTAGCAGCGTGTGTCGTGGAAAACTGATCCACTTCCCCCCCACGGGGAGTAGAAAATTTCGGACAATACATATATATAATTTTCATTAGGACAATTAATCACCTGGTTCTAGAGTGTGCCGCGCTTTCGGCGTGTAAACTCCTCCATGGAGTATACAGGTGCTTCCACGGCGGTTGCATCTGGCATATTCTCTACAAGACGTGACACTTGAGACGGCTTTTCTGTTTTGAAAGCGCAGGCCCCGTTTCTGAGCAGATGTTTGCCAAATATGTGTCCCCTATGGGAGAAGGCATCTTCAAACATTATAGTATTTTTAGGCCCTTCTGGTACCTTCTGAGGGAAGGTTGGCCTAAAGACGCTAAGTTTCGGTACCGAACCAGTATCGGTGAATCCGAACCTTCGGAACCCCCAAGTTTTTGGTTTTCTGGCATAAGTCGTGACTTCACTTTCGTTATTCGAGAGTATGTCTGCGAGTGTCTTGCCTTTCCAATCCTGGGGTTGAATTGAGCTACTAGAGAGTGAATATAACACTGTTATTCGTATGCTCTGTTGTGTTCTTCCATTAGCCATCTTTTGGTCTACATCGAAATCTTCCTGTTCCTGGAATATTTCGAGGCTGATTTCAACCCATTTGACAGCCAGAAAAGCCTCCGCTGCTTTACATCCCGAAGTTACAAACTTCAACCCTCCTACTTTTAGGTGTGGTTTTGGGGGTCCTACGGCGTGCAAGAATCTTATATTGGGATAGCTGTAAACGTATACCACCGACCGATCGTTGACCACCACAGCTATGAGTGACGAATGCGGCTCTAGCGCAAAGTCTGCGACCGATACATTCCCAGCGTCTGTGCGCTGTTCATGTATATTACTTTGTTGTGTTGTTTTAAATTTACCAACGGATTCCCTTGCAGGGAAGTCTACAATTGAGATATCAGGCATAGCGGTTTTATCCCATTTAAGCTGCCATATCTGATGGGATCCGAACATTTTGAGAAACAAGATTCCTCTGCCATCATACTGCATCCTACTAATCCAGCTGGTAAGTCCGACATCTTTTGGTAGTGCTTCTACAAGTATATATTGTGTATTACGTTGCCAATAGCCCATTTCTGATCTTCTTGATAGCCACAGCTCTCCCTTATCGGACAAGCTCAAGATTTCGTGTACATTAATCCATTCTGCTGCGAGTACTTTTGACTTAGTTTTAGTGCAGAAGTCTGCGCTTGATCCTTCTACAAGTTTAATTCCCGAAAGTGAGGATCCATTCCATTCCATGAGGTACATATCATCAACAGTGAGTAGGACGGCGATTTCCCCCGAAGGGCTGAATTTACAGAAGAACGGGTAAGATGGAACATTGCATTGGGCTACCGCTTCGCATAGTGCTTCGGATAGATCTGTCATTGATACACTTTCTTTCCATATTTCTATGGTTCCTGTGGAGTAGGCTACCATGAGTGTGTTTCCAAAGCATGGTGCTGGGTCTATGGCTACACACGTTATAAATTCCTTTCCATCAACAGGTTCTTTTTCGAATCCTATTGTATGTGAGGATATTGTGATTTCCGTATTTTTGCCATAAGTTCGCGTGAGTTGTACTAGCGTGCGGTGTGCGAGTGGTCCGAAGGGTAGATTGATGATTCCATGATCGATAGCATCAGCAATAAATATTCCATTATTGTTTGTACCAAGATTAATATCGATTCCATGAGCAAAGTATCCATACATGAATACCATGGTTTTGCTTCCAAGTTCATATCTTTTATCTAACGAAATATTAACAATAGCATACTTGGATAGAGCGGATGATGTTGCTCGGCACATGCGATATGTATAATTGATTACTGCTCCCAGCGATGTCGTTATTTTACGTATCGCTGTATGTAGTGATAGATTAGCCGGACGTTCAGCCGCGAGATAGTATGACTCAAGGAGAATATAAAGATCCTCTAAAAGGGCTTGTATTGGCGCGATAGCACGGGTGACTGTTTGGAATCCAAGAGAGTAGAAGTGCCGTTTTTGCGATTTTGGTGGCAGTGCAAGGTGCCTCCATCTCGCATCGTGCAGCCGCACGAAATCTGTCGCTGCGGCTGGCGGCTCTTCTATAACTGCGTGGACAGCACACTCCATTTACAGGTAGAGCGCAGTCTCGCCCAGTGCTCTTGGTATTCCGGCATTGACCAAATTCCACATTTGAGCTTTGCCTTAATTGTCACATGTTCTATGTTGTACTATTTGTAAGGTATATTATACCGTTCCATATCGAAAGAATTGGTGTGTTATGAGTTGATTGAGTCGTCGTTGTGTGGGGGTTTGGTTGTTGGTTGGTTGAAGATGGTTTTGAAGTACCTTGAAGTGTGTCATTTGTGCACACACTGGGTTTAAGTGGTTTGTATATTCTATCTGAGGGTGTGTCATCTATTGTATCGCTTGTCTATTTTGTTTTTGTTATAGTGTCACGATGTTTGAGTGTCGTCTGGATGGGATGTTTTTGAGGCGTCTTTTTGAGGCGCTTCGTGAGATTTGCAACGACATTAGCATAGATTGTACGGAAGACGGGTTATCTATGCAGGCTATGGACAATAGCCATATCTCATTGATCCACCTGTGTTTAGCTCCTGATTTCTTCCAATTATATAGATGTGATGAACCGTGTACGCTCGGTCTGAACATATCTTTCATGTTGAAGATTCTTGCTGTCGTTCGTGAGAAGAGTGTAATTTATTTAGCCCGTGGTGACGACAGTGAGGACCCTATGTTGTTCGTGCGTATTATCGAATCTGGTAGCTATGACGGTAAGTTATAAGTGCGTCTAATGGATCTACATCACTCGTTTGTTCATCCGCTCGATAGGTTTTTTTTGTAACGGTATCATCGCATTCGTGATGATCATATATATATATATATATATATATATGATCATCACGAATGCGATGATACCGTTACAAAAAAAACCTATCGAGCGGATGAACAAACGAGTGATGTAGATCCATTAGACGCACTTATAACTTACCGTCATAGCTACCAGATTCGATAATACGCACGAACAACATAGGGTCCTCACTGTCGTCACCACGGGCTAAATAAATTACACTCTTCTCACGAACGACAGCAAGAATCTTCAACATGAAAGATATGTTCAGACCGAGCGTACACGGTTCATCACATCTATATAATTGGAAGAAATCAGGAGCTAAACACAGGTGGATCAATGAGATATGGCTATTGTCCATAGCCTGCATAGATAACCCGTCTTCCGTACAATCTATGCTAATGTCGTTGCAAATCTCACGAAGCGCCTCAAAAAGACGCCTCAAAAACATCCCATCCAGACGACACTCAAACATCGTGACACTATAACAAAAACAAAATAGACAAGCGATACAATAGATGACACACCCTCAGATAGAATATACAAACCACTTAAACCCAGTGTGTGCACAAATGACACACTTCAAGGTACTTCAAAACCATCTTCAACCAACCAACAACCAAACCCCCACACAACGACGACTCAATCAACTCATAACACACCAATTCTTTCGATATGGAACGGTATAATATACCTTACAAATAGTACAACATAGAACATGTGACAATTAAGGCAAAGCTCAAATGTGGAATTTGGTCAATGCCGGAATACCAAGAGCACTGGGCGAGACTGCGCTCTACCTGTAAATGGAGTGTGCTGTCCACGCAGTTATAGAAGAGCCGCCAGCCGCAGCGACAGATTTCGTGCGGCTGCACGATGCGAGATGGAGGCACCTTGCACTGCCACCAAAATCGCAAAAACGGCACTTCTACTCTCTTGGATTCCAAACAGTCACCCGTGCTATCGCGCCAATACAAGCCCTTTTAGAGGATCTTTATATTCTCCTTGAGTCATACTATCTCGCGGCTGAACGTCCGGCTAATCTATCACTACATACAGCGATACGTAAAATAACGACATCGCTGGGAGCAGTAATCAATTATACATATCGCATGTGCCGAGCAACATCATCCGCTCTATCCAAGTATGCTATTGTTAATATTTCGTTAGATAAAAGATATGAACTTGGAAGCAAAACCATGGTATTCATGTATGGATACTTTGCTCATGGAATCGATATTAATCTTGGTACAAACAATAATGGAATATTTATTGCTGATGCTATCGATCATGGAATCATCAATCTACCCTTCGGACCACTCGCACACCGCACGCTAGTACAACTCACGCGAACTTATGGCAAAAATACGGAAATCACAATATCCTCACATACAATAGGATTCGAAAAAGAACCTGTTGATGGAAAGGAATTTATAACGTGTGTAGCCATAGACCCAGCACCATGCTTTGGAAACACACTCATGGTAGCCTACTCCACAGGAACCATAGAAATATGGAAAGAAAGTGTATCAATGACAGATCTATCCGAAGCACTATGCGAAGCGGTAGCCCAATGCAATGTTCCATCTTACCCGTTCTTCTGTAAATTCAGCCCTTCGGGGGAAATCGCCGTCCTACTCACTGTTGATGATATGTACCTCATGGAATGGAATGGATCCTCACTTTCGGGAATTAAACTTGTAGAAGGATCAAGCGCAGACTTCTGCACTAAAACTAAGTCAAAAGTACTCGCAGCAGAATGGATTAATGTACACGAAATCTTGAGCTTGTCCGATAAGGGAGAGCTGTGGCTATCAAGAAGATCAGAAATGGGCTATTGGCAACGTAATACACAATATATACTTGTAGAAGCACTACCAAAAGATGTCGGACTTACCAGCTGGATTAGTAGGATGCAGTATGATGGCAGAGGAATCTTGTTTCTCAAAATGTTCGGATCCCATCAGATATGGCAGCTTAAATGGGATAAAACCGCTATGCCTGATATCTCAATTGTAGACTTCCCTGCAAGGGAATCCGTTGGTAAATTTAAAACAACACAACAAAGTAATATACATGAACAGCGCACAGACGCTGGGAATGTATCGGTCGCAGACTTTGCGCTAGAGCCGCATTCGTCACTCATAGCTGTGGTGGTCAACGATCGGTCGGTGGTATACGTTTACAGCTATCCCAATATAAGATTCTTGCACGCCGTAGGACCCCCAAAACCACACCTAAAAGTAGGAGGGTTGAAGTTTGTAACTTCGGGATGTAAAGCAGCGGAGGCTTTTCTGGCTGTCAAATGGGTTGAAATCAGCCTCGAAATATTCCAGGAACAGGAAGATTTCGATGTAGACCAAAAGATGGCTAATGGAAGAACACAACAGAGCATACGAATAACAGTGTTATATTCACTCTCTAGTAGCTCAATTCAACCCCAGGATTGGAAAGGCAAGACACTCGCAGACATACTCTCGAATAACGAAAGTGAAGTCACGACTTATGCCAGAAAACCAAAAACTTGGGGGTTCCGAAGGTTCGGATTCACCGATACTGGTTCGGTACCGAAACTTAGCGTCTTTAGGCCAACCTTCCCTCAGAAGGTACCAGAAGGGCCTAAAAATACTATAATGTTTGAAGATGCCTTCTCCCATAGGGGACACATATTTGGCAAACATCTGCTCAGAAACGGGGCCTGCGCTTTCAAAACAGAAAAGCCGTCTCAAGTGTCACGTCTTGTAGAGAATATGCCAGATGCAACCGCCGTGGAAGCACCTGTATACTCCATGGAGGAGTTTACACGCCGAAAGCGCGGCACACTCTAGAACCAGGTGATTAATTGTCCTAATGAAAATTATATATATGTATTGTCCGAAATTTTCTACTCCCCGTGGGGGGGAAGTGGATCAGTTTTCCACGACACACGCTGCTACGGACGGGCGAAGCGTTTGTGGCGACCGTTGCACAATAAACGACCGGGTTGTTAGAAGACAGTCTAATAAATAAAAACTATTGCCTTCTTACACATTTGTAAACATGAATGCCATAACAGCCACCTTCGCTTTCATCTGTGCAGTGATCACAGTACACGCACAAAACACCGCAGAGGTACACGTGGACACCGAAGCAAGCTACGTTGTACAACTCAATGATTCTAATTTTGAAAAACTTACACAAGCCGCAACAGGATCTACTACAGGTAAAACGTATTTATATGTCTATACACACACGCAGGACCATGGTTCATCAAGTTCTACGCTCCATGGTGCTCACATTGCAGACAGATGGCACCAGCATGGGAAAGAGCAGCAAAGGAATTAAAGGGTGTTGTAAACGTAGCAGATGTTGATGCTACAAGAAGCCCAAATGTAGCAAAGAGATTCGAAATAAAAGGATACCCAACCATTATACTTATCGACAAGGGACGCATGTACCATTACAAACATGGTGAAAGGAGCACCGATAGACTCGTCAGTTTCGCAACACACGAATACCAAAAAACAATATCAAGCCCAGTACCTCAACCATTGACTTACACGGGAATGATCATAGATTTTGTAATCACTGGTGTACATGAGGCACATCGCATATTCGATGTCGCATTCCGTGGATTCTTTATCATATCAACTTTCGCATTACTCGTAGGACTCATGATAGGAACCGTTGTTGGTGTGATTGTAACGGCAAGAGCAGGAGGACCTGTCACCAGCACCAGCGGACCTAAGATCAGCTCACGCAAACAAGACTAAACGTATCATCAAAAAACAAAATAATGATATATGATTAGTCAATATAGTTACATGTCTATATACAAATTATTAACAAAACGGAAGTTAATATGTGGTCAATTTGCCATCATACAGATGAACCAATCGCACGCATCTACTTGCGTAGGATCCTACGACGCGCAAAAGGTATCGAGTCAAATGGCATTAAAGGCTCACGCATATAGACACCAACACCTGATAAAGTCTCTACACAAAGAGATAGTTCAAGTGCCCCGGCAAGGGTTATAAAACCAAGACCCTTGAAACAAAGGTCAGCAGTAGCCTGCTCCCAACCAATACCACGCACGTCCACATAACGCTTTATGGTACTAAGGCCATCAGTGGCATTTTCAGAAGTTCTATCGATAGAGGAGTGGACCTCCATCTCGCTCGGGTCACCCCGTGACTCGTCGGACAACTCTGTCCAAGAGTCACGACTGTAGAACACTCGGGTGTCACCAAAAGGTCGCTTCGACAAATATACTGACAAACGATCTGTACGCATAACAGAAACTTGGATATGTTTAGAGAAATATGGCGTGAAGAAAAAGGGACGACCTTCCAATATATCGATACGCGCGAATTGACCCAAAAGCAAGGTATGACCTGCGCCAACCCTTAAAGGCTTAGTTAAACCCAAAGACGACGGAACCGCAACCTTCAACTCATTGGCAGTGAGGTAAGAAGTAAAGGAGTCATTGACCACTATACCAGGAGTGTCAAATAACTCAAAACCGGGTCCAGCATCGATGCGTAACGGACGCAGTGTAGTACCAGGAACCACGCTCGTAGAAAGCAACGGGGCCTTTACCGACTTAGCGTCACCATCGCTGACAAAACTAGATAAACGATTGATGAAAGTTGATTTGCCAGCGTTAGTGGCACCAACAAAGAATACCTTGCTGCGATTACGGTATGCTTCATCCAATAACACACTCAGAAAAAGGTTAACACCACTACCATTACGAGAACTCATGAGGAATATGTGTCTAGGTTTGATACGCAATTCAGGAGCCTTAGAATTGATGAAACGGTGGACATACATTATAATACGTCTTCGACTGTGTGGCGGCAGCAAATCGACCTTATTAAGCGCAATGTAAAAATGAGTATCAGCTTTTCGTTTCTCACGACGTGCAGTTATTAAATCCGCCAACCCGCGCTCAAAATGCATGTCTAAAACATCCAACACATATACAACTGTCACATGACGGGTAGCACTCAGTGATAAGGCGTTACGTAGTATGGCGACAGTCTCACGTGCAGCTGAAGAAGCACTGTCACCCACAGCTACAGACGTGTCATTGAAGATAAGGCCACTACGCATACTGGCACAACGCTGGCATCGAGGACGATCGTCTGAATCTTTTAACGAAGTGAGAACGGCGGGAGCTACAAAGCCCTGATTACCAGGGTTGCCACTTTGCAGGCGGATACCGCAACCGACACAGTGGGTGGTATCCGCCTCTATCTCAAATTGTTGAATTAAACCTTTCCATTCGTCATCGGGTTTGGTAGTACGTGGCTCCTCCAAACTCGCAAGCAACTCTTTCATACTAGGACCTTCCTGACGCTCTCTTTTTAACTCCTCCTCCGCACGCTCGACCATCTCTTTGTCGGTGATGTTGTCCAACACCTCACCGATAGGATTACGAAACCGGTTTTCGTCGCACTCCCATTTCTCCGCAGCCTTTAAGGTATCCACAAACACATCTGTCGTGTCGTCTTCTGTAACATCCCCTAGTAAGTCGGCAGAATCCTCTGCGATATCCGTGGAAACATCGCTATCGTCTTCCATAACACGTTTTCTACGGCTAGATGATCCCGCTGGAGATGATAAATTTGTAACTGAAACGTCGCCACATGATTTCCTTGATGGAATCTCTATCGAGCTGAATGACGCACCTAAGGAACGGTCGATAGTTAGCTCAGGTTCAATATCATGGTCATCTTCCGGCATATCTGAAGCAATACTATGCTCTAGATCAGCCAAACGTGAGCTTTCATCCGGCGACCATGAAGATTTTCTAGGTCGACGTGTTTTGTGGCCACCTTTGTAAAAGGCAAAACCTACAATGCCGCCGGATGAATTATGGATCTCTAATGTTACAACAACATAGCTAAGGATCAAACAGAACGGCAGTATAAGATTCACTCCCATTAGCTGGAAGTGACTTACACACTAGAGGAAGTCAGTGGATATTCCAACGCCACTGTAGGATATAATGGATTGGTTACGTTCTGCTCTGAATGACAGCGATAGTGAGGGTACAATAGACAATTCAGAGGCAGCAATTGATAGCGCTACTGCCAAAACTGAAGGAACTAAAGAAACAATAGCAAACGACTCAACAGAAGATAAAACTGGGGAATATGTTCATCAGAAATCGGAGAAAGCATCATTAAAAGAAGCTGGAGTCGTAGAAGGATCCGGGGATCACCAGGATACTGAAAGTTATGCGCCGCCGCCACCGCTGTTCTCTCTCACTACCACTACTAGGAAAGTGGAGGATTATTCCAGGACAGAATGTGTGAAAATCAACCCACCCAAACCTACGGAGGATCCAATATCGGATAGTGTGTCTACCCTGAAGGAATCGCAAGGAGCAGCTGGGCAAGAACAACCGCCTAAATCATCGCAACAAACGTCACCCGTAACACAAGCTCAAGGGGCATTAGACACACTTGAAATCATGCAAAGGTTCAATATGACTAATAGTGAAGGCCAAGTGAAAGCACCGAAACGCGGAGATGTACGTTTACAAAGGTTTGACTATACATTTAATTACAGTGGTTCGGCACGAATATACGAGTAACGGATATAAATGCTGACGACCTTCGCATGGGTAAAACGTAAGTTTGAACATAGTTACTATGGGAAATAACATATCTTCAGTGAGAAGAGCGCGAGATACTCCACATCGAAAGAAGCCTTGCTTGAAGGACGCTCTATGTTCAAAGCACCAGCACGGCAACTTGAAACCGATGATGGACAGTTATTAGTGACCAATGTAATGAGAAAGACGTCAAAACGTAAACATCAGGTTAATTATACGGTAATCACCAATCATGATTACGCAGATAAGCTGGTTAGCAGCCGATGCACAGGAACAAGAGCTAGAACTACTAGAAAGGACAGCACAAGCACGTAAAACCAAACACGAAACACAAATGAAATACGGCTGGTAATAAATATGTGTTAATATTAGTTACATCATATCCGATACTTTATAGCATAGGGCCGTGTGACAGCTGGCCCATCTCGTGCCCAGGGGGACCCATCATATGAGGTGAAAGCATCATTGTATGCATTTGCAAATGTTGCAAGTGTGGTGGTGGCGGCATCGGCGGTGGAGGCTGCTGGTACATCGGCGCCATGCCACTGGACTGGCCAGGGTACTGTACCGGTGGTGGCACACGATCGTACCCTACCATACCACTATACCTCTGTGGCGGTACACGACGACTGCCATAAATACCACCTCGAGGAGGATTCATCCTACCACCGCGGTACATACGGTTCCTGATATAGCTGCTCATCGAAATTGTGTTAGGGTCCTGATGTATACTGTAACGGGTGGTGTGGAAATAAAATGTCCTCAAGAGTTCAGCGGTAGAAGGATCACGAGCGTATAGTTGAACCCTCACGAACTCATAAGCGTTGAAATTGTTGAACCGTGCCAACAAGAGTGGAGGCAAGTTACCACCAACCTCTCGGTAAACGTAAAGATCGAAGAAACGTTCCTGAACGAGTGAAGATAAACTGTTCATTATAATACGTCGGCACTCTTCCTCAGAAACTTCACCGAGTGAATCAAAGACCCGAAATATAATGTACATAAGGTCATTGATGCCGAGCATCGAACCAGCACCCAGCTCCGAAGGAACACGGTATCTATCATCAGATGGTAGATCTTCCACATCGGTACTCTCTGACACATCGACGTTACTATCTTCAACTACATCGTCAGTAGGCCTTGCCTATTAAGAATAAGAGAACACAGCTAACTAGACAGTACATACCCGAAGAAGTTGGATCGATGTTCCTTGCACATCGCCCACCAATAAACTGGCATTAGCGTCATCCACCAGGTTCACCGTGTTATCTTTGACCGGTGTGCGATATTTGCTAAAAACGGCCACAGGCGCGCGCTGAGATGACAAGACACGAAAACCATCAATGCCACCTATAAGAAGCAACGCATGGAACACCAACAGCGAACCTACTATAAACATTGTCAATTAACGTTATAGAAGGCGCCATACAGTGTGTATAGACAAGCCTCTAATAACCCAAGACTCTCACAACATATAAACTACAGCTCTACCATGGGGAAACAAATCTGATACCCTTGTAAATTAATACATCATCTAATATATATTATAGTCCTATAATAAAGCCAGCACGACACATATGTGCGTTATCGGTTGGACGAGTAGCACAAAGTGGCGCGAAGCGTTGTGTTGCCGAGATTACCGTGATGGAATCTGATGATGGCAGCCCGCTGAGCTATGAAGAATGGAACGGTAAGAACATAATGACTAGTGTTATATATATCTCTAGGTGATTGTAAGCTTTGGCAACATGCGCTTTGTGGCAGTGCCGCAGGAGTTATGGAACACGTGCTACTCTTCCCTCTCGATACACTTAAAACTCGTATGCAATGTGGATGGTGCAAATCCGGAGAAACTAAGAGTTCAAGTTATCTAAAAAGGGGATTTGGCACTTGTGCAATAGCCACACCTCAATCGCAATTTTACAGGAATCTTTATCGTGGATGCAATGTCATGGCCGCAGGATGTATACCAGCACATGTATTGTACTTCACTGTTTACGAGTTGGTCAAGAAAACTATCAATGTACCATTAGCTGGAGCTATAGCAACACTTTGCCATGATGTTATATTGACACCGGCAGACGTTATCAAACAAAGGTTACAGTTGGGATCGTACAAAGGGTCGCTACACTGCTTTGGACAGGTGCTACGACATGAAGGTATCAAGTCCTTCTATCGAAGCCTACCGGTCACAATCTTTATGAACATGCCGTATCACGCATTGCTTGTCGGTGTCAACGAATTCCTAATAAAAAAATATCCACGTGATAAAAGTAAATCAGGTATAGGGAGATACTTCCTATATGCAGGTAGGTACATTACCACTTGACGAAGTGTCGCTAAGACGCGGTACTACCACGTTCACAGGGGTGGGCGATATACCCCGCGTCACTCGTGCAAATCTATTGAGCTGTGGTAGCTCGCTATTGGATGACAACTATATTACAATCTGCTAATAACGTGTAGGTATCGGCGGAGCCGTGGCAGGGGCACTGACAAACCCTATTGACGTTATAAAGACACGTCTCCAGACGCAGGAGTGTTATCTTAGAGTAAATGGTCTAGGGAAACCAAAATATACAGTATGTCGGATTATAAATCAACTAATCTATTATACAGAACCCAATAGACACGGCACGTGCTGTATACCAAGAATACGGTCTAAGAGCATTTTGGAGAGGGACAACCACGCGCATATGCCTATGTGTACCCGCTGCTGCAATTTCATGGGGTACATACGCAACGCTAAAGAATGCGTTTCGAAAATTGAATAACGGGTAAATTATAATTTAATCACACCCATGTCTAGTGCACGTTTCATGCTTGAAATGACCTTATCAGCAACCTTACCAACAGGTCGAGTGATCTTACCAGGTTTTTTAACCTTTGGTGTTTTCAACTCCTTAACAGGTTTCCGTCGGTGTGTTGTCTTGTGTGATTTTAAGCGTTTTGAACGCAGAACCTGTGCAACACGAGCTGCTTCCTCTACAGTAGTAACCTTTCGCTTTTCAAGCTCTGATACTAATCGATTTGGCAAACCACGTTTAACTTTTGAAAGCTCTTGATATGCCGCAACACGGTCACGAGACGCAGAAGATGAAGATTTAGAAGCTGTGACAGAACTAATAACAGATTCAATAGTGCCCGTAGAGACCGGCATAGTTGGTACTATATTGACCATAACATCTGGATAAATATTCTAACAGATGTAAGACAAAAGGGTGTAACACAGCGCGCGCGTTGTATTAATTACCGTATTAATAGAGACCAAACAAAAGATTCTTTAATAAATCTTTTTAAAAACCGGTTGTTATTACACACAGTGGCACATTATGGACTATTTTCCACGATAACACGGCTGGAGCGGAAAGGGTCTACTGCTGTGTGGTATCCCCACTGACTCACGCAGAGGTGGGCCTATAAGGATCACATCACAACAAGGAAACTAATACGTGTAGAACCGTTTTTTCATACAAGCTGCTAGATATCTAACACATTTCAGACCTGTCCATCTGCACCCCGTACAAATAAGCCCATCAAGTCATAACAAGCAGCCGAAAGAAATGGCGGAAGAAATTACACAGCGCCTTAAGTTAACCTGCAGCGCAAAGCTTGCCGAGCAAGCTGAGCGTTATGACGGTAAGATTTCATCGAAATATGCCATGACTCAAGTTATATAGAGATGGCAGACGCCATGAAAGCACTCGTCGAATCCTGCATAACTGGTAAAGAAGAACTTACAGTAGAGGAAAGAAACCTACTAGTAAGTTATAATTTATTATAATATACAACTATAGTCTGTCGCCTTTAAAAATTCAGTTGGATCGAGGCGTGCATCATGGCGTATTGTTAGCGGTGTAGAACAGAGAGAAGCAAACAAGTCTAATGTCGTACAACAAAACCTAGCAGCTGCATACCGTATGAAGATTGAAAAGGAACTGACACAAATATGCAACAATATATTAGCACTACTTGATGACAGACTCATACCAGCAACAACGGATAGCGAAAGTCAAGTATTCTACCATAAAATGAAAGGCGACTACTACAGGTACATTAGCGAGTACTCCAGTGATCAGGAAAAGGTACAAGCATCCGCTTCTGCTAAAGAGTCATACCAAAAAGCTACTGAAATTGCAGAAACGGAACTTAAGTCAACACACCCAATCAGACTGGGATTGGCCCTTAACTTCTCGGTATTCTTCTATGAAATTCTCAACAAACCACATGAGGCTTGTGAGATGGCTAAACGCGCATTCGATGAAGCAATCACCGAGTTCGACAGTGTCAGCGAGGATAGCTACAAGGACAGCACCCTCATCATGCAGTTACTACGCGACAATCTTACTCTTTGGGCGACGGATATCCAAAACGAAGCTTCGGGTGACAAGGCCAAGCAAGAAGAATGAACGCAATTAAAAAAAGTATCACTGGCTGTTGACAACATGTCACAGCAAAGCATTAGAAACGAACGTCTGCCAACCGAGCTATGCTGAATAGAGACGACGCCAATAAAAAAAACAAAATTGTAGACATCTGATACCTCCGGCCATGCTCATAACTCTTGCCGCGCTAATGTGACTGCTAGCCAGAAATAACTGTAATAAAGCCATACAATGGCAAGATATGAAACGATATGCCCATATTAATGATATTGGGGTCCAATGTTTGAGGAATGTGATTGAAAATGTGCAATTTCAACGTGCCGTTATCGACATTGGGATACGTTCGATTGCGTATTTGTGATTGGCGACATACATAATCGGTACACCTGGGATACGCCGAATACGTCGTTTCAAATCACGATCGTTCGTAGCCACGATATAGCACTTATGCTGCGATCATCATATATACAACAAAACAATATATGTACTTACCGTAGTTACACGCTCAACTATACAGTCATCAGCGTACGTACCCGTATGAGCACAAGTTAACCTAGAGACACGCGGATCCTTCACTAACTGTAGAGCAAGACGATAACGATGACCCAGCTTCTCCAACTCTGCCACAACACAGTCAGTGACACATACTATGCCTAAGACAAACGGTCAGTAAATATATGTATGATGACCAACATTTGGCAATGAGACAGTCAAGCATGCTTTTGTGGAGGTCCAATTTATTCTGTATTGAAGCGTTTACAAAGTTGGTATCCACAATAACTTGATATGGTGGCACCAAATTTTCATTGTAATTGAAAAACATGCCAGAGTGCACTTTAGGTCTACACAATTAAAATTAAATTGAGAAAGGGAACTAACGCTTCAACTAATGGCTCCGACTTTGGTTTCTTCTCTATAGTCTTTACAGTAGCACTGATATATGTGAATATGATAAGGTATTGTGATCTTACATCCTAGAATCCTTAGGGCTCATCCGACGTTTAACCGCAGCAAACTTTCTTGTCTTCTTGGCCTTACCCTAAGCACTATTAATTTTCATATATTAAGATTTACCATCTTTCAGCAAGGGTGGCCGGTTAATATTGACTGTTTGTTGCCTCCCACTTGATCGTATTTCACTCTAGGGCAAACGCGCGCTATATATTGCGGTATAAACCCTTAAGACGCGATGATATGTCTCTTAATAGAGCCTCATTCTTATCATAACACTGGACGGCACAACGTTCCATAGATGCAGATGAAGAATCCGCTTGACTAGATGAAGAAGAGGAATACTGTTCCACACAACGCTATGAAAAAGTTATGTTAATATGATAGATATTACCTTTTGACAACCTAATAATGCATCTTGAAGTTGATTAAGTTCTGTTTGAACAGCATTACCAAACCTCTCAGGTCTTTCCTGGCATTGTTTGACGCAATTACTAATTTTGTCTAGGTCCTCGTTACCGCTGTCAAAACAACGGACACAACATTCAAATGCAGACCTTTGAAGGGGTAAACTCATACGCGTTATATCACCGAGCATAACGTCAACATCCTTCTGAAACGCATCGGCACGGGCCATAAGCCCGAGACCTTCACGTGAACCAGAAGAGGATGAGGAGCTATCAGAACTACCGAACCAACCCATGATGAATAGAAAAATAAAATTGAGTAAAAAAAATGTAAGTTAGCCCACTGAAACTATGGCACACAGTGAAGCTCAGTCTGGAGGGTTTTATGCGCCCTAGCACCTTTTACCCAAAAAAATTTTAAACACGACGAGGAGGTTGGGGTTGTGGAGGTTTGACAAGCACCTGAGGAGGTACCTTGTTCATCAACGCCTTGTGAATGTGAGGGATAACACCACCACCAGCAATGGTCGCCTTGATGAGGGTGTCCAATTCTTCATCACCCCTAATGGCCAACTGCAAGTGACGAGGAGTGATACGTTTGACCTTGAGATCTTTTGAGGCGTTACCAGCCAATTCGAGCACTTCAGCGGTCAAGTACTCCAAGATGGCAGAGGTGTACACGGCAGCGGTTGAACCGACACGTCCATCAGCAGAGATACGTGACTTGAGCATACGGTGTACCCTACCAACGGGGAATTGTAGTCCAGCACGTGCGGCACGGCTCATTGGGGTTTTTTTGCCCTTGCCGGCACCTATAAATAATGTGAGGTATACACAAGATTATTAAACACACCTGCTTTGCCCTTACCACCTTTACCCAAACCACCTACTTTACCACCAATTTTTCCACCAATCTTACCACCAATTTTGCCACCGGCGTCCATTTTTAACAGCTATTCGAAAACGGTACCCGACTAGATACAGTAAGTACACACGCGAGAAGTTACGCGTGTTTATCGAGAAGTAACGAACGACGTTTCCTTTGTACGTGCACACACCGTTGGTTGTACAAAAAACGTTACAAATTGTGAATGAATTATTGCAACGTGTGATAACTCGTGGAAAAAATCACCACAGCGCGAAGCCACCCTACATCAATATGCCCCGTAAGCACCAAGCTGTTTTAAGTGCCACGTTTTGCGATAACAACGCTAAGAAAAAATTATATAAATAACAAAAACACACGCACCCAGACGCTATATTAACATTCACGCTCTACTACCGATTGATCGAATTGGATCAATAACGTTACAGAGCTCCCTTGAGCTTTATCTTGGATATTGTGTGCCGAAACAGCCGCTGGCTATACAACTATATTTTGGTGCAAAGGTGCTAGCAACTTACAAATTCAGACCAACGTAAAATACCCTCAACAATACCAGCAACGAAGGACGCGCAACTTGTGTGTTGTAAATCCTACATAATATACATATTTACACATTCAGTTACCTTAGGTGTACTGATGAATTTAGTTATCTGCAACTCTTGATCATTGATCATGTCTGAAAATCATACCAGACAATAATACACACTTACACTCTCGAGGATCATCTTTACCCTTTAGTAACACCGCGCTGTGGCCAAAAAGATGCTTCCATACACCACTTGAAATAAACGATAAAATAGAGACGATGTTCATGTGACGCTTAGTAGAACGATCACGCGCGCTTAACATCTCTAGAAGACGAGGGCCTACATCAAGACCCATAGAGTGTAAACTACGCAGACATATATATATTGCATAATATAGAGAGAACGGAACTCACCGATGAGTGAAACTGCAATCACGAGTGGCAGTGTACATACAATACTGGACCATCTCGCTAAACAAAAAGCAATATGCGCTCAGGCTCACCTATAGAGTAATCACAATGATATATAGATGCCAACCTTTGTCTTTGGACGGACAAGAGGCTCGCCAAGAACGTTACGGACGGATGACACATCCGAACCTGTCATCTTAACAACAACATATGTAGAGATAAATCAATACCCCGGCAAAAAAATTACTAGCAGTTATTTTACAGCTCAACAGTAAAGTGCCGGATCGATATTAGCAGGTGTAGCCTTTATCTCTGTACCAAGCTCCTCCTCAATCCTAAAACACTATAACACAACAACGGGCAAACTTACCTGAACAACGCGTCCTTATCTGAAACTGTAACCAAGTTTATTGCCAAACCTAAATGACCAAAACGTCCTGAACGACCTATACGATGAAGATATGTCGCAGAAGTCTTGGGAAAATCAAAGTTTATCACAACGTTCACAAAACGGAAGTCAATACCACGAGTAAATAAATCCGATGATACCAAACAACGACATGCACCGTTACGGAAGTCATGGAAGACCCGGTTACGATGAGCTTGTAACATACGAGCATGGATATAGTAACAACTGAAACCTAGTTCCGTAATCTTCTTAGCCAACAGCTCAACACGATTTACACTGTTACAAAATATAATAGCCTGGTTGATCTGAAGACGTGAAAATAAAGTACTCAAACAATGAACCTTTTGACGCTCCTCAACATAAGCATAATACTGAGTTACACCTTTCAACGTCAACTCATCCATCAAATTTATCTCATGAGCATTAGGCAAATGAGCCTCCTTGAACTTTTGAACCGACATTGGGAATGTAGCAGAATATAATATCATCTGTTTCTCAGTAGGTAAGAAACGTAATAACGCTTCAATTATAGGCTGAAACTCAACAGATAACATCTTATCAGCCTCATCCAATATAACAACCTGACACCTGGACAAATCTGCAATGTTCTTGTTAGTCAAATCCAATATACGACCAGGAGTACCACATAAAATATGAACTGGCTGGTATAAACGGACGATGTCGTCACGTAAAGATGTACCACCAGTAGATACCATGCACTGCACGTCAAGGTATTTACCCAATTCCTTAACAACCGCAGACGTCTGTAAAGCAAGCTCCCTTGTAGGTAGAAGAATCAAACCTATAATCACAATATAAAACAATTGAAAAAATTAATAGTACAAATATATAGATAGAAGCAAATAGTAATTAATATGGATTAAAACAAACCTTGAATATGATTATTGGCAGGGTTGAGCTTCTCCAGTAGAGGGATCACGAATGCTGCTGTTTTACCTGCAAAACATGTAATATCGATATGATAACATTAGCATAAAGAAGTACACTTCAACATACCTGTTCCATTCTTAGCACGAGCAAGAATATCGTGACCAGCAAGAGCCACAGGGATACTTTCTTCCTGAATTGGAGACGGTCTCTCGAACCCCTTCTCGAAAATACCCATCAAAAGCTCACGCTTCAAAAAGTAGTCCTCAAACTCACTACCCTTGGTCTTTGTCACATCCTACAAAAATGTAACACATAATAACAATTTACTCACCTCTGTCTTCTTTCGTTTATCTGCATTCTTATCTAAAACATCCTTTTTCCATTCTGGGTTCACAGAAGGAGCGTCGCTTGCCGATTTACGGCCATGGTCGCGACCAGCGTGACCGCCTTCAGGACCTGCGGACTTAAAATCACGTCCTATATTCATAGCTACAAATTATATATGGCGATAGGGCGAAAATGCCGTGATCTATGCTACGCTTAGCATAAGGCGATCGATATCGAGAGAGTTAACGGGAAAGAAAACGATTTGATAACTGGATAGCGCTGATTTCAACTTGTAAGGAATTATTTTCTCCTTTAATAGCTTGTAAATATCTACCAAGAAATATAACTGGAAGGATGCAACCAACCTCGCGACAAATTCCAACCACACAACGACAAACGACCGCACATATACAGACCGTGCATCTTACAACTATATCATCAACAATTATTGGTTATAATTACAAAACGATAACTTTTACCCTTATATAAGGATAACTAGCCTACAGATTCTTACGCCGAAGCGCCTTGCCAATATTGAATTGGCACATCTCCTATACTTTCGTATATTTGCGCACCAGATGGTACCTCCGTCCCAAAACTAGGGTCGCATATATCGATACTGTGAGAATCTGCCGGTAGACGAATGTAATTTGATGGAGTGTGTGAGTTTAGTCCCCGGTCATTGAGCAGTAGCTTAGATGCACGGAATACCTCACTCTCCAAGTCATAGACGTTACGTATGCGGAATAGCCTGGGGAAAGAATCCCCTGTTGCTATGCCGCCATACAAATACTTTTTAGTCCCCGTATCTGTAATGATATGAGCATGCTTACAATGGGTAATATACCTACCAGAGATTGGCAGCTCAAGTGATAGGAGGTAAAACACTGGTTTTGGTGACTCCGATTCAACCCCGAAGCTCTCGCTGCGGAGCTTCCTTTCAGTGCGATGACCGCTCCGTGTCATGGTAGGAATGAGATAGTATATGCTAATCCCCGATAACAATAAGGGATGTATATATTGGTGTGGAGAATGATAATTAGCTTAGTTGTCTTAACTTAACTATAGTGTAAATGAAACTCATCATAGCCGATATCGATCTTTAGAGATACCGCTTATACTAGGTATAGAGAGGAAGAAAGGACCACGAAGAGTCTAGAGGTACTAATATACAATAACGTCAAAAATCAACAGAAATTGCGATAACACAACTAGCACATCATATGTCAACCATATGCCGATATGATTAGGTCGTATTGCTGATTAAAATGGTATATTGATTTGACGGATGTGGACACTGAGTCAATGTCAAAATGTTGTCAGAGGGAGGGCATAGTACAACCTTTATCATACACACAGTGTGTAATGCAATAGATATTATTATTCGATGACAAGAATGTGACGGAAGGTAGACGCCCGCCGTGTGTGGCGTCGCAAGAGACTCTACAGCAGAAGGACTGCAACAATAACGTGCCAACATGAGCCACACATCAACTGGCAAGTAGCGCTACGAAGACAGATCACTAATAAACTGAACGCCATGCAAATTGGATACCGCTAACATATGCTTTACGATACATCAAAACGGTAAATCGATGACGCATGTGCTGGAATCCAACTAAAGGCCTAAGATTAATTTATATGACGCGTAACCATAGAAAATAACCATGTTCATATCAATATATTAGTCTAATAATCTGTCATTGAGTCAAAAAAAAAACAACGTCGCCGCGAGACACACTGCCGGGCATGGGCAACAAGAATACGTTTTGGATATGAAATTTGACCATTGTAACCAAATATTAAGGTTGATATTCGAGTTATAGACCTCTTGAATCAATATAACAAACGTTAACTTTCGAGAGCTCTCTATTAAGGAAGTACTGATATGTAACAGTCTAGGAGGCATTAAAAGTGATTGTATAGCAGCATACAAGGTATAATCAGGGCCAAGAGGTTAATAGTAGGAAGGTGTTAAGTGTGTGCTGAAGAATTTTTAAACTTACACGCGGATTCTTACACAGAACACAAAATATGTCACCCAGCGACACATCAAACGACACGTTACAGGAACAAGAACAAATGGAACACGATTTAGAATCACCATTTAATAGACATATAATGGCATCAGCCACACCAACAGCTAACTCCAGCAGATATGATACAGGTTCACCGAGATGGAGAGAAGCTACTTACCGGAGATTTTGCCCAGAGACAGACCATACACAATGTATATTCTGCCCTGAAAGCAGCCCTGTGGGAAATAATGGCGATTGTCAAGTAAGGTCTGTATCCAGGTTTAACTCTTTGTACACGCATCAGCCCTTAGTATATAGGGGATCGGTTCCAGCAACATGGAACTCACCATGTAAGTTATCTCATCTGTTTTATATACATTTCCCTAGCATCACAAACACACCAGACGTCAATTCCAAGTTTCGGAAATCTCGTGGGATTTAGTTCAGCCAGGGCACAAACAAGTGATTTGACATTAAATTCAAGTAGATTAACAAGAACACAACGGTCATGTAAGTAACAAAGTAACAACTTTCACATATCGTAGATATTAATGCAAGCCCGCCTAGTGCCAGAGAGGCACTCACAATGAGATTTATTAAGGCAAACATGTCTAGACACTACAGTAACGGAAGCGGGTCAAGAACACCACGTACAGACTCTATATCAAATACACCAGCACATTTTACACGCAGTAAGTTGCAAACATTACACAACTAAACAAGTGGTATAGATTGCTCGGCACCTGTCACAGCAGTACTATCGAGGACCACATCCATTCAGCCGCATTGCGATGATGCAGATGACAACATACCGAATCGTGATTATATGTCAAGAGGAAGAGGTGGTTACGCTAGACAACAAAGACAAATCAGTGAACCTGTTGGGAGAAACTACATGTCGGATCGTAACTTCTCCGCAGCACAGAGTGATATAGAAGCATTGAACAGAGCGTTACGTGATTTCCAACATAACTTCACAATATCACCAAGGGTATTTTTTACACTTTGATAGATTAATTATACGTAGGTGACACCTGCAAGAAGAGTAACAGGACATATGGATAATCTGGAGAGCGAACATGTCGCAGAAATAGATAGCCGATATGCACCAATTGTGTCAAACAATGAGACTGCAGATTACCACGAACAGTTAATGGCAGGAGCTAATACACCACGTGGTGAAATGGATGACGATGAATTCCAATATGGAGAACCACCTCGAGTATTCTATGACAACATGGACAGCTTAGACGCAGTGCCGGAACTGCTAGGGCTGCCAGATGATATCATATCACAGTTTCCAGTGACAGATTTCGATGCAGCCGCAGCAGAGACATGGAACGAAGACGCAAAACAATGCTCTATATGCCTTGATGCATATGAACAAGATCAACTTATAAGAAGGCTAGCTTGCACACACGGATATCATAAAGGATGTATCGATGAATGGTTGTCAAGGAGTACCGTCTGTCCTATATGCAAGTTTGATTACAGAATCATGATGTAGTTACCGCGGTATTAACCGATGTCGTGTACCGTGGGGAAATTAAACTTCTCGACTTAATAGGTACTGGAAGCACACATTGACATGAATATCAATTCACAATATAATAACATATAAGACATCGTTACAACGTAACGTAACACAGCCGATAACGGCTCTGTAGCTGGTACACACCAATGCGGTCTGCGACAATGAATCTGAAGAAATGAAAACAACGCTAATTTTAGCGACACTACTGCTATTAGCAGTAGATGCTGCAAATCATAAAGAAAATGATGTCGTATATTGTCATCACACTAGACTCAATCATGATTCCAAGTTGTCTCCAATACAATGCGTAGACCTTTGTAAACAAAAGGCAGCTGCGTGCGCCACGCCAACCACTCAATCGAAAAGTAATCCAAAAGCAGGAGGAAAACTTGTTAACATCGCTTGTTTCAATCAAAAGTATAAAGAATTACATGAAAATTGTATATTCACATTTGGAAAAAATGTCGATCCGAACATGATAGTCTCATCAGGATTGGTTGCAGTAAGAGCCAGAACCGATAAAACAGTCAAATTCTCAAGGATAAGTAAACCCACCGTATTCGCACAAATATTATCGGATGAAGCACAACCAAGATATGGGAGGGTCAAAATACAAAATCTACATGAAACCTCGTTTACACTATCTGTAGAACCACAGGATATTAGTGAGACAAGGAATGGCGATAATACAGAACCAATCTATTACGTTGCATGGTTTGTATTAGGAGAAGACACAAAACTAAAACAGTTTGGTGCATACCATGTACACCTACAAGTACTCAATTTTGAAGAAATCGAAACACGAACACTCACCATAGAAGCCGATGACAATAAAGATAGTATTTGGTCGGATAATATTGCACTGTTCGTCCAAGAGTTAACGCCAAATATTACCACTTCTGTCATACTATCCGTTCAAAAAGATAGAATAATCGTGGAGGTAACACCAAAGGCTGTAGCCAATGCAGCCAAACCAGGTGAAAAGTCAAAGGATAACGCTGTCGCATTGCTACTAGTTGATATGGAGTATTTCAAAAAACAAGAGACGGTGACCTTCGGTACTGTACCAGTGTCCTCACCAGCCATACACCCAAAAAAAGATAGTTTCCACCTGGAAACACACGATCTAGAAAACACACTGGTATTTTTCACACCATATTATAATCGCAATAGAGCGGCCGTACCAAAAGCTACATGCTGGTCAAATATAACGTCAGCAACAGAATGGAATTTTGCCTGCAAAGCGGAACCTATATCACTAGTCCAATTCGAATATGAGGGAACCCCAAACGTCGCTTTCTTAGCCGTTCATGCTATCACAGTTGACTCAGGTGAAGCCCTTAATGAATTCAGATATGGAAGTTGTAACTCGGCGTACTCAAAAAACAGCAAGGAAATACATAAATCACCTAAAAATAGAATCATGAAACAAGATATGGAATGCAAACGTTTATGTACCACACTCAGAAATAGATGTAAAGGAGATCTCAACTGTGTACAATCTTACATGGGTAGAGAATGTATAATGGGAGGCCTAGCATCTGAGCAGAAAAAAAAAGAAGAGCGTAAACACATGTTTGCAGACGCAGTGCAACTTCTAAATTATGAGTTAAAGGGATCTGTATGTGCCGGAATGTATGATGCCATGACGATCGAACAGGTACATGAACAACGAGTTTTTTGGATAGGGGAAGCTCAAAGGATATGTGAGGAGATAGAAAACAGTAACGATATACTGGTTGTAATCGATATGCACTTATCATTCAATTTATGTGACGGAATCAAAGAAGGAACAAGTGTTATATGGAAGTCACTAGAATCAATGAGAGACCACTATACCAAAGATGCAAAACCGGTACCTGTGGAAACAATTTTCGACAAGAAACATGTTTACGGGCTATGTATATATAATGGACATGTAATCATGCAAAACTACGCTGATACGTTACCAATACCTGAAGAAATTGGTGACGAACCAGAATCGGTAGATTGTATCGAATCAGAATGGGCAGAATGGAGTCCATGTAGCGCAGAATGTATGCCAGCAAATGGAAGAGTAGTCAAAAGACGGTTCAGGTATGTAATACGACCACGATCTGGAGATGGACGACAGTGTGTCACTGAGGAAGTGAAGGAATGCACAAACTATGAAATACCGAATTGTAGAGATATATGTCAACTCACAGAATGGGGAGAATGGTCTTCTTGTTCAAATAATACAAAACAGAGAGAACGTTTTATCAAAATTTATAGTCGACGCTGTGACGACGTACAATTGACGGAAATACAAGGATGCATGTCTAAAGATCAAGTAATATCAACATGGGATGAGGAAGAAGATGATTTCTATGGACAAGATTATGATACACAAGCGCTGGGTGGTGATCTAGGGGATGACATGGACCTAGAACATGGTTACGGGTTTTTGGAGACACAGAACACTGTTAAAGTTGGCGACGAACAACAGTCAACAGACGAACCTTTGGATAGTACTAATGATCGATCTGAAGAAAATTTCAAACGGAGGAAACGCAGAAGAAGTGGGAAAGGAAAACCAATAGATGGTACTTCCTTTTTCGAAACCCAAGGACCACAAGAATCAGAACACTGCCTGCTATGGTCAGAATGGTCCGGATGCTCATCAGCATGTGATGATGAAGAAGGACATGAGTACAAGTTGTCAAGCGCTTGTGATCCTCATAGTATATACGACCTGGCTGACGAGACGGAGTCACGCAAATGCCTTGAACAAGAAAAATGTGGACTCGTCGATAGAATAAATTGTGATACTGTCAAGAGTGCATTCTTCTCGGAAGTAGAAGATGCAGAATGCCGAAGAGAATGTTCACGACTAGTTTCATTGTGCAGAGATGAAAAGGAAACTAGTAATATGTCATGTTTTGCCAGACTTAAAGCAGATTCACTGGAATCTGGTGGGTTCTTCTTTAAATGTATATTCCCAGAAGAGGAGGAAAGAACGATACAGTTGATGCATACTTTGTTCCGCAATAAATGCTTCCTATCAAGGGCCGCGTACTCAGTAAAGGATAATTCGTGGGTCAACGATAAAAACCAGAGCTGCCACTGCTCTATCCCAGGTTCCGTACCATGTACAGCTAAAGAAATACACTACACCCGTGGTGAAGTATTCCGAGATCTTATAGAATCAGGTTTCTGCCCCAGCTTAAACTATAAACAGTCGTTTTTCAACATTTCAAAGGAAAATGCAACACCAGATTCACTAACCTATGTCTCTCTGGCAGATAACAAACGCCTGCACTGCCCACTTGAAGTAAATGAAACATTCACATACACGCAGTTCAAGACGGGAGAACTGGAAAACTTCTGTCGACATGGACCCATATATGCTGCACTTCGGCCAACGGTAGAAAATCCAGTAAAGCAGTATCCACATAATTACGACTGCGCAACTGCAGCAGCGGCAGGCAAAGACGCATCGGATCTAGAATGCATGGGACTATGCCGAACTATGAGAACGAGGTGTGCTTCGAGTCATGAGTCCTTTTTAAGGTGTGTGAAACAACGACTTACTGGAGAACTACCATATGAGTCGCACCTATTCAATAAATATGGTTGCCGTCTACCGTCTACATTAGACGCCACATTCGATGTGGACTACTATCGCGTCTACGTCTCAACATTCGACACAGAACAAATCGACAAAAAAGCATGTGCCATACTCACACAGAACGCTATCATGCAATGTGAGGCCAACGAACTGCTTAAGAACCACAATTCCATGACATGGTGTATGGCATCCTTGCTCGGAGAAGTAGAACCAACAACGACCGCCACGCCAAGGATACCAATAGAACCCATGCCAGATACGGCTGAACGCTTCAAAGAAAAATGTAAATTTGTACCTTCACGTAAAGCGGGTAGCGGATATGTTATGTGTAGGTTCCCTACCGAAAAAGAAAGCTATGCTAATTGGAGCGAATGGTCCGAGTGCACGGCCGATTGCAACGACTTCGAGTCCGTAGCCACACGCTACAGGACACGAAAAGTGGCTAAAGATGCAGAAAACTCATTCTTCCATGTAGGAGAAGGAACACTGCAGTTCGAACTCTGTCTACACTTGGGCGGCTGTGAAAAAGGTAGATGGGTAGACAGCCTTAGTGAAACGGACGAAACCATCCACATATTGGACTATGAAGCACATAAAGGAGAGAATGATGACCGAGCCAATAATTGGCTCGAAGAAACATACCGACAACATCCAGAGCTTCGAAATGCAGCTGTCGAAGACGCAACATGCCATATATACAAGTCACAAAAAATCATGACATCAAAGGGAGTGACGTGTGGTTGCCCTCGTGGACAAAAATCATGCTCATTCGCTACAGCAATGTCTAATCCTATGTGGATGGTAGGTATGGAAAACTTCTGTCGAACTCGACCTCTGGCGTCCATCGTTTTCGAAGGAGAGCTTAGCTACTATCAATATAACTGCAAAATCGGAATGTTATTAAGACATACACGAGACAGTGAAACATTGGAATGTGATTACTTCGACAATAACGAATATGTCGCGTGCCAAGAATCGGAGACACAACCTCTAACATTGCGCTCCAAACACTTCACGCTCATGGGAGTATGCCTGGGCATTGTATTCTGCGCATACTCAGCAATGCGCCATGTGATTAAAATGCGTAGGAGACGCTCTAGCCAACATAAAAAGAGCGAGTAACACTTGTAACTGTACCATTAATGTTTGTATAAAGCCACGTGACTATAACATGGGGAAACACAGAGACAGATCATCAGTCGAAAAATGGTTTCCAACGCTGTAAGCGGATCGTTTTTTTTAAAAAAGGCGTTTCCGACCGGTAGGTGCGTCTCAAACCACTTTGTAGCGCGCTTACCGTCGGCGATAGCCGACAAGAGGTACTCACACACGCATCATGAACCTCCGCACTTTGCATATAGAGGAGACGGCCTGCCGTCAGTTCCTTGTGAACAGATACAACAGATGGTGCATATGAACGAACGGATGGCTCATGGAAGGCTCGCTGCCATGAGGCCAGCTACCGGACCCCTGAGAGAGGCAGAATGCTCAGTAGAAGGTCACAGCATTGAGCTATACGAGGATTTGAAGGAACTACATGATCGAGTTCTTGCCTCCAATTGGCACGATTCCATTTCTATGATCATGAACGGCGATATCTTGGAGGCACGCCTGACGCAACTTAAGAGATTGGCAGAGGATGTCCCAGATATGCAAGTACAGGTGATGCTCAGCAAAACTCTAGAACTATTCGATGCACTATACAAGGCTGAAGATCTCCAGGATCACATATTCGAGCTGATCGAGGAACTTCCACACTTCGGAGGCAAACCCGCATCGGGAAGCCCAGTAGCAGCCGGAAACATCGACAAACACATCAAATTAGTTCTGGAAAGATACGCCCAACTTAAAAAAGAACACCCAAGATATACTGCAAAGATACAAGATTCAGTCGGTTATACCCTCGCATTATTGCGACAAAGGTATACATTCAGCTGGCCAGAGGAACACAAATACTTCTACTAATACAACATTAATCTGCAAGCATACTAAGTTATGCGTAAAAACTCCATCTATAGTAATGTTAAGTGAAAGTTGAGTTATGGCGTGGTAGATTCTGCTTTCTGTGCCCTTTCCCTTGCTGCACGAATACCCTGCTCTATATAACGAGTGTTCATCTTGATGTCTGGACAAAATGGAATGAAGCCGATTGTCACACCAGCAAATGTGCAGAGAACACCCTCGACGATGATTATACTTGAAGAACCAGAGTGAAATACACCAAGAGTGACGCCTACAATAAGACCACCGATAGTACCCAAAATGGCGCCACGACGACCCATGTAAACCACCGATGCACCAAGTAACATGAAACCTGAAGCGAAATACGAAGTATAGTAGAGTTCTAGAGTATAACTCAAAGTCAAACCGAGCGCAGCACCACCACCTGCAGATGCCAACACCAAGTAACCACCGGCACGGAAAAATTTACGGCACCACATCCCCTGAGATAGGTTAGTAACAACATTGCTGAAAACCAACCTGAGAAAAAAGCTTGCCGGATTGGTACAAACTTAGGTAAAGCAGACAGATACTTCCTATCAAGCAAAGTGTACTGCTCACCACATGCAATACAAAGCGACCTCGAGGAACAACTACCTTGGCGTTTTCGATCAGCGCGAGGATATGCGAAACTGTGTAACCCGGGCCATCGGAAGAAATGTCTTTTTTTGCACGCAACTTACTGTGAGGATTACCAATCACACCGGAAACACGAACAGCTGGAACCATAATTCGACCGCCATGTCCAACGGTCATGTGACCGGATTTAGGACCGGCTGATACATTCATAAAAAGCATATAAATGCTAAATAACAAGACAAAACCATTCATCGTCGATGTCTAGCACTTATAAGTGTGTACAATAAATGGTTATTACGCGCCAGAGCTGTGCCGCAAGGTAACACTGTGAGTCCAAAAAGGCGCACTTGATGTACCGAATGCATCAGACATAAGACGATCGGTTGTAGGTGTAGACAAATATAATCAACGACGTCAGACCTCCTAACAGACTAAATAGTGCCACGAAGATGGTCAAACGCCTAGGCTGCGGTATACCATGACAACTCACAAAGGAAGTATTGCTGTCCTCATTGCACAGTTCCTTATGTGAGTCGAAGTCCTGACGCAAAAAGCTACGAGTCAGACAACTATAACGATAGAAACCAGTGGCCTGGTCAAACAACACGGAACGCATCTCGTCTTCTTGACACAGTAGCTGTAACATGTCGAACCAACCTGATGAGTGCACAGACTCCAATACAGAACATGGGACAGTCTTCATTGGACACGAACATCTGCTTTTCTGAGAAATTATTAATATAGACGCCAAACAAATTCACCTGGTAAATAATGTTGTTATTAGTCAATTCACGCTGACCGCCGTATATCTTACAACGACGATCTGCGCTGGTCTCACCCTGACGAGCGTCACTTAAAACCCAACTCTGAAGCTCCCAATGAGATTCAAAGGCCTCTTCCATAGCAACATGAGTACGAACCTTGGTGACCTGCTTACGAATATTTGGATCGTTGGGACACTGTGGCAACCATAGACATGGTGCTTCCTCCCTTAAAAGTATGCCTTTCAACATACAATAAGCCAAGTCGGTAGGACTGACGCTTTTAAGACGCCTCTCACGTGTACGAGTTGGCATAACCACTTTGCCATTCGTTATATGTATACATGGCGCAGAACATGGCTTCCATGCATCCCAAGGTGTAGTCTCGCATATAAATTTACGCTTCTTGCAATAAACTAAACCGGAACCCATCAACTTCGCGCGCCTAAAGGTGCAATGGAGGTGGAAATTAATGGGCCGCCCGTTAGACAGACGAATGTCATTGTGTTTAATGTGATTTGACATGCACCGACGAATACGCTCCTCTCGATCGTGTGCCAGAAGTATCTTACACATATTAACCAGACGACGACATAAAGCAACACACTGACGAGTAATTGTTTCACTTCGCGCAGTTATATTGCAAATACCCTTCTCATCAACGGTGGGTGTAACCACAGGATCGCTGCAGCCATGGAACTTGAAATTCAATACAAATACATTGTTTGTGAACGTGTTTAATCGATGATGGACACACATTCCAACTTTCTCCATTGAAAAACGTGTTACCTCGTTCTCGCAAACTTTCCTGATATCATGGCAACGTCCCTCACAATCAGATTCTAATGTGTAATCGGTATCCCTCGCAAGACGACAATCGATCCATATGATATCCTCACCAAACTCCGCTACCTCCGTACTACCTGTTGCACAAAAGTTACCTAACTCCGATGAATTAAAACGCCCGTATGCTATATCTCGAACCAAGTCTGTAGGCAACTCAATGCGATTATAATCAGACAGCGATATGTGTGACTGGTATGGTGCCGCCCTCACCAGGTGCTCAAGATACACGTCAGTATCTGTAGAAACAAGTTCTGAAGTCTCCCCAAGCACATGAACCTCCTCAGCAGAACATGCAATACCTTCCTCGCACAAACATGAACCATCCTTAGTCCAAGCCTTCACCGCGGGGTCATAAAAGGCATATTTAAGGACACAACTGTGAAACTGCTTAGTGTTAATTAGCTCCTCCTTTGGAGGACACGGCTCAAGTTGCTTGGTACACTGACGACGATGATCAAAACATGTTATGGGTACACGGAGGTACTCGGTCGCAACGTCATTCATCGGCATCTCACAAGGAGCATTGCACGCAGACCAATTATTAGGATCGTTACATCGCTCGTCATACCTGTTCACAAGTTCAGCATCAGAAGCAGATTGAGATGGAGACAAACCTAATATGTTATGTGTTTTCACCATGCGAGTAACAACAGCCGAGTCGTGAACAGATCCAGCTATAAAGGTAAAGTTTTCCTTCTCATTTGCAATATAGCCTCCTGGCTCCGTACACTTTTCTGACCAAATGTAAAAATACTTCTGTTGAAATGTTGTAGCATTCCCCGCACCTTCACGAGAGTAACAGTATTCCGAACACGGCGGAACACCAGTACACTCACGGGTCTCAGACAATTGACAAGACGAAGAATTCTTACCAACTTTGTTAGCATACACCGGACGACGACGAGTCTGTACAGTTTTCAATCTTTCAGATGAACATCTATTGCTGCAAGCAGACCATTCTCCCCATGGGCCAGCTATACAATCTCGCTGAAACAAATCTTCCTCTTCATCTTCTTCTTCATCATCACCCGTATACGGGGCATCCGCCTCATCTTCGCCAGAACTTTCTTCCGAATCTGGCGGAGAATCGCTAGGTTGATCCGAGTTTTGTGCATTATCAGGGACTGTTACCTGTGGATGGTGCTTCCGGACATACGCAGCGTATTCGGCAATCATCTCCTTCAAACCGGGCATCTCTAGAATACATTGTTTACGCTTATCATGGAAACACTTGGCGATGTCCTCCTGGTAGACACAACTACGAAGACCGTCCAATCCGACGCAGTACTCATAGCAACTCTTACTTATGAGGTGATTTTCTTTCTTCTGAGCATATTTGCATATTCTCTCCACCATGGCACTAGATATATCTTGCATCAAAAAACCGCTAAGGTGCGTTTGGTATTCACGCTCCCCCTTCCAAACGACGTCGGTACTGATGAAGGTTGTAACATCGTAAGTCAACGCATCACCACTCAACTCTGGAGGGCCAGACACTTCACTAATACGTAATGCACCTGCGGTTGACTCATTTACGTGATCGTTTCTGCGTAACTGCGAATACATATGCCCAAATATATGCTTAGGATACAGCCATGAATAAGGTAGCTTGAGAGACACTTTCGTGGTCTTATCGTTACTGGGCGTACCCGAGAATGTTATAAGCTTCATTTCATGCAGCTGGGCATCAACCTTTTGCTCGATGGCCATATATCCAATAGACACAGCTTCATTTCCTTCTCCCCTATTAGTGGTGACCACAAGGTTGACGTTGTATGTGTTTTCGACATTTGACAAAACAGGAACAACCAACACACCGCGATGGTAAGGTGTATTTTTAACTGCAGATGACGATCTTCCTTGGTCCTGTAACAACACAGCCCATTTCTTGTTTGGGTCAAGTGGTATCGCCACCGCATCAGACACATCGCACCCAAGCACCCCTACCTGTATATTCCCATTCGGGTCCCAAGAGTGATCTCCCTTACTAATAGCAATCCATTGAACATTATATTCGGCCGTTTCTGACGAAATGCTACACATATTGTCACATCTCAGAGTGTACCCAGAAATTATAAACCCTGAAGAACTAACATCATGCACCACCGTATGCAATAAGTAGCTATCCGAATGTGGAATCGATGTAAAAACAACAGGATTTTCTAGCTCTTTACTAAAGACGACGTCTCTCCACATAGAAGTCACCACTGTTGTCTCTCCGACCTCGTATTCTGCCATACGTCCACAGAACATGGGTATAACTTACTAGGTTCAAAGTATGTTTCTTCGTTAAACTGAGAATATGGCAGATCAATCTTGTCTATATGGCGTATAATAACAACATAACAACAAACTAACCAAAGAGATATCGACAACGTTGTTCGAAGGCGTTCGTCTTGAAAAGGCTGGCTATGCAGTTAACCCTCTCCCTTCGAGGCATCGGAAGATCAGCATCAGAACACTCCTTTGAATAGTGCATACATATATGCATACAGAAGCTCTCATCAGCTACATCTGCCGCGTAGAATAATTGGCAGTCCAAGGCGTGTACTGCACCACTGTAAGTTCCATACGCTGGAAGTGCTCCTAACCTTTGAGGCATAGACGCTTAAATGTCTTCACAGTCCACGTTCCTTTACACGATCCTAGCCTTGACAACGGCATTACACAAGATGTACTATGCTTGCAATGACGCCAAGCGATTTCCTTGAAATCCACCCGAAGAGTACCACACATGGCTAAAGCCTCCACGATGACAACGACATGACCGGCAGGGCAATTGACAATCAAATTCATATCTTTTATGGTCATATCTTCGGTGGCTTCATCTACAGGCGTTCTGCTGGCATTGTTCTCCTCTGCTATAATTTTTGCGTTTAAAATGTTATGGTGCACAAGGAACCTTGTGAAAATTACAACCTACCGACCACGTGGACGCAACACAAATACAAGAACGATTATACTTACCATATTCTGATTCAGTAGGCAAATCGTCTGGTGGCGCATCAATAGCCGGTTTATCAGTAGGTGGTTCAGCATTAGCTGGAGGCTCCTCCTTCGACTTGGAACCACTGGCTGGATTGTGAATGACAATCCTGGTTAAAGCATCACCAATGTCTTTGAAACGCGACTTTGTCATACCGAATGGATTCCGGAATACTCGATGTCTGATCTGCTATGAAAAATTGTAGCCTTAAACCAACTTGGTATCACTTTGGGTCTTTCCTTGCTGCGCAGCAGACCTGCCACCACCAAAGTTAACTATACCAGCAAACGTCTCTATGGGAGCAAGCAGCACAATCAGGAGACAAACCCCGAGCGTTGAGACTTGAAGAGGCGGCATCGTAATGTGTTGACACCTCGTGTGTTGCAGTCACGTACGCATAAGTTCAGCGACACTATCGTGAAGGCTATGTGATGCCTGGTACGTTACGACAGGCTTTCCGGTATAAGTAGCTATGAGGCCCGCGTACCTCAGTGATCTATATATGCGTAATGGTCGTTCAACAACGCGTCCCACTTGGGAACATATATTTCTCCGGCTCATCAGTGTTCTGCTGCAGTGTTGCGTCCCACGCAATACATCCCTAAAGAATGGCGCAAATATACCGATATATTGATACATTTTGAAGTAAGTGGGATGACATATGTGATATGGAGTTAGTTATGTTGTGAATGAGAGGAGCGTGTGGCACATGGTGCCGGACTTACAACGTATATCATGCATCATTTGAAATCGCTACCTCAACACACATTTTATTACAATTATTATATCCATAGTTGGTGCCGGGAGGCATCGTAATGGCGGTTCCTAAGAACAAACGCAGCAAGGCAAAGGTCAAGCAGCGCGGTAACATCATCTTCTTTGATCAATTGTGCGGTAATTGGTTGCGCCACAGAGATTGGTAAGTTTTACATTTAGCAGTGATGTGTGACTATTAATAGGTTCTACCGAAGGTTGTCTGTGCAGCGTATGCTACCACCGTGCTCCGAGGGCGTGGGACCGGCTACACCTAGACCAGTGTTATTCCCAGGATTTTGGTCTAACAGGTTGGTGGAGATATCACATAGTAATCAAAGTTGTACTGCAGCTTCGTCTCGGCAGCTATTCGCGGTATACGGAGAGCGGGGCGCTGAAACCGGAGGATTGACGGCCGATCGCAATCACAAATCTAAATTAAATTGTGTACTAATATAACATACTTATATGTTAATGTGTAGAATGTGTATTGACTCGCACCGGTGGGGTACGATTGGTTAGAGACGACGACGACGCAGGGATACCATGACCTATTGATTGTGCCTTGTGCCAACAATGAGGGCTATATTCACCTTAGCAAGGCGCTCTGGTGCCTCTGCGTCGTGTCTACCGCCGTCATCGCACAAACAAATCCATCGACGCTGGCTAGGTCAAGCTCCATCAGGACGACAGGTTAACAATGTAAGTTACGCGCAATTATAACGCTAATTAGTTTTGATTCAAATATCATTGACGTATAGGTCGATACAGCTTGTGCAGAAGCAAAAAAGTTGTTCTATAAATCATCCTTAGGATACGCGGAATTCGCAAAGCGCATTGAGTCCCTTAGGTTGCTTGCGTTTTGGGCGCTTGTTACAGGACTCACAGTAGATTTAGTAATGCGTCCACCGCAGAGTTCATACTGGGCCAAATGGAACCTACTGAAGATGCCATCAAGACTCATGGACAAGTTCGGCCAGAAGCCAGCACCTGTACAAACCCCTGAAACCGCAAAACTCGGACCGGATCACCTTACCGATGCTGCTAGGGAGTACCATCGTGTTTGCAACATATAAGCCGCTGTTTGTTGGATGCATTATGTATGCGTCATGAACTACGATCATCATACAAGAAAAAATTTACAATGAACGTTATCCAGTCTCGTTCAGCGCAGCAGCCATTTGTTTTTTCTGCTCCGCTGTTAATACACGCGGGAATGTGACATCGAACTCCAAAATTAGGTCACCACGGTGTGATGGACTCTTGGAGATCGGCATCCCTTCATTGGGTATTACTTTTCTGTACGATGGAGAAACGACATCGACAATTCTGGTTGTCAACCTGCGATTGTCTAATGTTGTCAGCGTCGCCTGGAATCCAGTCAGTGCCTTGACTAAGGGGACTGTAAACTTGTACACTAAGTTGTTGCCGTCACGAACGAATCTTGGGTGTGGTTTAGCACGAATGATGAATATAAGGTCACCGGGTGGGCTGCCAGGTGCGGCTTGGTCTCCTTCACCAGAAAATGTTAACTTGGTTCCGTCTTTCCAGCCCTGAAGGTATTGCGCAAAATCGCATTAAAACATACCGGTTTAATATCAATTTTAAGTATTTGCTCCTCCTTGTACTCACCACCGTTTGCAAATCTCTTACGTGTGATTTTCATCTTCTTAACTGTGCCAGTGTAGAGCTCCTCAAGAGTAACAGGTAGGTCCAATTCATAGTTGGGAGACTTTTGGCAGCGTTGCCTGGCGCCATGAGGCATGCCGAACGCCTCACTAAAACCACCCATATCATCTCCGAAACCACCGTTAAACATGAAACCACGGTCAGCACCGAAAAACTTCTTGAATAATTCTGTTGGATCCACGCCCGTATCTGCATATAAATTAGATGACTAAAGAATAAATTGAACTTACAGACATACTGGTGCCCTGCAGCACTGTGGCCCTGAGTTCCAGCTGTACCTTTGAGACCTTCCTCTCCAAATTGATCGTATATCTTTCGTTTCTCAGGATCGGATAACACATCATAGGCCTCAGACACGTTCTTGAACATATCTTCTGCCTGAAAGCAATAAAACTGTTGGCTTTGAAACACACCTTTTGTTTTGCGGCTGGGTCCGGATGTTTGTCCGGGTGCCATTGCATCGCCAGCTTACGGTATGCCTTCTTTAGTTCGGCATCGTTACATCCACGGTTCACGCCGAGGATGGCGTAGTAGTCCTATGGGAAACGTTAACTTTCATGATGATATATTAAAAAAATACCTGGCCCATCTTCAAAATTCGATGCAGGGCGTGACGAAGGTTGATATAAATGTGCAGCGCACGAGCCTATTACAGGTCGTCGGCTGAAATCCAGTCTATATATAAGTCTCAAAATCTTTTGATCAAAGTTGCATTTTGCTCTCTATACTTTCTAGTGAGCATTGTCCGCCTAGTCGTCGATCGCGCGCCCAAGAGTACGCAGGCGAGGCGGGCGCAATGTTCTGCCGTAGTGTATAATGACCTTCAGGTAGTCACAAAACTTCAAAGCAACTGTAAGACATACGACTCACACACTTGGCCGTTTTAGGTCGTGCGTTGGCCACGTGCATTAGTTAAGTGTCACTGACTCAGTAATACCCTTGCCACGCTACGTGGTTAAATATCTGCACGGCGCGTTGGGCCAAACACATTCGTGTTATTATAATTTCTGTGTTGCGTTAAATTGGTGGCCGTAGACGCGGTCGCTGGCTCCTTATCACGTACCTAGGATTGTACGGGGGCACCGTTGAAAATGCTATCACTATATGGTTGAGGCGACTCATATCCACGGTACGTCACGAACCGTAGCGTATTTGGCCATATATGTTTACGCATCACGGCTCATTGCTGAACCAATAGGACCGAAATGGCACATATCTTCCTTGTGTACTCCACCTACTCGTCACATGACATGGCCGTTTACACACACATATGAACAACTATTGATACTATTATAATAGCATGTTCTTTTTTTAAAAAGGGATGCCGCGACGAACGGAGTCGTCTATCACTGTCACAGGTCTAGCAGTCTGGACAACGGTTGCTGCACCCTCGACCTTCTTTGCGAGGTTACTATACGATGGGCTATTGCGATAATTGTCGAGAGAGTTGTCATACTTCCATAGACGCAGCTGGACAAAATCATCAAAATAGCTATATAAAACTTACCTGTAAGTAATGCGGCAGGGGCTCATCCCAGTTTACTGCCTTATACAGACGGGTATATTTGTAATCCGAAGAACGCTGTGCTAGTCTAGCTAAACGATTCCAGTTAGATTCGAAATCCTTGACAGAAGATGTGTTATATGCCACCAGTTCTAAGTTGTCGCTGAACTCGCCGGATGCAACACGTTGACGACGACTTTTAATACCCACTATAGCACCCAAAGTCGCACCTGCACAAATCATAATTACATGTTGCTGTTTAAGAGTCGCATACGCATAGAACTCCAGCAGCTCCTCTGCGAGGCTACTGCAGCCACGCGATATTCGGGAAAACAAACACTTTACCATATCATATTTATTAAAATTTAAATGAAATAGAACAGTGTAACCCTGTCGTTGGTGTTAACATGCATATGGAAGGCACCTCAGTGTATGCACACTACGTAATTAGACAACTGTATTTCAGTAGAACGACAATATCAGTCACATATACCGCGAAGCTGCTGCTCCGTTTCCAGCTCTTCCAAAAGTTGAACGCCATTTTCGCAGTCCCGGAAGCGCTCTGGAACACACACATCTCGTTCCTGATGTGTGTATAAAAGACCCACCAAAACCTACCCTAGTCTTGCAGTGGTTAAAGGTATCGATGAACCTAGTTCGGGACATTGTTGTTGCCCCGATGCTACGTTTGTAAGGAATCTCCATACCCAAGTCCCACACCTCGATGCCTGAGCAATATTGCAAAAGAATGATACCTTCACCAACCTTGGAAATGCAAAATAGCAGCCAATGCATACAATTGAAACGTCCCTGATGAATTTAGATTGTGGAATCCAGTGACACTGGTGTATACAGCCCCCGTCGCAACTGCGGTCCACTTATCATGGTAGAAAAGATACTTACAGCCGATTTCGCCGGCGACAAGCTCACCACCTTTCCAAACCTCCACAGAATGTAGACGTGTTTTGAGATTCTTAAAACGGTGTCGCTGATAGTACATTATGTTGAACTCTTGCTGCATTTCAGGGTACATCCAATTTTCACCGTGCTGCTGCACTATCCCCCTGATAACCTAAAAAAAGTTACATTATACAAGCCAAAACTCATAGTGAATACATAGTACAGTGAAAATCGAAAAAACAATCGTAAAATAACATTACAAGTGATACTCTCGATCGCTTACCCGGTGGAATACCGTGTCCATAGTCACTCTAAGGTTACGAGCGGCTCGTTTGCCAGCTTTTGTCATACGTATCCATAAAGGTCTAAGATATGCACGCTCGCTGTGCATTTTTGGCACCAGCAACCTCTTTGGGTGTCTAAATGCCTCCACACTCACAGCGACCGTAATGAACCCTCTTGCTGAAAGACGGTACATGAGCTCTCCTTCTATATAAGGTGACCAAGCTGTCTCGCCTGCACAGATGACACGCACAAGATACGAAAACATACCCTCGAAAAACGGCTGAAGGAATGCAAAAACGACCTCATCGACGTCGCTATATGGCGTTACCATAGGTGTCAATGTGATTGCACATTGTGAATCCAAAAGACGACGTATGAAGCAACACGCATCAATATCTCGAACAAGCTGCATCAGTTTTGAATACCAAGGAGCATCTTTAGGTCCATGATTATTCCATATTTGGAACACTAGCCCCCTAGCTAATTCATATCTCAATTCATATTCCTGTTTGGTAAACAACAGCACTTCCAACTTCATTAAATCTTCTCTAACATTCGGAAAAACTACACATTTACGTGTGCGTTGGGCTTGTTCTATTGTTGTGAACAAACGCATCCAACGTTCACTGTCTAGACAGCTGGAGAAACATGAAATTCTCCCAAGAAAATCGGGCCTTAGTATCGGCATAACTGGCCATTCGAACGTTGTAGTGGTGAATTGTAAGATATCCACATTAGACATTTGCAGTACCTTTTCATCCCAATCAACGTTCCTAGCTTCCTCCAGCTCCCAGGGACTGGGCTCACGTTGAACGTTAGCGCCATGTCCCTCGTTTCCTTCCATCGCAAGATAAAATGTTAATTATACCATTTGATTATTACATGTGACTTACAGCCGTTTCATGTTCCGGTAATGAACTTTTACCGAAGTGTGTGGAGTGCCAGCTGTTGTAGTCGGGCATCTTCGTCCAAAATTCCCAACCTTCCAACTACCATATTGAACCAAGAAGATATGTCAAACACTAAACTATAAATACAGGCTGATGGATACGCCCAAAACCCTCAGCGGCCTACACCTGGCAGCCTGTATTGTACGTCGTGACTTCCATGGAATCTGCCCATCGTACAGCGTTCGAGGTGTAGACAGCCAACCAAGAAAGAAGGCCAAACGTGACACGAATATCGAAGAACAAGTGTTATATCGACCTTTTAATGATGATAACGAGGCTTTACACCGATATCTCTCCGTGTCACCAAGGGCGGTGGAGGTGTTCGACCTCTTAGGAAGTGGTGATGCCAATGCTCAAAGGCCTGGATTGGCATTGTTATGGTTCATACTTTCACGATGCTCAAACGAAGAGACGCGACAGCAAGTAGCTGACCATGTGCTCACTCGCCTATGCGAGCAGATGCCTGAACTAATCGCACTTGGAGATACAGCGCTGCACTATCTGTTAAACATTGTCTTAGAATGCGTAAGGATAGCACCTGTTGAAAAAATACGGGTATTCCTTTCCACATTCGGATTTTATAAATTTTTTGGGAAGCAAAGTGTCCCTAAGGCCAAATGCAACGCATTCTCAGTTGCGGCGTTCCACTCCTTCCTTGTTGAAAATGGACTCATCGAAGATTTGGGCTTGTGTGAATTCCTACCAAAAGACAGTAATCTTTTCGGAGATGTTACTGATCTCGTGGAGCTGTGCTACGCCAATCATAAAAAGCAGCTATGCATTTTGCTACTCTTAGGATTAAAGGGGTTCAACATCATTGATCAGACGTATATAGTACGTCAGGTGTTCGCTCACGTAAAACATGACGGCTTTATGGACTCCATATGTACCATACGGCTATTCATCATAGCCATGTCAAATTTCATGACTACCCAATATCCCAGACTAGCGTTCACTATTCGTGATACCAAGTGGTCAGATGTACCGCATTCAGTAATATCCTCCACAGCTACTGCACTCTCGCACGCTATAGGCCACGTTACAGAAACACAAGAAAAAGATCAAGAAAGGATAGTAAGACTGACCAGGATCATCGTGGATATGTGCTCAGAATTCATTGACAATCTCCACTCCATATCTGATGTTTCCACAATGGCAACCGTGCTTAATATCTTTGATCCCGCACAACTGGTAACAGGCGAAATTGTTTCACCAATACTAAAACAGAACCGTGCCTTGGGCCCACTCTACATGTCATCCATGAAATGCAAGTATAATGGAGACCTCGAATACGTTGCATTGCTCAAGTTTCTGACCACATGGTTTGAACACACATCAACACTAGCCGTGACGCCGGACGATTGCCTGCTTTATATACCCCCAGTACTCACCCCAAGCTTCTTTAATGCCGGACTCCTATCTGGAGATGAGTCGACTAGTCGAGGTGCCCTGCGAATGCTGGCAGCTTTGATGAGATACTTGATCGCCTCCGCTGCTCAGGGATCCCGTTCTATCGCATCTACCACCATTTCTGAACGTCTGTATGACATAATCCCAGATTTCAAGACACTGGTTAATGCTAAAACAGCTTTAAGCAGGAAACAAAAAGTTGAAAAGGATAACTTATCCATCAACATCAAGAATGAAACACGTTCCATGGTATCTACAGAATTAGGAGCTGTGGTAACAGGTGACTCGAAAAAACATATTTTGGGTATTGATGAAACTGTCGAACCAATTACAGACTGGCTAGATTGCCTGTACCTTTACAGTACAGTCGTCGGAATTGGAGATGGAAAGAGTTTGTACGATCCTTGTAAGCTTTTGAAGGAAGATGTCATCATTAAAAATGCGAACACGCTCACTTCTGCAATCAACGATAAAAATGAGGGCCATATGGATACCTCTAAGTTAGCTTGCAGTATAAAACTAGGCATCTCTCTGGCAAATTGTCTATTTTGCTTAGGTATCGGGGAAATCCATTCAGGTGTCGCTCTGACCAAAGTACAAAACATTTGCTTTCAATATATACTGCGCCGCTATGTGGAGTTGAAATCGGCAATGGAGCAACATAAATGGGATTTGAATCTATTATTTGACTACCAGGAGCGGTGCAAAAGTTGCGTTAGATATGTTATAGAAAACAGCGGGGTATTCCCGAAGGAGGTCGATTCATGGATATCTGGCATCAAAACTGAAAGTGACATCCACGTTTTCCATTTGTTGTTCAACTACTGCACAGAAACACCGCTAGATGCGCTTTTTGGATGCCTGTCTGCGAAACCAGCAGATAACCCTGCAGTCAACTTTAAGTGCCTCAACTGTTTTACCGCTAAAGAGTTCAAAGGGCCCCTTTTTATGCGAGCATCGCTGGATTTCTTACTACACTTATCTAGTCAGGACGCAGACCAACTTCAATGCGATGATTGCGGCACCAGACAAATGAATCTGGTTAAGGAGTTCACGAAGCGGGGGAGTGAAGCATCTGTGGACCCGGCAATAGCTGCAGAGTACATACTTAGGGTATGTACTCAAGCCAATACAGGCGTATCTAGTGGATGCGTTAAACGTGTAATTCACGCAGTGTTGTCGAAACACGATCTGAAACTAGAGAAGAAAACTGTGCGTAGAGGCAGGAAAAGGAAACGTGCTACTAAATCTCGTTTAGACTGCGCCACAACAACAACCTCTGCGGTGCCCACAGTGGTGGATAACAAGTATCTCATGGGATGCTCGTCATCGATTAATGCCATCGAGAGTTTCAATCAGGACGTATTGGCTCTCAAGGAGCTTGGTAATATCACCATCGATGTTCTGATTGCTCGCTTATCACAGTCACCCGAGCATATCCTCGCAGTTAAAGAAGAATGGGCATCTGAGCAGCAACGTCCAGTGCTGATAAAATTGATCAATATGGGCATATTAAGGTTGTATACAAACCTTTTTTCCATAATGGCGGCACTACTGGATTCCGATGATGTGACGATTGTGACACCGGATGAATTCAAAGAAGTGGAGTTTGATGACGATCTGCGTTGGGCCCAACTTTATTATTTGCAACGCCGATTCTCACTAGAATGCGAAGTTTCAGGTACTATTTCTATGGTCCAGGATCGTATGTTGGCCATGTTGAGTGAAATATGCGCTGACGCTGATACCGATGACGAACTCAAGACAGCTATGGCCCTTACTATTTCAAAGTTGTGTACCATGATACCACCATCCGCAGTGGAATACGATGCACCAGAGCTCTTGGTAGGCGTGATGAAGTCAGTAAGATTGCCCATAGAGTGCAACAAATGTGACGATGTTCTGTCATGTGAGTTCGGGTACGCAAAATACATGCTTGATATCGCATCGTACCTCGCCTCAGCTATACCGACATCTGACCTGACTATCGCATATGAACTGTTACAATCGCCACAAATGTTGGAAATGACCGAAGCGATTTGCGAACTAAACAGTCATCAGCATTTTACTGGAGATACAATCGAAGCATACCTATTTTTGTCATTCGTGACATTTATGATGTCGTTGATACGTCACATTTGCAATGTGGATGCTGATATGACAAAAATTGACCGCGAAATCATCTGTCGACTGCTAGAGGCCGTAGCAGGATGTTATAGGTGTTCGTACTCTGACAGTGATTTAGTCGTGCGGGATATAATCATGGCTCTCGTTCGTACCCTAGGTGGTTTGATGGAGGACCCAAAGTCGGTTTGTATGAAACTACCACCGTTTAAAGACTTCGCATGTATCTCTGAACTATCATGCCACGCAGATAGTTCAATATCGGACAAAGATGTTAGTGGTGCATTGGGATCAACACGCACAAAGCAGTACGGCCGTAGAACAATTAACCACGGTGTCTCCCGTGGATGGATAAAGATGAAGTCGGGGTTTGCAATGGTATCTGCCAGCTCTAATTGGCTATGCCTAAATAATAAACGTGTATCAATGACACTTTTATCGTTCCCAGCCGGAGGCAGTGCCGATCGCGGGAATTTGAAAGATACTTATCGCATCATCTCCATTATGTGGCCACCTACAACGCCGCAAGCGTCCGATAGGAGTGATACGGTCTTGCGGGCCATCACACGCCTTGACAAGATCTTAAGTAATCACAGTAAATATCTGGAACAGTTGGTGGTGGGGGATCCTTACATCTACGATACAACATATTTGATCCCATTTATTTTGGGAAGGCTCTGCGCCATGCTCTACGATCAGTTATATCAGTACAAGCAAGAACTTAACAGCGCATTCGAGAGCATGGGAGCGTTGCACGGAAATACAGATGAAGCTGCTCCCAACAGATTTATTAAATTCTTCTCTTTACCGGAGGCCAAAGCCGCCGCGAAACGGTTATATGAACAAATGCAGTCATTCAAGTTCGACTTCGCCATTGGAGAGGTTTTCAGTCCCTTGTTCATGGAACAAGTGGTCCGCAACGGTGTGGTCGAGATATGCACGCTTGGCCTATTGTCCGCAGATACTCGCAAAGATTCCATAAAAGCATTGGGGATCATCACCAAACTTATCCAGAATATGATGGACGCTACCATAGTTCGATCTGTGGTCCCTGGCAAAGACGGGCCATACAAATTGCGACGTGTTGGATTATTCGGCATACATCAAGTGCACGCAGTATTGTTCTTCATACAAAGGTGTCTACTCTATACCGATACCGGTGACCCGGCTCTACCTATGTTGATAGCATCGCAGATGTTTCGTCATGTCATCAAACCAGAAGATCCTCTTTACCAGCTTGGAAACAAATACTTCATTTCGAAATTCCAGCCATCTATGGGAGAAGTTCCATTATTTTTTGAATGTTTCAATGTGCAAGGTGTGACCGAAAGGATCCATTTCCTGTCGTTCATACTTCAGGTATTGTTAGGTTCAGCTTTCCTGCTAAACGATTGCAAGACACTGTTTCGTCGCCGAGTGCTGCAGCAACTCCTTTCGTTCGCTCTAGTGGATACAACGCGTTGCGAACATCGAATACAGATCTGTGCGTTCTTGCATCGATGCGTTCTGAGGCATTCTACCATAATCACGGAACTGTACTCCATCGGCACCGCAACATGGGCAAGCGCAATGTCACTCTTGTTGCGGAGCTCCAATTTTACAGAGGCAAAAGACGTGGTTCTTAGCACTGTATTACTATGCTCATTGACCTCTCTGGTACGGAGCCTTGGGTTAGCCATTTGTGACCAGTTTTCCTCAGCAAGTGGTACGGCCGATGCAGTAGAGAGTCAAGAGCACTCATTTCCTACCTTAAATGGCGGTAATGACGCCGACGGAGAAGTCGCCTTGCCTAAGTCCAACAATTTGATAGATACAATGGATTCAAACGTCAGATATGTAATAGCCACTCTTGAGGCGCTACAACGGATAGCAGAGGCATGGTGTTACCTTATTGGCCATGTTCCTAAGGAAAAAATACAACGCTTACAGTTCGAAGGGTATCGTATCTATTCCCTCGCTATGAAGGAAGTGTTGTTTGCCTTGAGACAAACTGTTATGGCACCTAACGTTTGTTCTGATGTTACTATCAGCAACCTGCTCTTGACCGCTGTCGAGATGGCGGAGAGTGCCATAGGCAGAGCGACGTCTATTATGTCTAACCCGTAAAAAATTGAATGTGCGTTTATAATACATTTCATACTTTCTTACATTCATTGTCAAAGTTCACTCGCTCTATACATTTAGCAGAGCAGAAAGATAGATACATATTATGCTGCAAGTCTTCTCGCTGTCACGAGGGATTTCCAAGAATTCCCAACCATTCTCGGTTTTTTAAGTTCTAGAGTGATAGTGGCACGAAGTTTACCCTTTTTGTCGATACATCTGCACATGAGTTCCTCATCCGTATACTTTATGAGACGCTTCATCATTTGAGGTACGTGGAAGTCGAGCACTCTTATGTGATTCCCTTCTATGGATCTCGCGTGAGGTGCGTAGTCTTTTAAAGGCACTATGTGATTAGTTCCGCTGTTAATCATGTGTTCAAAACAGTCTGCAGGCTCTAGAGTGTAATCTTTGGGACAATAGAATCCAACTGGGCTTCTTAAGTAAGGGTTGACCTTGCATTTTGTCACACCGACGTTCTTCACTCCGTAGGCCACTTGAAAGCCGCTATCACGGAATAACGTAGCACTATCAACACCACAGCCATAGGTGTAAGGGTCAGTTGGTAAGATGCTGAACTGCACTCTCACTGTTCCGTACAACCTTCTGCTCCAAATGTCGCTCACCACTCTCCAATTATAATACATGAACGGTATGTCCGTTTTGCTAACGATTATGGCATCCTTCTTGAGCTTTATCGTATAGGCCATTTTACCCTTGTCTTCCTTGTAGCTTATATCCACACCTTTGGTTCCCATGATCTCATCGATTCGCATCGGTTTATTCGTAGCTATTGGCGCCCCGTTAAAGGCATAGTGCTCGGGATCCACTGGAAAAAGAAGCGGTACAGCTTTATGTTTGCCAGATATCAGAGGTTTATTGTCGGGGTAATATTTAATTGTGAACTTTTTGCCTGCCTCAAGGTAATGTAAGACGCTTCGAACAGGAGGGTTATTGGACGGCTCGAAGCTTTCAGCTGCTCTAGTGACGTCATTAATTTCTTCCTTAGTATTTTCTACGGCAAGTGTGGTAGTAGTTAGACCCTCGTAATTTACACAGGAGCAAGTGGAGTAGTAATCGCGATTTAGTCCTTGATTCGACACTTTGAAGAGCTTCAACCTAGATGGCACAGTATACTCCGGATCATGTAATGATACTAATCCATGAGGATGGTATGGCGTGATGGCGTCACCAAGTTCAGCAAGATGTTCATTCGAAAAGCAATTCTCGGGCTCCAAACGTTCACCGGGTTGGCAGTAAATACCAAAGATCATGCCGGGCTCTAATTTGGTCTCACAAACGGTCCTACGTCGTTGAATAATCCTTTCATAACTCGGTGTTGAATTTTTGAATAGCATCTCTTCACCACTCGCACAGCCATAGGCCATAGGGTAAACACGGTCGAATATCACCTTAAGCCATCTGTAAACAGGTGTCTTACTCTCATCTTTCGGTTGGAATTTACAAGCATAATTCAGACTGAAATTATCAGGATCCTTAGCCATTATCACAGCATTCAAGTTATACTTGATACTTAAGGTCCCCGGACCATTTGTGCCGTTATTCACCTTCAGTTTCAAATCAATTGTACGAAGTACATTGCGTAGGGGCATTTCCTTGGTGACGGCTTCCTCGATATCTCCTTCAAGTGGCATTAAAGTCTTGGTCATGGGATCACTAGGGTACATGGTATACTCTCCACTTTCACCACCATTACTCGATAAGCAAAAAAATATTAGCTCTTTCGAAGGTTTAAGAGATACAATTTCCATTGGCGCATTGTAGAACATATTGCGTTCATCCGACCAATTTATCATTGTAGGTGGTGAAGGTCCAAGAGCTGCAGAAAATGTAGCACATAGTGTAACAATGTATCCCAAGACTATTGGGTTGAAGAAAGTAAAGAAAACCATTTTCTAATATAAAAATTACGCGATGTTCAACAATTATAACTGTACTATATGAGCCTTAACTCTACGTTTTGTGGTAAATTATTGGTTCACTGATGCGCATGGTATGCTTGAGGATTCGCATTTATGCTTTGATACTAAACATTCTGGTTCATCAGTATACTTTTGCGTATAAAAATTAAGCCCATAGTGATCAAAAGTAACAAACTACATGCGAATGTTTCGATATACATTAGTGTACACTCTGCGCCCTTGCAGACTCATCACATGACGTAGGTCCCTGCATATCGTAGACGCCTCAGCATCAGGTGTACAACAGCCTCAACAACTTGCTACTAGATATGAAACAGGCAAACGCCAAGCTCGCCAGTTTAATGACAATGGACTAAGTTATATTAAAGCGCTATTTTAAGTCAGTTATATAAATATAACTATCACTCAAGCATTTAGTTCGGGGTACTCCGCCTCGACATATGAGTCCGACGGATTGCGCAAATCCAGTGTGATCGTCGCACGCAGTTTACCATCTTGGTCCATACACTTGCACATGAGCTCGTGATCTCCATATTTTATAGTGTGTTTCATAATAATAGGCACATGGAAGTCCGCTACTTTAATGTGTGGTCCTTCAGTAACTCTTGCGTGAGGTGCGTAATGTGACAATGGCACCACTTTATTTCCCCGCTTGTGAGTCATGTATTCAAAACAGTTGGCAGGCTCTAGTATGAAGCCTTCCGGACAGTAGAATCCAACTGGGCTCGTTAAATGTGGATTAACCTTACATTTTGTCACGCCGTCATTCTCGTATCCAGTTGATAACTGGAATCCGCTGCTGTGGAATAAGTCCTCGCTGTCCACACCACACCCGTAGGTGTAAGGGTCAGTTGGAATTAGGTTGTACATCAATGATAGAGTTGTCTGCCCTCCCTTCCTATTATTTATTGGTGATATGTCCCACTTATGATACATAAATGGTACGTTACCCTTGACAACAGTTACAGCGTCCTTTTTGTAATCAAACGTGTAGGTATTATGATTCTTGTTTCGATCATAGCTTATATCAACGCCTTTCGCTCCAAATAACTGCTTAATTTCGAGATTCACGGCATCGTTATGTCCTCGAACATGAAATGCATTGTACTCTGGGTCCTTAGGTAATAGCACAGCGGACACACGACCGAAGTTACCCAGGTCGATGATCCCAGCTGACGGTACGATAAGTTTCATCGTAAGTCCGGGTACCAAATCATTCATTAGTGTGAAATAAGGTTCCGGATGGAGGCTTGGAGAACCGAGTAGCGCTTTCAAATCAGACTGACTGCGTGTTACATTTTGAATTACCATTGTTTTCTTTATTACATCCCCGCTGGTACAATGACATACCAACCTAAAATTTTTATCTCCAGCATTAGACTCCACTTTGTATAGTCTAAATCTAGATGGTAACCTATAGCCTCGTGTTTTGGGCATTGCAGGCCAAGAAGGAATGAAGGGAGAAAAGGCGCCATCGAGTGCCTTGAAAACCTCGTCTGAAACACAAATTTCTGGTGTCATTCTCTCACCGTCTTGGCAGTGCATTCCGACTAACATGCCAGGTTCGGCCGTTAGACGGCAATCTGGAGATTTGCCTCCTTGATTCTTTTTCTTATCCCTAGGCATTGAATTCATAAAAAGCAGGTCGTCGCCACTTTCACATCCAAATGCCATAGGGTAGACTTGGTCAAACGTTACCTTGAGCCATCTATAAATTGCCGGTTTACGTTTATCCTTAGGTTGGAATTTACAGGCGTAGTTAAGACTGAAATTTTCAGGGTCCTTAGCCATTATTACAGTATTCAAATCATTTTTCATTCGCAAAACTGCTGGCCCATTTCTGTTTTTGCTTACTTGCATTTTCAACTCGCTAGTGCGAACGATACTATGCAACGGCACCTCCCTAGTGATGGCCTTCTCGATATCATCTCCTTCAAGCGGCATTAATGTCTTGGACATAGGATCACTGGGATACATTGTAAATTCTCCACTAGCGCCACCATCACTCGCTACACAAATGAATTTTAGCTTTTTAGGACGCTTAAGATGAACAGTATACACGGGAGAATCATTTCTGTACATTTCAACTTCTTCTGACCAATTCACCATAATAACAGGTATCTCCGGACGTCGTTTAGGAGCGGCTGTGCATAGACAAGACATACATCCCAATATGATTGGGGTTAAGAGGCAAAATATAACCATTTTCAGAAAATTTGAAACAGGGGACCATAGAAGCATAAAAGAATTCTGAATGAACCTATAGTTTCAGATCATTGGAATCCAACTACATTTTTGGACCACAACTGAACGTGCAAAGTCGATCCTAGACAACGTTTTAAAGCAAAACTGCGCCGAAATACTGTCTGAGTCTAGAAACTTAAAACCGCCAGAACAGCTTTAGAAAGCACACAATAAAACTTGTAACATGGTATTATGGTTAATTTATCTATAAATTAACTATAGCAACCATATATAACGGTAGAAGTCGACGTTAAGTTCATGGAATCACAGCATTTTGGGCAAAGTCCTCTACCTACGTCTATGTTTACTCTTGACTCTATAAATGATTTCGAGTTACAGCGGACCTGCCCGCAAAATACTTTCACGACTCATCGTCACCACGTGCCTGTGTCTCGTGAGTCCATTAGCATACACGACGTGTAGCTCAATTAGCCCAATCGCCGATTTGCACATGCTTCTGACAGTGGCGTACGTTGTATAAAGCATAACCATGGCGTATCTACGGTTCTACCAACTGCAGGATCGCTAGATAATCTCTAATACAACAAAAGTGATCATCATAATTAAAAGCAATAGAATGTTAGCAAGCCCTGCGGAGTTCAGCTTCCCGCATAGTTTCTCATTTCAGGCATAGTCATAACGCATCTAAAATATCTATATGGGTGTCGCTGAGATTTAATGGAGATTTCAATTGTTTTAATGTAGCACCAAATTATGGCTTAGATTCAATGCCACCACCTGGTTTTTGATTTGGCGTTTTTTTGCTAATTCAGACCTTGTTTCTTACGATTGATTTCATTTTAGCCATCATATTAGCGTTACGTGCCACATAAGGGGTTATAACTCTATAGAGCTTAAAAATGTTTACTATGTACGGGTGTAAGGAGTATGTCGAAGCGAGAACCTTGACCTTTTAATTTAATGGCTCAATCTTAAGCTTAGTCACTTCCTTTTCGTGCTGTCTACATCAGCTGATTAAGCCAATATCTCGTTATAAGGAACAAAATTAGCAAAAAAGCACAGTTCAATTCAGGAATCACGTTTTTCATCTGTTTCACCAGTTCGTTGAACTAGATCGGAGTACTGCTTTTTTGCATCATGGTGGATAGAAAGTTTGATATTAAATAATTATGGAGATCGTATTGGCAGATTCTCGCCATTTGAGATATCCTTAGTGACAGTGGAAATTAGTGACGCAGAGGAACTTGGTTGTAAATTTTCGTAAGAATTCACATATTTTCCATTGCGGTTCATACTGCTTCTTCACATATTTCGGCGTCACAAGACTACACCATCCCAGCGTATATATTTTTTCGTAATGCTGTTATCGGAATCAACTCTAGTTCTATACCTGTGCAAGCAATAATTTGCATTGGCAGGGGGCACGAAATGCGAGAATAAGAGCGAGTTTCATCCTAATTTCTATCAAACATGAGAATTTTAATTACATAATCCATTAAAATTATAATAAAACGCCACTATGTGCTACTATTAGTAAATTCCTAGGATTTTCTGAACGTCATATCATCACCTTTGTGATATTTTAGCGACATTCGACATTGCATAAGTTAACTAAGCCATGATTGACAGCAAAAAATTTCTCGCATCTGATAGATATATAAAACACGTTTCTGGCGCCTTCATAGCTGTTCATATGCGACCCATCGTCCTTTTGTATGTGTAGTACGCAATGTGTATGCGAGCAGCAGGACTACGATATCAACTTGCAGTCCTCATTTTATGTTCTATATATAATATTGAAGTCTATGGCCGCCGTAGTTAACTAATGTGTAAGGGCAACGCCTCTGATCAATGATCAGGATAGAAATTAGATTTACTCCGACATTTTTCATGTCATGACGCGATTACTGCGTTTCAATTACGTAAGTACACCATACGATAGACGAGTATAAGTTCTATAGTTGATATAATGCTCCAGAATATGAACCAAACCTGGCACGGCTAAAGCTAAAAGCAACGGCGCAATAGACCGTAGACAGTAGTGAATACAGATATACATGAATAGGATTACATTACATTGAAGCTAGGTTCCAGCTGATACAATGTAGGTTTAACTTGCTGGAGCTACCGCGGCAGGGGCCTCTTCAACCTGTTGGGTATCAATAGGCTGACGTAGGTCTAAGGTGATGGCCGCCCGTACTTTGCCATACTGATCAACACATCGGCACATGAGTTCCTCATCCGTGTATTTGATAAGGTGACTCATCATTTCAGAGAATTGGAAATCAACGGCTTTAATGTATTTCCCTTCAACAGGTCTTGCGTGATCTGCGTAATCACTCAATGACACTTCTTTGTTGTCACCAACGCGAGTCATCTGTTCAAAACAGTTTGCAGGTTCTAAAGTGTAACCTTTGGGACAGTAGAATCCAACGGGGCTAGTTACGTAAGGGTTGACTTTGCACTCCGTAACACCGTCGTTATTTGCGCCAGTTGATAATTGGAATCCGCTTTTTTGGAACAAATCTTCGCTGTCAACACCACAACCATAGGTGTAAGGGTCAGTTGGCACAATATGATATAGTACACGCAAGTTGGTGTCAACATGAAATTCACCAAACAGCCGCTTAAGTACCCAATCGTAGTATATTAATTTCACTTCATTTTTACATATGATTAACGCATCTTCCGCGCAGTCAACGATATGACGCCTTCCGTTTTTAATCTTCTCCATAGAAAAATGAACACCTCTTAAGCCAAGCGCATTCTTTATAGCAACTGCTTGATTCGGTCCCATGGGAGATGCATTGAAGGTATTGAGCTCTGGATTTTCCGGCGCTAATCTCGTTCCTACCTTTCCCAATTGACCAAGATCAACCCAACCATCGTTAGGAAGATCCGTGATAGATCTGGTTCCTACCTGCATCAGAGATAACACAAACCGCACCCCTTTACGTTTCACTGGAGGAGTCAAGACAGTTTCAGCGGAATTAAGGTACATCTCACCGACACGGTACGCGAAACGTACAACCTTCCTGTTTCCATCGGGACGGACGCATGAGCATGAACGCAAGATAGTTTTTTTAGCCGTTTCTCCTACTTTGAATACCCTGAGTCTAGAGGTTACATCACGGGCTTGCGCATTTATCAGTCCAACTGGCTGCTCTATGTAAGGCACAATATCATCTCCCATTTTCGCAATTTCATCCTTATCAAAACAGTTGCTGGGCTCCAAACGTTCTCCCGCTTGACAATAGATGCCAACGATCATCCCTGGTTCCACAAAGACAGTGTAAAAGCTCGGCCCTACGACATTAGTAGATTGCAGTTCTCGTGGCGCCGAATTTTTAAACAACATGTTATTACCAGTATCAAATCCATACGCCATGGGATAGACATTTTTGAATGCTATCCTAAACCACCTGTATATAGGTGGCAGCCTCTTGTCATCCGGCTGATACTTACACGCGTAGTTTAGACTGAAGTTGCTAGGATCCCTAGCCATCAATACAGCATTAATCGGGTACTCGATTCTCACGAAAACATCTGCATCTTCGTCTTGATCCATGTTGTAATCTATACGTAAATCCACACTCCGAAATAGATCTCGCAAAAGAACTTCCTTTGTAACTGCATCTTCAAAATCACCACCAGTAAGAGGCATTAATGTCTTGGTCAGAGGATCACTGGGATACAGTGTAAATACTCCACCATGTTGTTTTCTTTTACTTGGACCACAAATGAAGTTCGCAATGTCCGTTGGTTTAAGGGTCACCTCTCGAAGCCCAACATTACCGTAATCAATGGCGCTTTCTTTCGCCATAGCATCGAATACTCGCCCTAAATTATTTTTTGCTGGAGTAGGGGAACATGTACACAGCATAGTCATCCATCCCAACACTATTGTGTTGATTAGGCAAAGTAACGCCATTTTCGAAAAATGTAGACAAATGACTATGAAAACAACAAATGATATAGATTGAACATAGAGCATCACATTACTGGAATCCAACAACACCGTAGATTCATAGTTGCACGGGCCACCTTGCGTATAGACATACGTTTGCAACACGTTTACGGCACATTTCTCTCCATGTCTCGAATGCAAGCAGTGTTGGTGACGTTGAGAAAATCACTAAATATATGACACATCATCATTCGCGGCCCAAATTTGGTAATGGGCGATATACTCAATGCTCCGAATACTAGAAGTTGACGTTATACTGGCGGAATCACGGTAATATCATGGCAGTTCCACATGTGAATGCATATATTCACCATTGATTCCATAAAAATAAACGAGGAACGTCGTACATTCTTAGAATACCCACACGACTCAATGACGCCTTCAAAAGTATTAGCTTGACGCACTTCCTTAGATGTCTACATACGGGTATAAATGCCCGTCGAAGAGCTGCTAGAAGGCCAAAATGAACCATTGTAGACACCCCGAGTAATCTCCTATAGTGAACGGAACAACTATATATAGACATGGCCAGATATTAACGATGTTGGAGTCATCTGCTAAAGTGCCTATGGGCCACCATTTCCCCCCGTGATATCAACAGCAACAGTTTTATCACTATTCCTGTCTATTTAGGCTAACTAGCGCACATATTGCGTTGCTATTTTGTGACAGTAATATTCTACCGACTAATTCTATGCAGCAATTATATACATCATACAAAGGAGTTGGAAACAATATGCACATAATACTAGAAAGCTTGATTTCACCTGCTGTGCAAATAATAAGCAAAGATGATTATATTAACCACATAGAGTAAAATATTTGAGAAAGTTAGATGCCCAAACTGCGTGATCAGGTTCCCAGACCTCTATACGGCGATTTGACGTCCTTAGAAATGAGACTGCGTTAGATATCAACTATCCGTTTCTATAGAGTTTTCCGAAGATTCGGCGGGCTAATCTTGTATGTTGTGTCTGATATTATCAGCGGCGGCAATGTGCTTGGGTGTGCGCTTAAACATTCCTATGATGCGGTCGAGGAGATGTAGGCGATAGGCGCAGTAGAGGAATGGAAGTAAAAGAATAAATTCTAACGCCATACATGCCCAAGAGGCGGTACTGCCATTAAAGTTGTGGACGGCGACGATGAATAGTATTAGTATCAGTATGCCGAGAATTCCGAAGGCAACTTCCATCCTCGAAAAACGGCTTCCTAAAATAGATATGCCGCCATCCTTTTGAACTACATTCTCAACCACTTTGTTGGATATGGTCTCCACGGGTTCTGGAAGTGATTCGGCTATCTCTTGACCAACTTCTTCACCGGCTTCCTCAAGTGCGGCCTTCACTACCTTCATCAAGATTCCGAGTAGCAGCAGTGAGAGTTGGGTGATAGGCATTCCACTTGTGCCCCTAACGAATTTGTTGAGTAGTTCCATCTTCTGAGCAGGTTATACGATAAAGGTGTTTGCCAGGTTCACGCACGCTGATGATGCAGTAGACCACTTGCCGATGTTGAAGTAGATATGGAGTTAAAACTGGCGATGATTCAGTCCGCACTCTCCGTATATTGTCACAAAGTTGCCGGAATGGAACATGCAACTTCACAAGTTCCTTCCCTCGAGGCTCTCTGCTGAAATGCAGAGTATGTAACCGAAAAAGGGGAACCGCAGCCCTAAATAGCAGCTTGATGCAATATCAAATGACGCTACTCCTTGCCACATTGTTTCATTTTCTTCCACATTCAGCCCCATCCACGCGGTATAGTATAGATGGTCGTTAGCAATATCACCTACCTACCTCTCATCTCACCTGCATTCCTCCTTGACGGTATGGTCCATTTTCAAGGTGGTTTTCGGAACCTAAAATACTGGGTCGCACTTGGGACGCCCCAAGTGCAGTGCTGATAAGCCACTAGTCTTCATTAGAGTCTTCATTACCTGAGGTTCTCTTCGGCATTCTTGCGCCCATCTCCACTCACGGGAAACAGTTGGACTAAAATTGCACAGCAATCACCTTAGTCAAGGCACAATTGTACCGATGAACCAACCGTTCACATCTCGGTTCCCTGTAACTGCCGGGCTCCATCCGTAGGTTGTTGACAACATTTCACCCATGTAACCGATGAACGTTTGGTTGCTGTGAGCGTTCGCGAGCTGTGTAGACCCCGCTTAGATGCCATCATTTTCGCCATTACGGGTTATAGCGTCCGGTGTAAGGGGCGATCTGCTTTGCAGCGTGAATTGGTGTTCTGTGATTCGTGTCCATAATGTACCCCGTGTTCTTCAATGAGTTTATTGCTTTCCTGAGTCACGAGACAACTTATCTAGGATGTAGAATGGCAGTGGCATGTCAATATTTGGCACACCCTAACCGCCACGTTGAATCACCATCGTAGTATTATGCATGAGCATGCTATTGTAGCTTAGATGTTTAACAAATTCACAGAATTGTTGCTAATCGACCAATATCATAGGAATATGCAGTAACTGACTTATAGGTCAACATAACTTTAATAGAAATTATAAATACAATACGCTACGAATCCCCAGGTCCTCTCAGCGCATTGACACACCATAACAGAGACTGTGGCGGGGGCTAAAAGTCAAATAATCGATACAGTTACTTACTCTTTTGCAACACTAAACAGAATATTACTCACTTTGCGTAATCAAATCTACTTTGGGTGTGGAATCAATCGATCCACCACAAGCGACGCTGTACATGTAGCCATAGCGGCGCTTGAAAGCTGCAGGCCCCGTTTCTGGTGTAATATAAACTACTTTTGCATCGAAAATAAATACATATGTCATGGGTACTGCTGCATGAGCAATGAATGGCCCGCTTCCTGCCATTTTAAATACATCTATAAAGTATCTTCTCCCTCAACGGTTAAAAAGCTACACATTGCTCCATAGTGTAATTATAGGTGGAATACTATCGTTATGGTAGCTACTTATGCAACTAATATTCGTGTGTCACCTTACAACAGTTTTTGTATAAAGCACTGTGCACTAAGTTTCAATCGTATTAAATTTGTCGTGGGTCACGCAAGTCAACGGTTATACTGGCCATAAGTGCTCCGTCTTTGCGTCTGCACCTGCATTCTAACGATTCACTTGAGTACTTGATGCGTGACTTCATGAACATTGGCTTGGTGAAGTCTACAATGCGTAGGTTAGGCGAATTGAGCACTCGAGCTTGTGGAGCGTAGAAATCTAACCTGACTGCACGATTAGTTGATGCCAAGAATGCACTGTTGAAACAACCTTCGGGTTCTAGCACGTGGTCCTTGGGGCAATAAAATCCTACCGGTGAACTCTTCCAACCATTTAGCGTACACTTCACTTGGGTGTAGTAAGAGAGCCCCTTTTTGATATGGACATTCTCGACATTAACTCCCTGCAGATTGAAAATATCGGGACCTCCAGCTCCACATCCGTGGGTATAGGGGTCTGTAGGTACTATGCCAATAGAGATTAGGGTCTTGTATTTATTCAATACAGCGTTGAACATACTATAGTACTCGTAGACGTAAGTCAGATTTGCAATCGGCTGCTTAAGTACCACAACGGCGTCACTAGATATTGTGAAGTCATAAATGTAATTGTTTTTCTCTTCACGCTTACTAATTGATAACCCGGTGCTTCCTATAACATGTGAAATTTTTGTTTCTTTGAGACGTGTAACCTTATCCATGGGCATATAGTTATATGCGGTAGTGTTTTCCGGGTAAATCAATAAACCTCCAACGGCAAGGCTACGGTTAACTAATCCATCCGATTTTGCTACGATAATCCTAATCGTCTTGCCCTGTTCCAGGGTCTTGTAACATACATTCCTAGGCCATTTACGTGTTTGTGCATAAACCTTCAATGTCTTGGTGTAATCGCAAGTCTCTGTTTTTTTAACTCGTACCTTCAACACCGCCGTGGTTTGGTTCTGTTCATTCTTGCATAGGCACGTAAAGGATTTATCGAATTGTTGTATGCTAGACCCGATTTTCATTACCCTGATGTTACCGGTTAAGTTATAGTATGGGAAACTAATATCTCGGAGACCACTTATCGTCGTTACTTTCTCCTTTTCCTCAACCTGCCTGAAGCAGTCCTCAGGGTACACGTGATCGCTTTTCGCACAATATATTCCAACAACCATACCAGGCTCGGCATCTACTTTACATTTCGTAGCTTCGATAAGTTGATCATATGTCGCCAGGAGCGGTATCGGCGTCGCATTTTTGAACATATTAAACCCTGCGCTTCCACATCCGAATGCCATGGGTAATACGTTTTTGAATTTGATCTGCAACCACCTATGCTTCGGCATAGCCTTAACATCAGATGGCACATATGTACACAATAGGTTGATGCTAAACTGTTCCGGGTCTCTTGCCATGAGTACTGTATCCTCTGAATAATCGATTAGTAGATGATCTAGCCCCAACTTCTGGAATGTACTTACAACGATGTCGCGATTCGAACGATATACATTATAGCTGATTTGGACACGATTTGATGCAACATCTATCGGATCGTTTCCCCTTGGTGATAGTATATGGGTCTTGGGATTGGCTGGTACTAGCATGAAAGCTCCCATGGAGGATGCGCCTGTTTTCCCACATGAATACTTCAACGAATCACCAGGTTTTAGCTCTATTGTTTTTTCCATTTCACCTTCAGGGTCGAAATCCTTCTCGCTATTGTATTCTATCTTTTTGGCTTCAAAAGCATATCTTGATACAGTTCCGATTGCTCCATTGATCAAAGATTTGATCCCTTGTTCAGCATACACCATTCCAATATTTTTTTGAAATATGCCAATTGAGGCTGCTGCCAGCAGCATTACCTTACGAACACTAGTTGGATTCATTGTTTCGTTCGATGGTATCAAGGTCTCATCAGCCAATTTATTTGAACCTTTATTGTGAGTGTCATGTATAAGCTAGGGAGCGCTTACTATCATATAAATCAATAGTGTGCGTTGCCACGTTGCAGAGTCTGTATCGTTGCGTTACTGCTGTCCGTGTGCGTACTATTGGTTCAAATTAGCACAGACCGTCATGTCACTAGGTCTCAGGAGACCCATCTACCAGTTATTCTCTACAACTATACAGCAGCTTGAATAACGAATTCACGTAGTATGTTTCATTTCCTACTCATAATTGCAGCTGGTAATAGCGTAGTGCCTGGGTTTTAATAGACTCATTCTGTTGTAATCGTGTGCCAGAATGATTCGGGACTGATGTACCTAAAAAATATCGAAGTCAACCCAAATTGACTTTTTTTGTGCATCTTTAGTGTCATTTGCTCTTGAGCTATTTTCAGAACGGAGAGTATAAGACATAAAATTTTGCATCACGCCCATCGCCGTCTACAACAATATTAAAGTCTTCGCCTCGCTGATGCACGAAAAGCTCACTGCACACACAACTTCTGAATATTGAAGTTAAATACACGTGAGTTTGGGGAAAAAGTCATACTATAGGGCCATATTCAAGCTACATATGTTTGATTGAGCTTAACATTATTATGATTCTCCCATATTGTATCATAAATTCGTCTGTACAGACCCCTAACCACAGTAATGCTACATAAGTCTTATCAGTTCGTGTCCGGGAAATTATTAAATGTGATTCATATCTACCAGACGGCAGCGAGTATTACTGGATATGATAAGTAACAACTTATCGGCAATTTTTCTCACGAACACTGTACTAACACTTCCAGAGCTGTTTCATACTACGGTTGTTACTTTTACATTATGCGCCAATTAATATTTCAGACATTGGCACATTAATTATATTGTAGCAAACGGTAGAGGAGATAGGCCAACTCCCATTTGCGATCACTGAATATTTACACTTGGTCGTTTATTTGCATGTATAAAAGTCGAGAAAAATATGATGTATCATTATTGGAAACGTATGTATATACCGAAAATACAAGCAGGTTGCACGTTGCGTCAGCTAGCGGTTGTTGAACTCCGTATATATGCAGGCTATAGGACACTTAAATAGTCATACTGAACACAAAATAGAATATCATTGATTGTGGAGAGAGTGTGTAAGAGTTGAAGTAGCGGATGGTGGGATGGATGATAACACTTTGGAGAGTAACTCATAACTTGATATAACGCGAGCCGTGAGAAGCACTGCTGGTACAATCGTTAAAATACAGTTAATATAGCCCTGCTATAAGCAACTGTGCGGTTTCTACGTGGATTAATTCCCCATAGCGTCATTATCTGACGCGCCTGGACAGTTGCTCTAGCAGTGACTCTATATTGAACTCTCGGCTCATGGCATAGTGACAATGGCGGAGGAGAAGCGTCATAATAAGTATCGACGCGATAAGCCGTGGGATGATGAGACTGTCGAGCACTGGAAGATCGAACCTTTTACGGAGCAAGATAATGCGCCACCGCTTTTGGAAGAGAGCTCGTTTACAATCCTGTTCCCGAAGTACCGTGAGAAATACTTACAATCTATTTGGGGTGATGTGAAGCGTGCCCTGGCGGCATACCATATAAAGTGTGAGCTCGACCTCGTTGAAGGGTCCATGACGGTATTAACAACTCGGAAGACATGGGACCCCTATATCATCATAAAAGCACGTGATATGATCAAGCTATTAGCCCGCAGTGTGCCTTTTCCACAAGCCAAGCGTATCCTTGAAGATGGTGTCTTCTGTGACATCGTAAAGATTGGCGGCATATTGCGTAACAAGGAAAAATTCATTAAACGCCGACAAAGGCTGGTAGGACCAGGTGGTTCGACGTTAAAGGCACTCGAACTCTTAACACAATGCTATATCCTGACACAGGGCCAAACCGTGTCAATAATAGGTTCTATAAAGGGCATCAAAATAGCACGCCGCATCGTAGAGGACTGCATGAAGAACGTTCATCCGGTATACCATATTAAGGAGCTGATGATAAAACGTGAACTTGAGAAGGATGAGAATTTGAAAAATGTAAGTATTATCAAAGTATAGTTGCTCTATGATCATGTGTATTAATGTTAACTATATTGGGGTTGTTAATATATCACAGGAAAACTGGGAACGTTTTCTACCACAATTTAAGAAACGTTCTGTTAAACGGCGTAAAGTCAAGATAGTGAAGAAGAAGAGTTCTGGTCTTTTGCTCCCAGAGCAGACTCCTAGGAAGGAGGATCTGCTGTTGGAGACCGGTGAATACTTCCTGTTGGAGGAAGAGCGGGAAAGGCTCAAACGTATCGACAAATTAGCATCGCAACGCTCTAAGGGCATAGAAAATCGTCGGAAGAAAGCTGCTGCCTACGATCCCGAGCAGAATAAACCGGAAGAGGTTGCTGAACCCGAAAAACAGGATATCAGTGGCACTTCAGACCCTGTATTGCAACTCAAGAGGCAAAAGAAAAAGAAGAAACCATCTGCTTTCATTTAATATTGGTTATATATTATATAAACGTATGTCTACTACACATTTTTATGCCATGTGTGACAGGATGGGGACTTTGGATGTCGCCACGCGGCGCTAGCCCATAGCTTCCATAACTCCGATCGTTTAAGGCGGCTTTATCCACAATGCAGCGAAAACATGGCATCTCAACGATGGCCGCAATGGCCTCTCGTAACACAAAGGCAGCCAACCACGCTAAAGCGTCAATGAAAAGCTTTCGTACGGCAGTGACCAAGCTTCTTAAAGATGTGTGTTGAAAATTCTACAATGTGAATGATATTATATAGGCGGAATCTTATGATAGTCATCAAGGTGATCCTGCGATCATGTAGGTAGTAATATAAGTCCCTTAATGTGATTACAGGATCGCCACCATTAAACGTGTTAAAGCTGATGCTACACGTGTTTTAACGGATCTCCATGAGTATTCCGAGGAAATATCGGCAATGCAGGTATGTACGTGGTCGATATATCTGCATCCTTACCCAGGAGTCAACGGAACTGTATGATTCTTTGTTACGTGAACTCAAAAATTATTTGGAAAAGGTCGATACGGTGCAATCACGTATAACTCAGAAAGATACGTCAACATCTAACGTATCAGCGCCAGTGGAAAGTGCCAGAGAAGCGAGGTTTGTCATTATCTCGATTAAGTTAACAACAATATAGCACGGTGATCGCAGAAGTTTATCAACTAGAGCAGGAACACGCTCCTCCAAGGTACCTTATAGTATGATTGTATCATCAAAATTGCAGTTTCGTCTCTCCAATAGATTCGGGGATCCTGCACGAACGATCGCAACAGATTACCCAGTTACGAACAAGTGTATATGACATCCATGATATGTACGTCCAGATTGGTGATATCACGGAATATCAAGGTGATCAATTAGGTGTGTGATTCTATATTTTTGTATAACACTGTGTCTTAGACAATATCGAACTCAACATGATTCGGACGTTTGGTGATACTTTGGAGACCAATGCTGAATTGTACCATACCGCTGAGCGCAACAGGAATTCATGGACTCACAAATTCATGATATGCGCATGCTTATTTTGTGTAGTTGTGATCGTATTCGTCTATCGGTCATTTGCTGTACGATCGGCGATGACAATGGTATGATCAATACTTCGGTCATTTTTTTCATCTAAGCTGTGCAACGGAACATATACACTATTATAATGTAGTAATAACATTTAAATTCAATTTATATGTGAGAGTTTGGTCGTCCATTCATATCGTGATGCTAATAGCGTGAACAAATATGGTTAAACGGTAATACGTCAAACTGTCAGAACGACCTTGATATGGGCCTTTGGTTTACGTATGACATCGCATCTCCCTTTTGCACGGAAAAGTGGACGTTTAATGAACCCTCCATTTGTGGCCGTTAGTTCTCGGAACCTAGGTACCAATGGCGCGTCGTCATTACCGTACATAGTTTGTGCGTTATTAAGTGCCGACTTGATAAGCTTATATATGGCGACTGCATAGCGGTTGGCACCTCGCTGTGCAAGATCTCCCATTGCGACCATTACCGGTAGTTTGCGAATCTGCCGAAATATCTTGTTAACCTTTATGGGAGACAACATCTGCCAACGAGCGACAGCTTGTACACGTCTCTCAAGTTGCATTTTATCCAACTTTCCTCCACGATGTCGTTTGCGATATGGCCAATTGAACTCTTGGCGGTAGGCCGCATCAAGCATGGTCTTTCGCCACTGCTTAACGGAGTTAGCTACCATACGTTCACATGGATCATCTCCTTTATAGTTTTTACGCGGGAATGGCGAATTGATCTCTTGAACCTGAAAACATCGGTGAAGTGCCACACGTCGGCTCACATACAATTTCCATCTTCTTGGCCCTTGAGGTACGTTGAAGGGCACCAAGGCCCAGGATCCTAGGACCACGCCCACCATGTATTACAAAGGCGGTTACATAGGCAGTTATAACCAAGTGGCAAAGCAAAATACCAAAGCGCATTGCATTTTCAGCGGCCCGCAACGAGCTACAGCTCGGCGCTACTCTGCATAATAATTAAAAACAACAATATATGTGCAATTGATATGGATACAGAAGAATATGCATTCGTAGATATATCGCATATCAGGGATTAACAATCGATTTGTGATACACAAGCGACCATTGACATATCATGTCTGACGATTAAGAAAATCGATATAAGTATAGACCTGAACTGTACTACATAAGCATCAAACACTAATTAGAGTACTATATCGTGTCACGAAACAGGTAAGATATGGAAGGAAGCCATAGTCGATGCTACTCTCGTAAAAACCCAAATATCTAACATCGACACTTCCAAAGCTGATTTGTCACCTACCTGTGATAAGTTTAACGAATGAAATTACAATGCGAAATATGTAAAATGGATGTGTAAATATATTTTTTGGCTGCAGCCGTATATAGCGGATCACTTGAGTGTAGATACTCCGCGCAACATTCTGTGTGCGTTCATAACACCATTTGAAGATGCTTCACAACCTTAGACTATATTTATTATTATGCGGATAACTGTGTTATGTAGACTTTCTCGCTTTCTATGAAACATTGCCAAGAATCACGTCTATAGCAGGACGTAGAAAAGACAAGGGGACAAAAGTACAAAAGGACCTGCTTGGTCACTGCGACGATAACATATGTCTATTTTAGTGCACTAACTACTCTTGCTAAAGCAGGAATCTACAGCAGCGTTAATATGCTGCTCAACGATCTCCTTTGGATGTGTGATCTTACAAAGCCTTATTGCCACAGGCTTTCTGCTCCGTGCCTTTCACGAGAAAATGAAGCTTACTGCCGATATAATGGACATAGCAACGTTAGGAATACATGTGTATATTATTAACGCCATGTGAATGAAAATGGAGGCATTACTCCTAGTATTGTTATTGCCGATTATGGCATTTACTACACAGTGGTCAACTATCTATGCTTACGGACAACCCGTTACACATAAAGAACAGGAACATTTAGATGTTACTACACATACTGCTATGCGAGGTGGGCTGCCGGGGGAAGGCAATCGAGAAAATGGTCGTAGACCAGTTACCGGGGGAGTATCACAGGAATCTTTTTCCGACAAGTCAGACATTTTCTCTAAAGATGTGACAACTGGTGAGTCATCTAATGTGATGAACACGGTTGAAAATGCTATTGGGGAGACACCACACACAGTGAAACTTGTAGAAAATGATGCTTCCTTCGAAACGGTTGGACATCAAGCACGTCTGGATGTACAACACCAACGGAACACAAACACTGAAACATTACAAAGTAGCGTCTTGCAAAAGGATGAAGAAACAGGAGAAGTTGAAAAAAATCCTTCAGTAGTACCGACTCACGTGGCACAGCTGGTAATACTCACCTGTTTCATATGCTTATCGGCTTGTCTCCTGCAATTTGCCATCTCGAAGATCAACGATAGAATACCAATATCTATTGTTTGCTTTATTTTCGGCATGATAACATATGGATTCACAATATTGCTGGAACCCAGAGGGTACACCGACCCACTCTCGCTGTCGATCAATGGCCTTCGACGCATAGATAGCTCGGTGCTATATTATGGAGTGCTACCAATATTGCTTTATGAAGCTACACAAGATATCAATTGGTATGCCTTCTGTAACTTCTTTATTGGTGGGATCAGTCTCGCAATCATTGGGGTAGGTTCACATAAATTTCAGCTGACAAACCGCAGGTGGTATTGCAAGTATGCATTCTGGGAATACTATTTCACTATGTACTCAACATTTCATCAAGGCAGTACATAACTCTCAGCTTCTTGCTCGCTTCTATTTTAAGCTCCACAGACCCAGTGGCGGTGCTATCGGTACTTAGCGGTGTGAAAGCGCACCCGAAGCTCGCATCAATTTTTAATGGTTAGTCAAATCATTAAACTTTTATAACCATTCAGGCGAGTCGCTCATCAATGACGGTTCCTCGATGTTGCTTTTTCAATTCTTCTACCTACTGCTTGTAGGAGAATCTAGGCCATTTTGGTATCACGGCCTAGTATTCTGTAAACTGTTGCTTCTCAGCCCACTACTAGGTATAGTAGTCGGAGTAGTTGTAACTATGTGGATAAGTGTCTTCCGCAAGCATCACATCACACAGTGTCTAGCGGTCATCACTGCAGGACACCTGCTATACTTCCTCTCAGAGTATACCCTAAACCTCTCTGGGCCTTTGGCCATGGTGTGCTATGGCATATTTATCAAGGGGTATGGTCTGATAGCATTTGACAGGGGCGCTTTGGAAAAACACCATCATTTTGTAGAAGGCCTGTGCCTAATTGCCAACTCAGCAGTCTTCATGATCAGCGGCGCTCTAACGGTAGGGATGCTACAATCACAGATGCAGCACCCTAACGTCCTCCTACAGCTGGGAAAGCTGGTTGTGATGTACGTACTTTTGAATTTAGCAAGGGCGTTTATGATTGTCGTATTCAGCCCACTACTATCATACGTGGGATATGGACTAAACTACAAGGAGACATTGTTGCTCATTTGGGGAGGGTTACGCGGTGCTATAGTGCTAGTTTTGGGACTGCGGCTGGAAAGTGACACCAACACGCCTAACGATATTAGTGACCTCCTGGCTTTCTACATTGGTGGCAATGTTATGCTAATTCTGTTGCTACAAGGGTTAACGTTCGAGATGTTATACAGGATATTACGCCCCTATCCAATGAAACCGTTCCGTCAGGTCTACCTTCTCAAGGTTATGAAGGTAATTGACCGAGAGTTCAATTTAGAAGTGGACTGGCTAAGGATACATTGGTTGTTCAAGAACACCGATGCTGTGGAAAGCGCCAGAAGGTTAGTGCCACGAATGGCCACTATTAGATGGAACGCTACGGGTAATCTGGAATTCGATGTTCCCGATATTGATGACGCTTTCGAGGTGGACGCACTTCCGACTTCCATGGAGAACCATGTTTTCCAAGAAGACATCCACTTTGGAACGATATCGTATGTACCAAGATGTAATACGCTCTACAGTTGCTCATCATCGGAATCAGGAGATTTTTCTACGGATAAGACACCACGAATGCCACCAGTGTTTGGCCGACAAAAACAACACTCGCCACGCTCTGCAGGGGAGAGAGTAGCACAGTCACCGGATGCTCCCCAACCGCCCACAAAAAGGGCTTCCGACGATGAAGAGGAGGTTGAGGAGGATGAAACTACAGACCGACCGTTACTTGCGTATTCATTTATGCAAGGTAACAGTAAAATTGAGAACACGAGATATGACCCCAAGAGGTACCTTATGCTATTAGAGCATTCGGTTACTGATGACACTGGAGCATCGCAAGAGTGTAGCAAGCAATCGTCATCTTCGTTGACCAGGCCGCCCTCATCATCGAACTCATTACAGCAGAGCGCACGCAACAATTTACAGATTGCAGACACATGGCCACAACGTTCGGATACCGAAGCAACTATTAACTTAGACAATTTATATCAACGGCCGGTGCACAAACGTTATGCGTCAAGTGTTGTAGTCCCTAGAATGGAAAGTGATGATCGGCTTTTTGAAGACTCCGAATATGAGTGTGGTGAACCTAGTGGATCCGATTTAGGCCTTGGAATCGTTCGCCGTGTATTGCGGAAAGAGCAAGAGGGGGAGTTGTACATTATGATATTCAATGCCTTCTCGGACATGTATAACAAACTCTATCAGTCTGCTCTTATAGATGGCGGCTCGTTGCTGATGTTGCAGAACACATTGGACACTGCCTCTGATTTTGCGCTCAAAAAATTACAAAAAAGATCAATTGCGGCCTGGGCTGCCGTACTCGCAGAAGCCATGCCTAACAGTACTCGAGCTGAAGGCGAAGACAGCGTCGAAAGTATGGACGGATTTGAATTCGAATGGTTTGTCTTACACTCTATGGTAGAGAAGAGGATGCGCCGCATGGATGGTTGGCTGGGCATTCAATTTTTAAACTTCTCCCAGCACAACGTAATCCAGTCTGTTCTAGAGCTGTTAGTGGCATACATAGATGTCCACCAACACCTGTTAGCTCGCGGTGGACGTAACCTGGAGCTGTTGTTGGAGGGGAAACTACTCACAAGTTTCCGTAACCAGCTTGCAAAAGCGAAGCTTTACATCGCAACTTTGCGTCGGCGGTTCCCACATGACTTCGGCCATGGACTGGTAACTATGGCAGCCTGCATGATGCTCCGTATTAAACGCGATGTCGTCAACGAGCAGTCGACGCAGGGTCTGTTGCTAGAGGAGGATAGGTTGAGGGTTGTAGAAATCCTGGAGGACCAATTATTCACTGTGGCTACAACTCATAACCGTATCAGCATGTTCAAGAGATTGTTTAGGCGTGTTTTCTACAAGGTAATTTGTCGTTTCGTCTGGCGCGCAAATCCAAATTAACAAACCTATTAGTCGTACAATGCTGGCAGTGCTCTTGCGAGAGGGGCACTGCAACCACGAATTGGTACAACGCTATTTATACACGAGGGATAGCACCTAATTTGTACGAATATCAAAAAAACACAATGTATTTCTCAACTATTTTCAAAGAATAAATGATTAGTCTTTCGTGACCCAGTGGCGATTAGCCAACTACACCAGACGTGAATTAAGAAATGTCATCACATCGTGCAGTCCTGGTTGTTCCAGCGGGCTGTCTAGTAAGAATGCCTTATACGATGCCATGATGACCATGGCATTTTCCACCAGAAGATGACGGGCACCCTCATCGCTAACATTAACGGCAAATTGGCGTGGTGGCAGCGATATTGGAAGCATGGACTGTCTCCTGCGGTCTAGGGCTACGTCGCCGAGTTTTGGCAACCAGCTAGGAACACATCTGCCATGCGCCATCGGTAACAGTTTCCCCAGCGCGGTGGACTCCAATCCACAGTCCTTCCACATACCTGGCGCTGGAGCTGTCATATTGGCACTCTTAGAAAGAGTAGCCTCATCTATGGTGTCATAGTACAGTATGTTCGCCTCGCGGTTGAATCGCAGGAACTCAAAGGTACCCAGGGTTGCGACATGTGGCACTTCACTTCGTTCTGTTGCACTGATTTTATTGCCATCAAAAAGCAGTTCTAGCAGATACGATGCCACATTCCTCTCGGCCACAAGCGCCATTAGTGCCAACAAAACGAGTGTGATTTGTTCCGTGTTGGCATTTACATTCAGCACGTGGATACAGTGCAGGATTACCTCCATCTGACGATGGATATTTACGTAACAATAGAGAACCACATCCTTCATAACGATCCGCTGAGTGACAAGATGTGCGAAACATTCGTTAAAGGTGAACGGTGCTTCTCCATTTGCGCATACTCCAGAGAGCAAAGATTTGACAGCGATATCACTTTTGTTGATGGCTTGCCGCAAATCAACACGTCGTTCGTCGGTAAGTTGTCTAAAGAGTTTCCGGTATAGACAGATTGCCGCTTTATCGTGACGTGATCGCGACAATACCTGAATGGTCACCGGATGCAATAGCTTCAATAAAACGTCGGAAGCAAACTTTTCACCATTTGGAACAGCTCCGTCCGAACCTTTCATTAAATATGCGCACGACTCTATCAGAGTCTCGATTGTCAGTAGCACATCAATATCATCCAAACCTACGATGTATGATAGAATTGCCCTCAGACTGTTGAAGTCGATGTTCCACACAGACAGGCGGAGGCAGTTGAGAAATGACAGTTTCATATGGCTGTCAAAAGTTGTGAAATGCTTCGCAATATCCACTAAACGTTCCAGCAAAAGACGATTGGTTGATCCATGAAGGCAATAGAGACGTGTCACCATCTCCCGTTCACAATCGCACCTAGTGTCATCGTACGACACAACGTCCCATAGTGTAAGTTTAAGCGGTTTGCAGAGTGTCAGTGCATTCAACAGTTTCACTGAATGCCTATTCTCTCGCAAAGTGCCAACCATATGATTGATAATACCATCCTCACGATAGCAGTCTAGGTCAGAATGCTTGGCAAGGAAACCCTTTATAGTCTCCAACACAAAAATAGCCACCAACACTGCAGATTCATCTCCCCAAGAATTTAAGCCATCCACAGTTGAACTCGCGGCAGCTATAGGAGGTGCCGCAGGACCTCGGGCTCGACTGTAACGGCTGACCCTCGGTCCGGCCGCCATTGTGACCTTTACTGCTTCTTGCCGTGCAATAGCAGATAATGCAGTAGTGAGGTTCTTGTACAACGAGGACCATCCCACCTTGTTGTCAAGCATCCGTTTCCAGCAGGCCGTATTCGCTGGTACCATGTACGCATAACCATGAGCCAGCAAAGAAGCAAACAGTAGCAAATCCCTAACTTCGTTGTTACCCGCTACGTTCGCTTTGATGGATGCCATAATGGCTTCGTGAAGTTTCGCCGTTTTCTCAGTCAGCTCGTCAGTGCTACTGCTAGTTGTTACATCCGTATTGGGCTCCACGTCGTGATGTTGTCCTGGATTGTTATTTATGGTGTCACAGCCGTGGAGATTACAGCCCTTAGAAATACCGGTGGCAGTGTTCGATTCCTTACCAGTAGCTATTGTACTAGTGCCATCTCCTTCATTATCCAAATCACCTTTAGTGTTCGATGAGTCCGGTGAGACACATGAATGTGAAACCAAACTAGGCTCGAATCCCATGAAATGACAGTATGCATGAAGAAGCAGGGTATTTGGGTCATTAGCTGCTATACCTTGGATTTGAATAAGTACACGGGCCACTGACGTAGCAATTTTGTCGTACCTATTAATACCGCAGTACTGCAGAAGTGGCAAACACAGCCTCGCTCTTTGCGCCAGTGGTGAATCCTGCGATTCTATCATAGTGACCATGCGATCTATCAAAGCACTCAACAGTCCAATTGATGCACGTGGTATGTCAGCAACGAAACTCATGAGTCCTATCATCCAACCTAAACCGACGGGGCGTTCGTGGTTCACATCGAGATATTCGGTGAATAGGTTAATGATGTTTTCTGTTAAGTTGAAATGTAGATTGGTATAACGATAGATACTTCCAATCACGAAGAAGAGAGCTTCGGCTAGTTCTTTGCAAGCTTCAAATTTTAGTAGCGCAGAGCGTAATAGTCCCAATACCACCCGTGGGAAGTCCGTATTTACACAATTTTGAATGTACATATAACTTAACGCTAGTGCATAGACGATGCCCCTTTCACAGCGCAACGTGTTCAAAGTGCCCTTAAACGACTCAATGGAGTCACACATATCTTTCAGATACTGTAACATGTGGTCCGCTAGCTCAACGCTACGTTTATTGGTGGCATTGACGAGTAGAGCCACGTTTACAAGAAATATCCCTCCAATAGCAGTGCCCACTGCTGAGACATTTCCAAAAGCGTTGTCAAAAATTACATCGCTATTAAACTTTCGGCCAGAGATTCGTTTTCCGTAGAGATGGAACAGAGCTGTTATATGGAATAACCTCACGCATCCTAATCCGGATTCAGCACTATGAATCGGAAATACTGAAGCCAACATGGTTGGCGATACACGTGGGACCTTTTGTTCGGATTCGTCATCTTCTAAGAACCACCGAAATGAACTGACCGTGGGTTTTGAATTTCCTAAAATTTGTAGAAGCTCACGGGTTGCCCTACGTATCTCACGGTTAAAGTTAAGCACTCGTTCATTACGACGTGACAGAAGCTCAGCTCTACTAGTGTCGCTACTCTCTGCGTCAAGCAGGCTGGATATCAATAGACTTTGCCCATGCATGTAATCCTTATCCTTTATATCCTCATCTGTGTCTGCACAGATAAACGCGCTGTATTCAAATTCGAATATCGTTGGGTCTATTTTTGCATACGTGCACGTAAGACGTTTCTTGCTAATCCGGTCAAGTAGTGAGTAGCAGTCACATTCTCGATTCAGGTGCCATTTTCGTAGCTCGTCTAGTTTGGCCCAGAGAGGCGACTTCATAAGCTTAGCTATAGCAACTGCGCCGTTGGCATCTTTAAGGGCTGTCACTCTGAGAAGCATGGGCAGGATGAGGTTCAGGTCAACGATATCCTCCTCAGTGATTTGCCCCTGGATGTCTTTAATTAAGCTCTCGAGGTACTCGCAAAAGAAACGTCCCACAGCACTCACTACCGCGAGGTTAGTGCAATTATCATTAAATATCGGTCCAACGTAGACCCTGTAGGCAACTCCGAAATCCATAACGTCATTCTTGCACATGCGCAAGCAGGATTCAACAGCATCCACCGGATAATCGTAGAATAGGATTCCATTCTCGTTCACATGTTTCAGAGCGTCTTCAGGACGATATTTGCAGAGAGCCCGAAAAACCTTCATGTATACCTCCTTCTCTTGCTGCGACATGGCTTGCATTCTATTAGCGTTGGGAATGGCTGCGATCTTGCCAGTTGGAACATCGCTGTCACGAAGCAACAGGCATCGCCACCGCGCTTCGAATTGATGAAATCCTTCTACCGCATCCTGAGCCCTTTTAGACTCGGGGTGGCCAAATATATGCTTGAGTGCAGTGAAGATAATAGGCAATGAGAGTCGGTGCCTCGATAGCCTAGCAAAAATAACCAAGTTCATATCAAGTAATTCGAATCCCACTTTTGGACAGAGTTTCAGGCGACCTATTATCAATAGTGTCGACTCCAGAAGTGACGATACGAAAAACAATGCCTGCTCAGTGCTACGCGCAGCCATGGAATCGATATAGGCATGCGCCGAAGAATGGAGACTCAAATTCATGGTTAAAATAGCTAGAGCGACATTTAGCGCATCTCGAATGCAAAATTTCTCCTTTAAAAGTAAGACATTGCCGTGAAGATCAGGTAACGACGTCATCAAATCAGTGTTACCCAAGATCACAATGCCGACGTATAACCTCTGCAGCGTGTTGAACGCCCACACAATATCCGTGGCCGACTTGATACGAGATTGTAACGCCTTACACAGCCCTATATCCATGTAGTCTCGTGATAATGCTGCTATGTCATCCCATATATGAGACTCATGGAGTACGAAGGGCTCACAACTGTCGAACTTAGAGACATACTCCTCGATGCGTTTGTTAGAGAGGGCGACCGTCAATGTTTCAAGCAAATTTTCTAGACGTCGATCGTTTTCAATAGCTATTCCACAGTTGGTAAGGTGCACTGCTAATGCGCGAACCTTGAGTAGACTTGCGACATCCATGATAGATGTGGTTAGCGTATTATCCGCAGCTGCAGCTAAGGTTGCAGGGACCATCAAATCCATTATGGTTTTCAACAATTTCACAAGCTCGTAGAGTGGCTTTACATCTCTATTTGCCCTGAAGCCCGTAGTCACAAGTGCATCTACAATTACTCGAATCACATTGGGACGAGTTCGAATTGCATCGGCAAAGTCATCGGCGTATCCTCCATTTATATTGCTCTCGAGTTTCGTTTGCATAAAATTTATACATCCACGAATTCCTTTTGTAGTATCTATACCTTCCAAACGTACAGCAAGGGCGACTAAAAAAAGTAGACGCAAATCCGATCGATCGCCTGCATGCCAATCGATAACCTGCAATGCGTACGGTACAGCGTTCTCAAGGCATTGACGGTTCAGACAACAGAAGTGTACTATTGCGAAAGCCGCCAGCTTTGGCATCCGTGGAGCGTAAAGTAGTTCGTCGAAAACCGGAGTGCTACTGTCACAGTCAAGCATACGATGCAAAAGGTGACTTAGACGTGGTAGCAATGTTAATTCACCTAGAGCACGTACAATAATGGCGCGTAATACTGGAATCTTAATATCTTCATTGACAAGGGACATTTTTAGCACGGCATATTCAAAACTGTCGCTGTCCGGTATTGCTTCGGCAAATGCTATTGCCAACGCTAGAGATACTTCCTTGGAGTAACTGAGCTTTTTCTCCGAATCAGCCTTCAGTCCCACCAACACGTGCGGTAGGATATCATCTACCTGGCGTTTCTCATTATTGTATGTAACGAGCAGCGCTTTTAGCGCTACAACTCGTGCACGCTCCCATGCTTCCGGACCCTGGAGACATTCCCTTAGGGTATTGACACCAATCTCAGTGTCTGCCGCTGGCAGTTTCTTTGTACTCTCGATCCAGCTATCTTTAGGAAGAAAGATCGACTTGGATATACTGAACGATGGCATACAGTTTGGCGGCTCTCCACGTACGAGACTCAACAATACCTCCAGCGACACGTCTACCAAAAATTAAGAAACGATGTGATAGTCACTTACTATCGGTAGCTGACGCACGTGATAGAGTAAGTGCAGCTGATTTCTGCAAGGAAGCATCATCGCAAAGTAGAGCACATAGAGAATCTCGAGCTACCTGTTTTTTCCGGGTAGGACCGGAATGGTTCCTATCTATACCACCAACCGGTGTCATCCTTTGCTACATTATGCGATCGTAAATAGCGATGGATCCACTATTTTGGGACCTTAATCCATATAACCTAATTCGGCGATTCCATCATCTTACGCTACGGAAAAATAACAATGAGAAAACGGATCGAGATAGATTAACAATGTAAAATAGATTGTGACTCTGCCTATTACAGCTTCAGTTTCATAGAAAGCTACGAAACACAAGCAATCAACCCGTCGGTTACACAATCGTAATTCAAATTCTTTTGAATGAATTATGACTTTTGACAGCCCATACATATGTATGTTATGGACTATAGAATTTGGTTATATCAGATGTGTGCTATAGAAATATCTAACACGCCTTGTATCGAATCCGCGTGATGTGTTGTGGAGTACTCTGCCGTATAATTATTAGATAGATGCACATCGATGTGACTTTAAAATAAATCAAAATAATGTTTTAAGAATTTGTAAATATTGTCTACTTAGTTTTTCCATCGAATCTCATGGAATCCACTCTCAGACCATTAGCGCACCACAGCGGCGATTAACATACATATCGACGCCACTATATACTATATTTCTACAATATGGATTATCAGAACAGGGTGGGACACAAAACTGGTAGCGGTGGCCCTGCCTCCGCACAGGATTTGGCATCTCATAACAGAGATCGCCTTCGCCGTCTGGCTCTAGAGACTTTTGATTTGGGAAAGGATCCATATCTTCAAAAGAACCATCTAGGACAGCTGGAATGTCGACTTTGTCTAACATTACATGCGACCGATGGGTCATATCTCAGCCATACACAGGGTCGAAAACACCAGATGAATCTGGCTCGACGTGCTGCAAAGGAAGATAAAAACACATTCTCAATGCCAATTCCAAAGCCTGTAAGTGACACTCTATATCGTCTCGTAACAGAGTTCAGACGGGTGCGCAACGTACAAGTGCTGTCAAAATCGGTAGACCTGGGTACCGCATCACAAAAATGCAAGACCCGGAAACCAAACAATATGGACTGTTGTTTGAGATTGAATACCCTGATATCGAGGGTAAACCAAGATATCGCCTAATGTCTTCTTTCGAACAACGTATGGAACGACCACCGGATCCAGCATTCCAATTCCTACTTTTTGCGGCACAGCCATACGAAACAATCGCATTCAAAGTACCCAATCTAGAAGTTGACGACACACCTGGAAAATTATACGTACACTGGGATGAAACGTTGAAGCTATACGTACTACAAATACTCTTTAGAGTAGGTTTAAAATAGTTCGAAAATAATAACATCTCAGTCTGCACGCACAGCCAAACCGTTGCCGGCACTGCCACATAGACCTAGCGTATATCAAGGCGTAGGACCGAGATTCACATGAATACACATAGAATTCAAAAGAAAACGAACACTTATTAATCGCAATCTGTATATATACAACATAGTGTCAATCCACCTACATGTCTGAGGAATCATCTATGTTACCCTTATCTACATTCAATTAGTCCTAGCTAGATTTTTACTGTTGCTACGCTAAATACTACGAATATTACATTAAATGACCAAGTATATCATTTAGGTACTAATTTTCAAAAGAAATAGAACCAACGTCTGGTCCGGATAATACACATATCATCAAAGGAACCTCCAAAAGCTCTGCTTACTTCAAACCAAGAAAGCGTATCATAAGCACCCTCTGCAATATCCATAACCCAGGACAGACCTGCGTCCTCATCTATACCGCAACTGTATAGACCACCGTTGGACTTAATCAAACAGAATTTATTGCGCGCTGCATCCAAAACAATAACAGCATTGCCGATCATGTCACGGATCATACGTGTAGAGCGTTGTTCTGGCAGGCGCGCAAGCTTGACATCTGCAGATTTTGTGAGCGCAGGAGCAGGCTCCGCAGACTCCAGCCGAGGGATGAATATGCTGCCTATACCCGAATCGCGTTCAAACTGCGCTAACATCTTTAAAATGTCCTTCTCCTGAAAGTTTAAGTATGATTCACCTGGTGAAAATGTAAACTACAGAATATTTCAACTAACCTGCAAGTATTATACAGAATCGATGTATCGTGCCGGTTTCATCCTTGCAGAGGTGTCGGAATGATTCACGTGATAATTCTAAGGGAGGATATAACAGCTACAACATGATGAATTCAATGTGAAAGTAACACAACATACCGTTACCATGGAATTTATGCTGCGTCGAATCGGTTCCAGGGCACCTCGTGAATAAGGAGCAGTGGCCATTAAGGAAGATGCACCAGCGCCATAAAGCATCGCTATAGCGTCCACAGTATTACTCATTTGGAATGCCGCAGTAGACTCCGGTATGTTGTTATCCCCGTTAGACACGCCCATGAGGTCATTCATGAACGTTGGGTCAGCGTGAAGGTGTACTTCAGAAGACAGCCAGTAAGTATCAAATGCCCATTTATACTTCATTGCGATATTCATAAGCGTAATCGGTACCGGACGCCCTGGCCCATAGTTGCGGAACAACATGGCCGGACGGTCGATCGAAGCGGCAGCTTTTTTTTTGAAGTCATCGTAGTCTGTGCAGTTGATCACCACATTTGGGTACACTTGCAAGAAATAATCCTTAAACTGCCTGAACGACCGTAATACTTCTTGAGGGAACAGGTCATATCCACCATCAGGGAAGATCATCATCACTGCCGGTAGCAGTTGTGCTTTGATAGGCAATTTTTTAGCGGCCTTTGGATATAAAAGACCGTTTACACGTCCGAAACTGGCAAAATGTCCAAGTTTATTGGCAGCCTCCTCCCAGTGTTTGGCGAAATTTTGACATTCGTGAACGTCGTCAGAGTACAATTGTACAACCCAGACATCCCCGGAATCGGTCACAAGTTCATCATAATTTGCTTGTGTTAAGACAGTTGTCGTAGAGGGTATAACATCTACAGTTCTGCCATTAGTTCGGTCATACAGCCTTTTCAGTTCAGGATTGCCTGAAAGGGGTAATGTGGTATAGCAGCGCCTCAACTTACTTAAGATCTTGTAAGCAGCTTTCAGTTTCATAAACTTGTCCTTACAATCACTGCAGTTTGGATTCTTGTCTGGGTGCCTGAAAGCAGTTTAATGCATTCACATAGATAATTACCACTTGTGATTCAGTTGGCGGTATTTCGCTCTGATCTCAGCATCCGTCGCGGAGCGTGAAATTCCAAGTACAGCATATATATCATCACCGAATTCCGTAAAGTTTTCCATAGAATGGTAGCTATCTTCGAAATATTTCAGAACAAGGCCCACTGAAAAGTTATATCTGGTAATACAATTTTACATACGTGCTAAGACACCAAGCAATGTAAGTACGACTGCATAATCCTTGATGAACTTCGTAACAGTAAGGTAGGTCTTTCTGACTGGCTTAACAGTCCTTGTCGGCCTCGGGGAAACTCCCCTGGCAGCGTTATGCCTCTTGCGCGCGTTAACTTCCATCGCGGCGTTGAAGCCTCCTAGGTGATATTTCGAAAAAGTAAAGTCAGCTACATATATCCTTCGCTATATCTAATGTTATGGTCCCGTGTCTATTGCTTTAAGTGGTTGCTTAACCGGGTTACAACACAACGGTCGTGCAAACAAAAACATCGTGATGGGGCTTCAAGTCACGTGTATTTGACACATTTTCGCTTGACAACTACAGTAGCTATTTTCTACATGTGTGTATGGCCATATATATCGCAGCAGTCGAATTTTATGCTCTACCTTTGGTATCTGGAATCCCGAAGCCTATCAAAGCACGTTGAACAGCTACAAACACATTTACTTAACACATCTCAATATAATAGATTACTGTGAACTATAGAAGCACACACATGCGTCATTCGCCGTTCCGCGCCATGAAGTACGGTGCGCAAATGTATGTACACCAGTGAGTTCTCGCGCACTACATTGAGGCACGTGGCTCATAATCGCCACTTATAGAAGCCTAATTGATAATTGTGACACATGTACACAGCAATGAGTAGAAGCTAATTGACCTAGAAAGGGTGATATTTCGCAGTACACCGACGCCGCTCTCTCACTGCCAAGATGAAGTGCGTGATACTTGCCGGAGGGCATGGCACCCGGCTAAGGCCGCTTACTCTAACGGTACCTAAACCTATGATTCCATTCTGCAATCGACCTATCATAGAGTACCAGATAAGTGCGAGTAAAAAGGTATGTAACCTGTGTTTCCATATGAATACACATTCACGGCCTTATTCCTTCACACATTCATATTCTTTTCAATCATATATCATCCAACATCCGTGTTGATGAATGTGAAATGCTTCGGAATGGTAAACAACCTTTACTATGTCTGGAAGTTACGCTCTACACACGTCATAAAACACGCAGGCCGGAGTGGATCACATTATACTAGCAATATCGGAAGAACAACGAGGAATGGTTCCATTGATCGCGGAACTTAGCGAAAAGGTACCTCATTATCTTACATATTACAAATGTTACAGTGCAAGATCCGCATTGATTGCTCAATCGAGACAGAATCACTCGGTACAGGTAAGTTTCAAAAACTCAACATTATATTAGATTAGCTGGACCACTGAGGCATGCTAAATCGTTTATATGCGATCCTGACGACGCTTGTGAGCTACTTCTGGTGCTGAACAGTGATATCATCTGCAACTACCCATTCGCCGAGATGATATCAGCGCACCGAAAGAATAAAGCGGACGCAACAATCCTGGTCACAAAAACAACGCATCCGAGTGATTTCGGTGTCATCGTCCACGACGAAACTTACCGAATACAGGAATTCGTAGAGAAGCCAACGGAGTTTATCTCGAACCAAATTAATGCAGGTAATTAATCAGGTTTATACAATAACAGATTCCAGGCGTTTACGTCATCAATAAAAAGATGATAGATCATATCCCTGAAGGAAACGTATCCATAGAACGCTACCTTTTCCCTACCATGGTGACTATGGGTCGTACCTATTGCCATCCACTCACAGGGTTGTGGGCTGATATCGGGAAACCGTCAGACTACATTAGAGGACAGCAGCTATACCTATCCGGCCCGTCAAATGAAGAGCAAGGGGTAATGCTACGTTATAAGGCCGATGGTGGAGAAGATCACGTGGAAGGTTCGCAGGTACTTGTCGAAACCAAGGGTGGGCTACTTGTCGAACTGCTTCACGAGACGGATAATTTTGTACCTCCGCCGTTAGGAGGAACAACAGCGGATCTTAGTGCACTGTCTCATATCGGGGAGGATGTAGTTATACGGCCACCCGTGCTCATACATCCCTCTGCCCGTATCGGACGTGGTTGCGTACTGGGACCAAACGTTTGTATAGGACCGAATACTGTTATCGGGGAGGGTTGCAGGATAGTCCGCACAACCATTTTTGCTGGTAAGTGTCAAAGTAATGCCGTGTATCAATAATAGGTGCCTGTCTTGAGGCTCATGTCTACATTGAGGGTAGCATAATAGGCTGGGATTCGCACATCAAGTCATGGGTACGTTGTTACTTAGCAGTACACATTCGCTGATAGGTACGTGTTGAAGGTCTCACGGTACTCGGAAAGGACGTAGTGGTCGGGGAGGGACTCTTCCTAAGAGGGTCTATAGTCCTTCCGCACAAAGCGATCACAAAGAGTCTCTACGATAGCGGAACAATTATTATATAACGTCCTAGTTGTATTTTATGTATTTCAAACATGTAAATATGTCACTACTCTTTCTCAAATGTGCACTAATCGCACTAGTCTATCATGGAAGTTATGTGTACGCGGCGCGATCTCCACGTCCGGGAACTTACTTTCATCTTGCTCTCGGTATTAACCGCAGTAATGTGTACTTCAATCGATTGGAGAAGGTAGGTTGTGTGGGAGCCGCATCATTGTTTACATCATCACAGGAGCTAGACAACTTCAGAAAAGATCCACCGCCGAATTGCAGTGTAGAGGTATTCGGCCCACGTAAAGAAATATGGATCGTAACTTGGACTGGGTTACCTGGAACTGTATATGAGGGCGAGAAATATCGACTCAAAATACTATTCCCCAAGGAGTACCCATTTAAGCCACCGGTGGTCTACTTTTTACAACCAGGTGAGTCTTCTTTAAGGATAAATGTATTAATATTCTCATATCATACGTTCTTAATCGATTGTGTTGTGAAAAGATTTATAAATTGACACAAATCGTTCTCAGCGCCAGTACACGCTCACGTCTACTCTAACGGGGATATATGTCTGAGCAGTCTGCGAGCAGACTATTTACCCACAGCATCGATAACGAGTTTTGTTCTCAGTATCATATCGATGCTGTCAACTGCTAAGGAGAAAAGGTTGCCGATCGACAATCACTTACGTAAGTGGATGTGTCACGTACACAATGAACTTTCAGACGCGGAGTTGCCACCTGGATCGGCGGACGCTAGATATCTATATCACGATGACAAATGTTAAAAGCAATGTCTACTATAATTATAGTTACGAACACCGTTGCGCCGTGTATTACTTGGCGCGGTGCGTCGAAAACAATTGCACTAATATTGTTAATTAGCAATATCAATAATAGGGCCAGTTGTGTCTCAAATAAACCCTATGCTTTTGGAAATGGACGAAGATCTGTTGAGCCTGGAGATCGGCCTTCAGTTCCAGGATTGGGTTAGTTAATATAGCCATTTGTAGACACTGCAAACAGAGTACTTGGGATTGGGTTATGATGCCGTGGAAAGCGCCCGCAAGTTAAGTAAACAGGAAAATTCAGATGAACAAATCTCATTCGATACAAGCTATAAAGGACCTATTATTCAGTTAGAGTGGCCGAGCCATGAGGCTAGACGGTATAACAATTCCCTTAGGTGGGCCTTGCCGACTGGTGTTTACGCATGGAGAGCACCTTCCTGTGTGATACATGAAAATGTAAGTATACACATATTCGCACCTATTCTAATTTGATTTAGGACATGAAAAAGAAGAGTGAGAACATGAGCATCAAACAGCTGTCAGCGAGCTTGAATGCAAAGTTTAATACAACTTCAGACGATGAGAAAAACGTTGAAGACATAAAAGAAGACAAAAAAAACGAACCTATTGCAGATGAAGATGGTATAGATGCCCTGTTTGATGACGCTGTTGATAGTGCGGAATCAAAGGGAAGTGGCGATAATACAGAAATTACAACACCAGATAAAATTGACACAGAAAAGAGTCGAAAAGAGACATCCCTGTCTGCTAAGATCTCGCTAAATAGTACCATCAATTCTACAAAGTTGACGGATCATATCGGCAAAGACGCATCATGCACTGCATTTATTGCTGGCACATCTCTAACTGGCCAAAGGTATGAGTCACCAACATATTTTCATATCATTGCAGCCATTTAACTCGTGGTTTTGAATTGGCCCTCAACGACCTATTACATGGACTTAGAAAACAGGAACGGTGTACTCTGAGGTATTATAATACCTCTCAGTGTGATGTGGCGCTTTCTTTCTGGTACAATTTCTTTCGCAATTATGGAACGCACGTCATTACCCGAGTCACGCTAGGTACGTTAATAATAGTTGCAATAGATATTTGTAGGTGGTAAGGTGGAATTCAGTCGAAAGAGCAACGAGGAAGAAAGTGACAAGCAACGGCATCTGGCAGCGGAAGTGACGGGTCAAGCTGTGAACCCTTCAAACCGCATATCCGCCAATTTGGAAAAAACAAAGAGCGAATATGATAGACGAAGTGAGGGATCAGTGACGCTTGATATGCTTGGCGGCAAACCACATCGAAAACATGATAGGGGTGAATTTGACGCCAGATGGGCCCACAGTGTCGTTGACTACCCTATGCCTATAAACATAGAATTAACGCCACTCGCTCCATTATTCAAATCGCCGGGATACGAAGAACATTACTATCAGGCGTTAGTATTATATTCTAGAAACGGTAGAGATATGAGTTCGAAGACGTGACGTATCGTACCCAGCGGTACGTAGGCGCAGCCGAAGGTGGCTGTAACACTCGAAGGTATCGAACCTGAACATTCGAGATGCTAAACATGGGCGCCTCGAATGCCAAGTTGATAGGCCCGAATTCACGCTTCGAAACCGTAGAATTATATGCCGATATGCTAATTGATGCTCGTAAAGTTACACCGGTACATCCCTACAACATATGACCTATTAAAAAATGAAGACTCACCCTGTGTCGTTTAAGTTCCCAGAATATTGCTTGCTCTTTTGCACGATATTCCGGTGCCTGACCGCTATCATGAGGCACCGTGCTCAGGGCAACTGCTGTCGTTGAAGATGGTAGTGGGCATCTCAGTTTCACGTTTGCTATTACGTGTTGCGGCATTGTACAAAACAAATTAACAATCATCGTTGCCTGAGATGAAATTAAGAATATGGCACTAAACACCTACAGTGTCGCCAGCGATGTCGACGTTTGCCTTGATCTTGAATGGCATGACAGCGCTACCAGATATTCGATAGCTCATTAGAATTAATTCTCCTTCAGGGGGAGAGAGCGATAGCACTCTTGACTTTTCGAACTCTCCTGTATCCACACATTCATGGAAGTTGCAGAAGTCCAACACCGCTACGTTCGGCACCTTTCCACGCCGTTTATTAATCACAATGCCCTCGTTTAGTGCAATATTCACCATAGGATTCCCACGAAGGAAGCTCTTTACACGAATCTGCCCTTCTACTGTCATACTCCTATAGGTGTCATTAGGTCCTAGTACGGCGGATATTTTTTCCAAGACATCCAGGAATATCTCGTTAGATTTTGACGCTTCGCCAGTTATGGGTCGCTGGGATACTACGCTGGGCACTGTTTTGGCGTTTGATGACGCTCCAATGCGCAGTCTCCCCTGAACACGGTGTTGCTCACGTGATACAATATACTCACCATTGATCGCGTATGTATCTTCGGGAGTACAGCCACATTGCAAACCTTTTGTTTCAGCTGTGTTGTGTTTGTGCATTGCACATATCCGAAATCCAGTATTTCGTCTAACAATTCGTATGCCAGTACGAAGTTCTGCCTTAAAGATTCTTCGCTGAGCATACCGCAGAAGTCCTAGCGACCGTTATCAACGATTGCCTGCAACTAACCTTAAATGTTCCGATAATGCGATTAATAAGTTCAAATACGAACGCTGGTGGTATGGCGAACGACGTCGTTGCCACGAAATAAAGTCCATTACGTTTGATGTGATAGTAGAATACATCTCCTAACTTGAACAGAGGGCTTGTGTCCTCGTTGCGTTCCGTAACAGCGCTGTAGAAATCCTCTGCCGATCCTAGAAAACCGTGCACATGGAGTCAAAAAAACATACCTCCAGCATTCTCGCCACGTAAGCTGCGCAGCAGCAGCCTATCTCCACAGCTGGATATTACGAAGAAATGTGATAATACCATTTTACAACCGCGAAGTGGCTACTTTCATGCCAAGTGTGTATGCTTACCTCATTGCGTATATGCAGCCACAAACTACACAGTTGGCAGCACACCAATAAATATTTGAAGTTAAAATAAACTACTACAAACTAGTCTGTGATCATATTAGGTTGATTGGGGGCTATTTCATCATCCTACTGGGGACAGGGAATCCCTTGACTTTTCAGTACGCCTATCATTCGGAAATCAAATACTATCACAATGGGCCCTATATGATATCGCGAATGAAATTATTATAATCAGCCTCCTGTCTTACCGATACTATTCTTTGGGCGGAAGGCTATGGGTGAATCCATTCGGGGAATGTCGTTCTAATCGGCAAGTCTAGCTCACACTGTGTTATAGCGCCGCACCTATTAAAGACATATAATCTTATGACGCGCACATGAGGGGTACTGGTGTAGCAAAGGCTGATAGCTGACTTAATAATGCCCGTAGACACGAAATCGGTTCTGGTATTACCTTCGGGTTTGACAACCGAAGGTGCTCCTTTTGGGGTATTTATGACAGAAATATACAGGTTTCACCTTTCGACACATGATTGGTGTGCACTGAGGGTCGTTATGTGATCGCACATCTGACGTTTTTGCTATATACAGGTATCATGGTAATCGTAGGAATAATAAAATATGGGCTGTATACGTGAACACAATGGCAATGGCGTGGTATCAGATACATTTCTTGAGGGATGGCCTCCATGCGTAGCCGCAGTGTGACGAAATAACCATGCCAGCTCGGGGCCCTAACTACCCTTCGGATGGTACGGCGATGCTCCTACGACCACATTTTTTCGAGAGGCCTCGTTAGGATACACGATTACAACACAATATATCAACTCAGTTGAGCGTGATAAACACAAGGGCCGCGTCAATTGTTAGGGGTGTTCCCCTTACCGATCATTTGTGATCTGCGGATATTTACTTCCATATGCTAGTTGTGCGTTGTCCAATTTCCGGAAATGACCTTCAACAACGATTTCTACAACAACTTGCCAGGGATTGGCCCGTGCATCGTTGTTGTGTAGGGCCTCCGCCGTCGCCAGTGGCCCTCTGCAAGCAGCAGCACATCCGTGCGACTACGGTTGTAGATATATCATACCTTATATTCCGATATAAGATCAATAGGACTGTTAGTTCATACGCTTTGTAGACCTGAGCCCGGACGTTGATTGACTTTTAAAATTAACGTGTGTGATCCGCTGCACGACAATTGCCTGGCATCAATATCTAGTCAGTACAACGAAACCCATCAGAAATTCACACCAAGACCAAAATGACTGAAGGCGGTAAAACTACAAAGACCCCTCCTAAGGTCAATATTGAGGCTATTTGCAAGGAGTATCCTAACTCAAAGGTACTACTGATCTCGGTTCAAAGGCCTCGCGCATTTTTCATACGTACTTCTTGTGAACTTCTTGCTGGAGGTATGTTGCAGTAGCTAAATTGACCCAATACGACTTTAGGAACCGAGGTTCTCATCCTCAGCGCCCTTGGAGATGCCATACCTCACTGTGTGCAACTACAACAGGCCCTGATTATGAAACATGTTGCTACAACCATCAAGTTTGAAACGACACTGAACAAGTGTGCTAACTCTCGCGGTAAGGCCCCTGTTCATGTCCCAGGCGTTCAAATTTATATGCGTAAACACCCAGAATTCAAGGGTTCACGTATATCACCAGCTTACGTTGCATTTGCATCAAAGCCACTACCCGGAGACCTACCACACTCATTCAAAGCTGATGCAGCAGAACATTGTTGCAAGGTGATTGCTGGTGACGTTACCTTCGCCATGCCCGGCCATGGTAGTGCACACCATGTATTCACCGAAGCTATCAGGGCAGCTGGTCACAACGTTGACGCTTACCACAAGCTGTTCAAAACGATGTACAAAGAGGCCGTTGATGCCCATGCAGCTGACGAAAACGTATACACCGTGACCATGGAAAACTCCGCTTTCCAACACCCTGATCTAAAATACGCCCTATGTCGCCTACCCAAAGAATACCAATCCTTTAAAACACCAGGCGAAGGTGTCGTGTTCGTGTGCATATTCAACAAACACCCTCACGACAATTTCCATAACATGGGCTTGATTTATGTTGTCGAACCGTCAGCTAAAAACTACGGCGATGTCAACGATTTCTACACTGCGTTGCACCTCACGGGAGAGAACCTTATGACTATTGTGTGCGACCACAATGGTATGGCCAAACGCGATCCAACACGCTCACAACGTCCAATGGCATGTTGCTCAACTTATCTCATTTGTGGTGATAGGAACCGTCATCCGAGTGCCACTAAACTGGAAGTCGCAAAGAATTTACTTAACGGTATTGCTGAAGCTTACCGCCATGGTCCCGCGTCTGTGTTCCACTTCGCTTACGATGACGATGCGTTCCGACACGCCTGGATGGAGACATCCGGTTTGCCAGCGGAGCCTAAGTAAACTATTGTGCGTATGATGTGACCCATATTAGAAAGGGATCGTTAAACATCATAAAGGTATGATCACTTTTCACCTTGTCAATCTTGTAGTTACGCTACCATGTATGTCCATTAATGTGGGATCTTCGTGTTGTTGTCGTCAGTCCTACGGGTGGCTGAAAATTAATTTATACTGCATATGGCACAATAAATGGCTGCTGTAGCACCGTGCCCCTTGACTCAGCTGTGACTTTAGCTTTGCCAAGTATCCAACTGACTCAGTGGTGTACCCACAGGTTACTGTGTCAAAATTGATTCAAAATCAATACATAGTGTCCAGCAATGTTTGCAAAACTACTGTTACATGTCTCGTTTCTCTTGAAGAGAGCGTTGCAGAATTTTACCGCAGCGCTGCAGACACATTCCGCTACCTCAGCTCTAAAGCTTCGTACCACAGTGTTACCGATAACAACTGATACGTTTCTATTGTTATTTCGAAACACCTTAGGTTAGAAGGCTTGTTTCATGAGCCTATTATTACGGAAATAGTTATTTTGTGCTAAAACAAGCAGTAGCTATGCTGTTATTAGGCGCCCTATCACACCATAAAGCAACGCCTATCACCTCACTGTTAGACACTAGCTGTTATAACATATATATTATAGGGATGTGTACACGTATAGGGCTCTCCGGAGCGTCCATACTGGAGCTTCGATGGAAGAGCCTTACCATTGCCAAATCAGGCATACCTCTCCGTCTGAATACGCCAAGATGCTCCATACCGAATATATCGTGCAATATAAACAGATTTCGAACATTATTATCGGCTGAATCGCTATTCCATCGCCAAATTAGGTCACTATCCCAGTTCAATAAGTCGCAATTCACGACCGACTCGTCGAGCCGCCATAGGTTTAAAACAACCAAGAATGACCATCATAATGACAAAACTGATGAACCAGAATCCAATGTGAAGACACCAATACGGGAGAAATTGTTACGTAGGAAAAAGGCGTTGCATCGTGCTGTGGCACGTTTGAAGAGCCGATTGGTCTTGTTCAAAGTGTTTACAAGGTACCGGGAATACAGAAGATCGCATTGGAACCTTGAATACGCTAAGCGTTACTTCTTAGAGAAGAGGTTAAAGTTTGGCGCAACGCCAAGAAATGCTTTGCGCCGAAAGAAGATGAAAGAGCTGAAGGAAAAGGTTGTAAAGAATTCTACAGCGGTGAGTTACAATTCAATAGATGATGTGATGAATGCAGCTAAAATTGAGTGCTATGTTTGCCATCAAGAAGTACGGTAAACTTGGAGCCGGGATATACTTAGGGTAAGATAATACGTCCAGTACATCATCCGTTCACAGTGTCTATGTGGTCACTCTAATTTTCATGAACATACTAACTTTCAATGGGTACCTTTCGAGCAACGATCTGCGACGCGTCCTCGAGCGAATCAACATCACCCATTTCCAAGTACCGGATATGGATAGCTACTTCGCAAAATTCACAGTAGCATATATTGCCACTAAGGTAGTGGAACCTCTAAGGTTCATAGTGTCTCTTCTACTCGTGATGGCTGTGAACCGCGCGATGAAACGACGATTGTAGGAAGTCGGAGTGGGGGACCCTTACACACTAGATGGTATCACGATTAAGATCAAATACCTAGTAATAGAGACACAAAAACAAGACACACAGGTGTGTATCAAACACACAACTACCTCAATTAGGTAAATATTCATCATCCATGTAGCCGGATGGAAGATTCGACGAGTCCGGCGCCCAGGCTTTCTGGGAACGTCGATGAATACAAAAGCAAGCGCTCAAGGCTAGAAAGTAATCAAAGGCTATCATTATATGATTATTTGGAGTTGGAACCAGGTTGTACGACGGCAGATATACGTAGAGCATACTACCATTTCGCGCGCTTCTTACATCCAGATAAGTAGGTGTAAGATTTAGCTGTAACATAACACAATTAAGGTGCCAAGATCCAGCGGCAGTGACTCTGTTAAATGATATAAAAAGCGCCTACGATGTTTTGAGTGACGAATACAAACGTATGCTTTACGATTTAAAAAATGGGTTCGCCACGGAGGAAGAACTTTCAGAACAACTCCTCACACTCACAGAGGGATTAAAAGAACGATATCGCCATTTCCTGCAAGATAAAACGCAGACGTACATTGTGTCGGTTATCCATGAGTACTATAGAGGTGGTGTGTGCCAAATGTATGTGATACAAATCGTTCAGGATTGGTAATCAAAAAGGCGCTGTATGGCGATCTGAGTCTGAGGAACCCAGGAAAAATTACTCCCATAGAAACAATAGCTGAGAGGCATCTAAGAGGTCCCTTTATAGAAGTAACTGTCCAACTACAGGTACTCATCGACCACGGCGTGCTGCATATAAACCCGGGGGGACCAATGTCATACGCATTTCTACCTGGTTTCTATAATCCATTGGATTTGGTAAGTTTACGTTTATTCATTGTTTTCGATTTATTGTCGCAATGGCGTGGAGCCGTCAGGTAGACATGGATCTACCACGGCAAAAAAGCATTCGTGGTTGAAAGCCGTCGCTGTCATATTCCATCTTATGTATATATGTTTAGGGTGCGCTACAACCTGATGCCGAGTGCGAGGGAGAGACTCAGCTGTACATCTTATACCTGTTCAGGGTAAGGTAACACTTCATCGTCGTACAATATGGTACGCAGAATGATGTGCACGAAGTGACCATATGTGATGGCACACCTTTTAAGCTACCGATGCGAGCTCATCGTGTTTACGGATCATACATCAAAGGACCCTACGCTGTTTCAAACCTGGAGGCGCTTGAGTCATTCTGACGTTGTTTTATCATAACACATAGTCACGCGGAAACTAACGCGCAACTAAATATAGATAGATGAATAGTTAGATACTGACGGAACGCCGAATGGAGACAGGAATGCAGATTCCATGTTACACATTTTGGATGGGGGTGTCGGCGGCGTTTACTGTACGCTGAACGGGAGACAGCTCTTCAGTCGCGGTAAAGCTGCGTGTAGATTCAAATTAAATGTGGAATTTTCGCTAAATCGCATAATGTACAACAGGGAAGTCAAAGGACGTGATGTCCGGGAGCTCGGCATGATGTATCTAGAGCGGTTGAGGTAAAAAACGCAATTTTTTGTTATATTCCAACGTAGATTGATACATGTCAACACTCTAAATCGTCATACGCTCACCAGGGTATCTGCCGTGGAGATGGTAGACGCCCTCAAACAGTTGGCGGAGCTGTTAATTTGGGGAGCGAAGAGCGACTTCGATGGGTTGTTCGAGTATGTTACCCACACTATATGGTTATAAGTGGTGCAGATACTTCTGTGAAGAAAATATAATGGAATTCCTTACGATAGAACTGCCATGTACACCAGTGAGAATAGTTCGGATACAGTTGCTACAAACGATGTCAATGCTCATCCACAATGTAGAAAACGAAAGGATGCGCTACTATATGCTCTCCAACAACTATATGAATGCGCTCATCACGCACCATAATATGTATACCGGGGGGGATGTCAGCAGCTGGACCGTTTCCCTGCTTAAAACGTTGAGCGGGGTAGTCAACTCCACCACCATTAAGTTCTTTTATCAAGAGGTTGGTATATAGACCGCATAAATAATCAGAATCAGGGAAATACATCATTCCCACTGTTAGAGGAGGCACTCAGGTTCCTCTCAAGCAGTGACAGTATGAAAAGGGCACATGTCATGAACATCGCTCTGAACATTCTAAGATTGAATGATCCATCCGTGACGCAATACGTTGTCCGCAAGTCGCGCATACTGACACAGCTAACACTATATCTGCGATATAGCTGGAGAAGGCTTAACAGAAATATCAAAAATGTAAATATGGAATCGATAGGACAGGCAGAGTCAATTCTATTGACACAATGTGACGATGTATTCCAGTTTCTAATGGATATAATGGATTTGGGTATACAAGAAATCAATGAGGTGAGTAAATTACGTAGACGTGTCATCTATCATAGGTATTACTTCAACGCCTCTTCACCTTATGTTTCTTCCCGCTCATAGGGTCGATATTGCGTAACCTCGACACTGACGCGTCTCTTATCGACGCAATAGATGTGCCTGCTGTGCCACAATGCAGTTTTTATCGCTCCACGTATCAGAAATTAATGATACAGAACGGGCTAGTTGGTATATACGCAAGTTACAAAAGCGAGTTGTTTGGTGGTAATCATTCACCCACTGACTTGGAAGAAGACCATACAAGGACTCTCGGAGCGTCGAACGCTAAAGATGACAAAGACTCACCAACTGCGTCACCCACACCTACGCCGAGGTCCATCGCAGAGTTTCAAAATCTCAACATACCAGCGACAATACTAGCAAACGAGTTGCTTCCTACAGTCTCCTACTATCTGCTCGTAATGCATCTATCCTCAGTAAGAAGGGAAGATGTAAGGAGATATATTCTACTGCTGACCCACTGCCCATTTGCGCCACGCAATATATTGGAAGAGATACGTCAACTCACACCCTTAAGACAGCTTTCATACAATTCAGCTGTGACAGATGATTCGGGTGATGAGAATGCTGGTGATGGAGAAGTGGATGCTACAACAGCATCGGTATTTGATTCTATGAAGGCCTGGGAGCGACACGTTTTCGGTCAAAATTCGTTCCAAAGGGAACTAAGCTGCAATTCCGATTGTGATGCAGGGGGAACTCAAGTGGAATATGTGCTCAATCTGGTAATGGGCGAGTTCTTGAAAGTCGCTATATGTGATCTTCCACGATGTGATAGCAGAATCTCAATGTTGTTGGCTATGGTACACAGCCTTCAGAATTCCTTCATGAAACTCGCACCGAACCCCGAGTCCGCGGATGACTTCCCATTTGAACAATTTATGGCGGTACCCATAACTACAAATGGACTCCACGTGGTTTCACAGGTGTTGAATGCGGTAGCGCGGCAACTCTCCTCGCCAACACTACGTATACAGGCTCTGAATCTGGCACTGTGTATCATACGAAACAGCGCTGATATAGTGCGACGATATGATCCACGGGAGTTACATTCATTTCTGGAAGAGGTCAAGTTCCACTTGGAAGTTGCGTATAACAACCTCACCATGCTGATAAACAGCGAATTGGAGCAATGTGCCCCTCATCACGTTGTAATATTTTACGACGAGTGGTTGAGGATGGAAGCTGTGCCTAGCAGGCGCGTAGACATACTCGAGTACCCACAGCTTCTACTAGGTCCAGAAAAATATGACCCTTTTTTGCGCCAAACTACTCACAATGATCTACCCAGGTCACAAAGTGCCGTGTCAGTAAAAGGCGATGTGGGTGATCACTCACAGACGCCGTCAACGACCGATAATGTCGAGGTAAAAACTGACGTCGATGAGACATTGATGAATGCTGGAATCACAAATCGCACTCCCATGGGTCTTTGGCTATTTGGTAATCATGGCCCATCAAGCTCAACGGTTGACACCGGAGAGCCTCCCCTAGACGAAAAAATCGCAACGGTCCAGCAGCAGAAATCCACATCGCGTACGGACGACTCTTGGGGAGTACTGCTGGAACGGATGACGTTATTCCGTCGTCATATACAGGCAGCCTTACTGGTTAGGAGTGTACTGCAAGAACTTGAATCGTGGGATCTGATGGTTGACAGTATTACGGTACCACGAAAAGCACGACTAGACATAGGGTTCAACCAATGCCCGCTTTTACAGGATCAACAACTTGCAATCAATGGCACGCCGATCGTTCTAGGAGCGCACTTCACGCTCGAGAATGTCCACAAATACCCGTGCATTATGATAGTTAACTCTGAGAGGAAAAGGCGGTACGTTGTTTGCAGCGATGCTTTCTTCCTGTTAATGCGTCGAACGCAAGAACCCGGAACATTCGAAACGACGTAAGTTCTACTCTGCCGTTTTCATTGTTCTCAGGTGTGTGCATCCCCTGTGGAACGTCGAGATGCGGCAAATGAACGCAAGTACCCGAACGTGCTCCGTCGCCATCTTGTGGTATCCTGATTCAAAAAATTCGCGGCGTGAAAACCACTCATATTGTCAGACTCTGGTATCATATAGCGTGACAGAAATCGATATCATTTTTGAATCGGAAGAGGACGCCGTGGAATATACGCGAAGGTACAAACTTGCCCGTGCTGAAACTACAGCTCTGAGTTGCGCGGCGATTCGCAACTATCTAGTTTTGGGACACTGACATTTTAATACGAAGTAACCAATAGATGTGTTTCACTAATAAATGGTTTTCTATTTGCCCCCTACGCAACGCTCGGCCGATCCGTTATACAGCCGTAATCAACTATGTAGCGTATACGTACTCTACTTTTTGAAATCTATTATAACAATGCGCATATGGCTAGTTAAACGACGATATTATATCATAAGATGTGTTGTATCGCACTGTCTAACCCCGAAACTTTGGCGGGAACCTATAGTTGATAGGTAGGTCTGGGTATGCTTGATTGTTCCACGGGTCGTTTTTTGAGAGGAATCGTGCCCTAGGTGGAGGTTTAAGCGGTGGATTGAGCAACGAATCCTCCGATAACATGTAATGCGCGCTCTTTACACGCCTCCAAACTAAAGCACAATTGTCTTGAATGCTTGAAACATGCTCAGTACGGTAACGCCATAGGTCGTCACGCAACAGCTCGTCTGGTGGTTCCGGCAGCACATTGACCAACTTAATGTTGCGTTCAACGTCATGAGTATACTTAACCCTGCCAGCTGCCAAAGCGAATAACGTAGTTGTCTTCGGCGACACACCTACATTCTCACCGGGATAGAACTTGAAATGTCTATTTCGCGTTACATTTGGGTTTTGAGCGATGGGTTTACGCTGCTTAACTAGTACCTCTCCTGGTGTAACATATTCCGCGGCCAGCCGTTTAATACCGATGTGCGCTTTACGCGCCTGGCCGGTTGGCGATGCTCGAGCCGGGCGGCGATATGCAGAAACTTTTACAGTTTTATATCGATATTGTAATAGACAAAAACGAAAACACTTAACAGCTACATTGATATTAGATTGGAGCATCGTCAAGTGGCTCGTATCTGTTGACCACGACCACTGGTGGGCGAGAGTCAAACCGTACAACGTTGAACTCGGCGGGCTTGATTGGGCATTCTTCGTAGTCTGTGAATGAGATGTCACGGATGTGGGCGCCGTCGCTGGGGTTGCTCAAAATAGATGATACTGTTACGTCGTCCTCATACTCTTCTATAATCCTCCGATTTTCCCTGCATATGTATTCGCCATGGGGTCCAAAGGGCAACCAAAAGATGTAACGTGAAACGTTTTCATTGGGTGGGACGTGAAGGAAGGCCAAACAAGTGCTTGTTAGATGGGTAGGTATCATGTACGATGCCAAGTGGCATGCGTTGGGGAAGATGATCACATGAGAGTTGAGGAAGTATTTATGAAGCTGCATAGCACATGTCGGTGGTGTTACTACATCCCGGCCCCCGAAAACAATAAGTGTAGGCTTTTTTAAAGCACCTACTCGCTGATAAAGTCCATCGCTACTCCACAAGGGCACTCTTTTGAGGATGCCTAACATTGCTGCGGAAGATTTCGGTGTAACGAATAGCCTCCATAGCATATGGTTGTCGGATTTGCTTCGTGTTGTCAGCAGATTTTTGCGTGGGAAACAACAGCGGCAGACACATAGAGGCACACAGGGTATGAAACAGTGAAAAAACCTTGCCAAACGAACACTTAAAGAACACTTTGGTATCAATCCTGCAGGTGAAATCAATATAATCCTCTCAACTTTTTCAGGGTGGCGTTCGCAAAACGCGGCCGCTATACATCCTCCCATTGATATGCCAATAACAGTGATCTTGCGACCTTCGAGTTTAAAGAAGGATATAACATCTTCGGCCTGGTCTACTAAGAAGTCCAAAGAGTACCGACGGCCCAATACGTCATAATTAGGAATCTCGCTTAGACCATGTCCGTAGATATCTACACATATGTTAGACAGAGTACTCATTCACTTACCATAGCTCACAACGGTGAAATCTTTTGCACTAAGTACGTCAGAATAGTCGTCAAATGCCGAGTGGGCAGCATTCAAACCGTGGAAGGTTAGGACCTGTGATCATTAGACAGTGGTACTCATACACATACTACGTGTTGACCGTTCCCGACGCGCCTACAATTTATACGTCCATGACGACCTTGAAATACGGTACCTAAATAATAGGGGCACCATACTCGCTGCTTCCTCAACCATTTTGGAACAGAGTACCCGTTATTGATACACCATTCCAGACTTGGATGTCGCCTTTCGTCGTAAGTAACAGCATTCGAATTCATTTTTTTTATTTTGTAATAAATAACTACTGACATAAGTTAGCTATTACATGTTTCGTGGTGGCGTGAATCGCGAGTGCGCATCACGTGACTTGCATACACGTGTCGACTGAGCCAACGCTTTTCTTGACGCTATGTCCAAATGCCGCTGCAATCGAGCGATATCAGGGCACTCAGAGCGCAGTTTGGCGATGTGTGACTCGGAAGCGACTTTAAATTTATTTTTTGAGATGTCCTTAAGCATATGTATAGCGCAGCAATCCTCAGTCCTATACAGCAGTGACTTGCATTCATTTGATCCCATAAGATCACCGAGAGTCACGCTGGTGATAGCTGCAGTATATGACAACGACTGCATGAACCTTTTTTGCAGGGCATCCAAATTTTTAATATTTTTGTCCGTGGCGAGCCCTTTTGATTCTACCCTAATATTAAACAACATGCAGATAACTTACTTGAAATACGCCTGCTCGCCGCGTTTGAAATACATTGCAGAATTTCATATACGGCGTTGCTGAAAATGTGTTTTCTGTATCTGCATGACAACCAATTTTTTTGAACTCACGTTATAGTTCTTACACCACTAATACGCCAAATTATATTCTCCATCCGTTGAAGCATTGCACGAATGTTCTTGGCTCTTTCGTCAAAAAACGTTTTCACTTTACTGAAATGTGCCTCCCCAATTTGTAACAACTAAATAATAATATATAAGAAGTAGAGCGTTTACCGACCTGTTCGTTTATATGTTTTACCAAACGTGTTTTTACATGACGGACTCCTGGGAACAGCTTAACGTCAGATGAATGCTTTGCATATCGACTGCAGAAGATACATAGCGGGTCGTTGGGTTCTTCGCAAAGAACTGCAAAACGTAGGTTAAATCATTCTATATTTATATTAACTCACCCTTTCCAGATCTTGCAACCATCTTAGGCACTCGAGAAGGATGCTTTCCAAACGAAGGCATTCCAATAAATAGTGCCAATATCACGAGCAAGGGTGCCCACAAAGTATTCATCGTTTGACGCCTCTGAATCACTGTTAGGATGCCAAACGGGCACTATAGAATGTTTTTGTCGAGATGTTTGCATCTTTAGAGAAGTAAACCACACCACTTGAAATTAAGCACAAATTGGCACGACCTTGTAAGGGGCCGTTAGCGCCCTGGGTAGGCGACTAATGCCGCCTTGCGATGATGTAAAACACACAATAAACAAACGCAAAGCAGTTGTAGAGTCAATACACACCTAAAATCTCAACTTAAAACCAGGCACTATTACGCCACAATACACCCTAGACATTGACGCACGGTGTCTGCGCCAGGAGATGTGCAGTGAATATAACTTCTTCCCAAACGAATAAAGCTAATATTTATATTAACAGTGAGTTATTTAATTCTCTGTAGGGCAGCGAAGAAAATTCTAGGACCGAAATGAGTCGAAGCGCCCAAAACGATCGCGCTACCTCCGGGTACCCGGACTGGTACCAGCGATTCTACGTACATATATGCGATGCGGAATGTCTATTTAGCGGTGCTGTATGTATGTTGTTGTTCGCCGCAGTTGCTGTAGGTAGGTTGTAGCAGATGCGTTTTTCTCGGGGCAGGTGCTGGAGAAACATACACATCTCAATGTGTGCCGCAGCGAATGCAACCGAAGACCGTACAATGCCATACAATAGCCCATAGAACCGTGCTGTAGGACGGTAGTCAGCTGCACGGGGCTGGTTGGCACCAAGAGCTTTTCCAGCGGCTGCCCCCTACGATTGTATATATCGATTTTTCATCTGCTCTTGTTTTTGGCGAAATACATACAAAATCGTATCACATCAATTCATAATCACGCAGTTTGCATGAAATACTTATGCGACAACTTCAACTACAAGACAGCGGACATTATTAGAGACCTCGACAGGGAGATACGGCGCGGGCTTCGAGATTTCGGCAGAGCTATTATGAAAACTCACTATGGTTCTTTGCTAATACGTCGTCTCAGGATGGGAGTATCGAAATACACTAAAGCAGCTGCTCGATACCTACCATCTCTCGCACCAGTGTTCAAGGATATCGCTGCGTACAACACATTGGTTACGTGGGAATATGCGACAGCCGTGATAACGATCCTTCTCTCGTATAAATGCGCCATGGAAGTCGTACGTAGGATCGTTCAGTATCTACGAGAAAGGGAAATGCTCTACTATTGCGTAAACATGCGCCCGGTAGCCGAGCTGAACCCCGAGCCATACACCAGAACGATGATCGAAAGACTTCATAGGTCACCTGAATACCTCAGGCTAAAACAACAGCGAATGCACCAAGGAAACGAAGCATGGAATTGGCAGACTAGGCAAAGAATGGGCGAACGCATGCCGTCGGACGACATGTCAGACGAAGAGGGTCATTAAATAACCTCAATATGAAGTTTCAAGTCTAATGGACTACATATGCTGAAGTACTAAAAACTCTAATATATGAGTAAAATAACCATTTTAAAGTTACATGATGCCGTTAGTCGCGTCAACCACGCTTTGATGGTTATGCCGAAGGGTCGAAAATACTGACCACCTTGCAGTTTGAGTCATCGGCAAGTAGGTATAAAGCCATATCATGTTGTGACGCGCAGATGCCAAGTATAGATGATCTGAAACATTGAAACGGGTTTGAAATGTAACTCACCTTCCCATAATTTTGGAGATGTCTATCTCCTGCGATCCCGTGTCGACGCAGTACACCAATACTTCATTCGAGGTGCGTCGACCTGTCAAAGTTGCATTACACCTCGCTAACACATACCTGATTGAATAACTGAGTACGTTGCTACGTATCGTGTGTTGCACATAAAGTTGGAGACTGTGCGGATGACCCCACGGTTCATGTGGCCGACACACGCCAGCTGAAATTGCTTGAAAATTTAGAATATTATTGTACTATACCTCGCGCATCATCCTTAGATCGGTTATCTTCGTGCTTCCGTCCTTCCCACTTGACGTCAAGTAACGTCCATACCTTTCACAATTTACAGACAATACTGGAGCGCCGCCATGAGCGTCGGCCAGGGCGTGTAACACATCAAGGTTTCTGCCGTCCCACATCTAACCAATATTTTGGCTTATATGCAAAAAATACTGACCAATACTGATCCGTCTTCACCAGCAGTAAACAGGAGTCCTCCGGAGCGTAACACATCGCAGCTATTGATCGCACCGCCTTGGTGCTGCCGTCGAGTGTGCTTCGCTGTGAAACACGTGCGAGTGGCGATATCGTATAGACGTATAATCGAGTTGTCAGTCCCAACGTACAAGAAATCACCGCAAGGGTGGAATTTCAAACAGCGGATTGGAAACGAGTCCGTTAGTCGTTCTGATTACATATTAATTCAACATTGCACGGCACTCACGTATTTCGCTCGTAGAGTTTACGAAACCGTTGGAGCTGTTAATATCGTGCAATATAATGTTCATCCCTACGCCCCCGGATGCGATTATGTTTCGCCGGGGGTGAAAGTCAATTGCTGTGACATCGTCCGTGTGACCATGTAATCTTGTAGTAACCTGCCAATTCGGCTTCCTGTTACATATTCAGATCTTGAGAATGGCCGCTATACCCACCTAGACATAGTGTCAGTGTTTGCCTCGACAGTTGGAATGACGTGGAGCGCCCCGCCTACACCAGCCGTTCCCAAGAGGCCGCCATCACTCGACTCTACTAAGCATCGACATGGCTAATTATAATATGTAGATTCTTAATGGGTGTCACATACCCTATAGGTTGGAAAATCACAGAAAGTTGCAAAACCAGCGAGTTTGAACAATGGGTCGGCAGGGATGTTGACAGCCTCTCCTTCAGTCAATATTTGGCGTAAGCGCATCTCAGTTCTGATAAAAGCTGTTTGTAACATCAAACATAACATACTTATGCGCCAGTTCTTCTGGGTCGCTCGAGTCCGCTCCACATACTGCACGTGAGGAGAGATATGCCGTGTTACGAAACAATTCAAATAAATGGTTTTTTCGTAACAAGGTATTAGGTTCCACCTTGAGTTGCTGCTTCAGGCTTGTAACAGCATCATCAAACCTAAGTGATAGATAACGTGCCAGCATCCTTTTGCGGAAAAGCAATGTTGATAGAACTGCAATTCCGTACACATGAACAAACTACTAACAGGCAAAAATGTAGATATACAACGCACTGTAAGATATTACGGTCATATCACCCAGGCAACGGCCCATTCTACCTCATTTGGCCATACTAATATGTTACCAGGAATGCACATCGCAATGGTAGATTGCTGACGAGTAGTTTCCTGGAATAAGTGCCAGTATACACAATATACGAATACACATCTAATGTAAATAACATAAATTTTACGATAATACGCTAACGATGCTGTGGCAAAGGGAAACTCCTTTATGAACTTACCCATCGTCTTGCAATTGCTGCAAGAGCGCTTCGTAGAATAGCAGTTTCTCGCTATCCATGACGAAGATATTGTTTATTGTTTCTTCAGATAAACATTTTCAGTTGATAAAACACAAGGTGAATAACCGTCCCTGGCGAGGCGGGGGACGCGGTGACCTTAGAGTGGTGGCATCCGTCGAACTACAGTACACCCCTTTGGCGTATCAATTCTAAAATTCGATCTCTCGCAAAGTCAGATTTGGATGGGTTCCTATGGCTCACAATGTGACGGCGCTAGTAACCGCCCTGTCGGAGAGCCGAAGATTCGGAAGCTTTTGCAGCGGCACATTTAGGCTTCTGCCTAACGGTAAGCTACTAATATCGCAACATGATGATTGTCTATTTGCTTTACCATACCCGCAAGAAGATGATACCGAGAAGCTGCTACTAAGTGAAGATTTCGCTAAAGGTAGGTCTCCTAAAAGTTCAGTTCATGAGTTGACGAATATGTAAACCGATACCCCTACATTCGATGGGTTTTTGATGGAACTATACTGCCTGGTGTCTTGGATTCATCCAACCATTTTACCATCCACCGTGATATCGCCAGTGTTATCATTTACACCGAAATGTCCTAATGTTTATTGGCGAAATAAACTGACGTATATCGTTATGTGATTTGTCCTGAAGTTTCAAACTTATTGACTATTGTTGATCTAACTGAGAATGTTGCAGGTGAAGGTAAAGATGTCGCAAGGGATTACTTCCAACGTATATCCGTGGCAGACCGCACAGCTGTCTGTTTGCTGGATGCAAAAGAAGACGACCTTTACACAGAATCAACTTGGGGGCCGAACTGTATATATGTAGCCGGTGGTATAGCCGCATACGCCGTTGATTCCTCAGGAGATACGCTGGCACTGGCGTTATGCAGTGGGTTGCTTACGTTCTATGGGATCACAAGTCGGGGACGGAGTATATCGCTTGAACGTGGGCAGGAGATAAAGGTTTGTGACAGATTCGTCATTATTATGTTATATTGCAGACTAATACGAAAAATGTAACCCAGATGTGTTTCGATTCTTCAGGCGAATACCTTGCCTGCGGTACTGTGGATGGAACTGTCGCTGTGTTTCATAAAGGTGCTCATCTCAAAGCGTTTCATCATCAGGAAGGACAGATCAGTGTGCTAAGGTTCTATCCTAAGAGCTTGCGACTGCTAGCGGGATCGCAGAACGGGGAGATCGTGATGTACTGCCTAAACAAGAAGGTACCCATTGCCACGTTCCAAGACCATCTAAGCTATGTACAAGACATAGCATTCTTGATATCGGAAGATGACACGCAAGCAGGGTTTGTATCTTGCGCCAGAGATTCATACATCTGTTTCTGGTCATTGGACTTGAAGAAAAAGGATGTCAAGGAAGCTACAAAATCGGGAAATCTATTGGTTAAAAAACCATTCAAAAGGATTACGCAATTTGAAAGCGTCCTAGCTGTTAGTGTCGTCAACCAAGGGTTACGACACAAAGGTACGGCGCCCTGGGCGTTATTCATTGCCACCGAATCTGGAACATTGAGTTTTATAGATCCGATCACGGAGAAAGTCATCATGCAACGAACGATAGTATATGGCCAAGGAGATGAGCTGAAACATGTTACAGTGTCAAAGAATTCAAATGAGATAGTAGTGCTCGGTGCGAGCGGTAGTCTCTGTTTTTATTCACTAGATTTGGAACTCAAACACCAGCTGCTAGGGAATATAGACGGGGCATACCAAATATTGTTTTTCCAAGGTACACATACAATAGATATCAGCGAGTTCTTGGAAAGAGAGTCCGATCGTTGTCTGGTTGGACAATCGTCCACATTGGTCGCACACTCCCAGACCAAAGCTACTGCAAAAAAGGTCGCTACACAACAAAGCTCCAAAACATCTAAGAAGGGTTCTACCAAACGAACAAGGAAAGATGACGACGCTATGGATGTGGATGGATCTGATGATGGCAATGTAAACGTTGCTCCATCGTCCTATTCAAATCCCGGCAGTCATGCTGAAGACACTAACCACTCCGCTGTATTCAACCACAAACGTGACTGGTTACATTCGATGGAATGGTTGAATCAACAGATAACAAAGGGGATCCCTGTGATATTTATACTATGTGGTGACGACGTCATTCGGATGCTTGCTCTAGATGGCTGGGGGAGTTGTATATCCTTAGGTCTTGCCAACGAAAAGCATCGACACGAGGATACAGTACTCTCTATAGCTTACTCACATACGGGAAATATACTTGCTTCTGGTGGAAAGGATGAACAGGTGTTAATATGGGACCTGAAAACTCTAACTGTGGTGACAAAGGTAATACTGGATGGCCTTAACGTCGCCTGCATTGCGTTTCCTGGGGGCATAAGCGCGGCCAGTGCACATTTCCGGATGTTGGCCACTGGTAATAATGTATTGAAGTCTTTCGATATACCCACTACGTGGGTTGCTTCAACTAAGACATTATCAGCGGCAGCTGCATATAAACCTCAAACTATTACAAATGGAACGGCGACCGCTGTTAGACACAAGAAACCCATAAATGCCATCGCATTCTCACCGAATAAAAAGGTATGTGAACATTGATTGTTGATGACTTTATACGTAGATTATCGCCTCTGCCGGTAGTGACAAGATCATTGTGATATACGCAGCAGAAAACCTCATCGTGAAGGGCGAATGCATTGGTCACAGAAGGTCTGTGGTATCTGTTGCATTCACTAGTGTCAACAAGACCGTTGTCAGCGCATCGGTCGACATGACTATTAAGATTTGGAACCTTAACGACTTCAGTTGTGTGAAGACTTTGCAGGTATCTGGTCTACCTACTTTACGATTAATACTCTGTAGGGACACACGAAGGCGGTAATGAGAGTGGTGGTGTTACACAACGATCTGCAACTACTATCTGTTGGTATGGATGGTCTGGTAAAACTTTGGAATATCAAAACCTCCGACTGTATTTTCACCGCAGATAACCATTCAGATAAGGTGGGTATCATTTCACATTTTATTATCATATTTTAACAGGTGTGGAACGCCGAACTGTTCGGACAGAATCTATTGACGGTTTCTGGCAATGGAGTTCTTATATGGTGGGATGACATTTCCGCTGAACTTCAGGCGAAGAAGATGCTGGAGGAACGTGATGAGGAACTGAAACAAACACAGATGGAGAGCCTGGATGCTGATGGTAGGCACAGTGAAGCTTTGTGTCTTTCTATGGAGCTGCGAAAACCGAGCATGGCCAGCAAGATTTTGAATCGCCGTTGTGCCACACAGCTCTTCCGTGTTGAGAAGGAGGGTATGATACGGGATGACATGTTCAAGTCCTGGGTGTCACACATGAAAAAGCTACCAGATATTAAAACGAAGTTAACAATTGCCTTGGATTTCGTGCAGCTGTGGATATCACGGGCCTCAACCAGCTGGATGGGAAACTGTCTGCTAGCCGAACTCATCGCACAATTTACTCCTGCCGAACTTTTCGTTGTTGAAGGTATGGCTAATAGAATTGACAGCATTCTTTCACACCAATCATCCCACCTAACACGCTTCTTAAACCTTTCTGAGAAATCGCATCTACTGGATGTTCTTCTGGGTTACAACAAGTTGGAAGGTACGAAGCCAACCGGTCAATCTCTGACATACGAAGTTTTGTACAAATAACTCGCTGTGACGCGGCTATAATATATTAAGGTTGAGTATCTGGTTTTTGTTCCGCCAGTTTTGTCATCATGGATTTTCGTAGGCACGCTCAATGCCTGCGTTCCTTTCTTGGTGACTGCCTTACGGACAACTAACATAATGCATCGGTACGATATACTGAAATTAACACGGGGCGCCTGGTCCTGCCAAGTTGCTTTAATCGTATCAACAGCTCTGGCTGCAGACCCTGTACTCTGACTTGCAACACTCTCGTGTTGAGATACTGTCAGGTTACGGCCTTGCGTGGTCTACACTCATCGGCATTCACTTCACGTATCATGATGCCTGGCGGTGATGCCGGCGCTCTACTAAGCTCAAAGATGTCTGATAATGCGATGGCCAGCTTGCTCCCAGTGCTGTTGAAGGATAGCGATGTCACACCTGTAGGTAGGTTGGTGGTTCTCCAAAGACGTTTACGACTGTGACCGTCCCATACGCATACGAGACCATCGGCACCACCAGTGGCAAAGGTCCCTAAGCGTGGGTGAAAGTCTATTGTGTTTACAGCGTAAGCTATGTCAGCTTCTGATGTTGTCTTGTTGCGATGGCACTTGAATGCGTACTGTTGCGATGCGTATTCGGGATATTTTGGGTGGTACTCCCAGGCAACTCTTCCTTCTATAGATCCCAATGCGTATCCTCGATTGTCTGGAAAGCACTTGATGGAGCGATATTGGTACTTGAGGACTCCGCTGCACGAGGTTATTGCCACAAAACGGATTAACATACTCTTTTGTTTCAGGTGTTGAAAATCCACTGAGTCCACGTGACAAGTCATAGACGTACACCTATGGATACATTGAAATGTGCAGTGTGGCTGTAGCATACCCTCTTCATGGAGTCGCCCACAACTAGGGTGTTGTGTAATAGGTCCATACAATAGACCTTCCCGTATATCTCAGCATCCGAGACCGGAGTCATACTGGAGCACCTCACATCAAAAGTGCGAAGACGGTTGTCCCAACCGCCGCTGACAACCAATCCTGAAGATTGTAAACATCAAGTGAAATGGCCAACTAACCTAGGGATTCAATGAAATTTACGCAACGTACGGGCCCATTGTGAGTACCTATAGTAGTTACTTCACCCGTCTCTACGTCAACAAGGTTTACATTGTTTTCCAGATCTCCGAAAACGATCTTCCGGTCGTCATCGATGAATAAGCAGTCAAGCACAGGACTTGTACCGGGGCAGCTCCTTAGCTGACGACCGCGGTTTGCAGTATCCACATCGTATATCCTTACAGTCTGCTCCACATGTTAATATTTAAGGGGGAAGGCTAACCTTGTCCCAAGAGGCAGCGGCAAGGATGTCGCGCGTTCTGCCGAACGTCACGCGAGATATAACCTCCTTAGGAGGATCTTCGACTGGTATTAACATTAGTACACCTTTTACATTTATAGAGGAAATTACAAGTATCGTTTATAGATGTGTTGGCACACCTGACCCAGAACCTCACTCGCGGAATCCAGGACCTAAAGAATGTCATTCACAACTCTACCATGCTTACCGATTCTGTTTCCACATGCGTGTAGAACACCTTATACTGGACATCAAGACAACGGGAAACCGCGTCGAATGTCCAAGCTCTAGACGCTGTCGCCGGATGATGCTTAACAATAACAATAGCATCTAGGCGAGACAGCTGCAGTACTCCCGCCAATATGTGCTTACGAAGCTTCCGTACGCTGCTGGGTAACCCAACCTGTTTCTCTACAATGATGCCTGAGTCGTGCAATTCATTTTCAAGAAACAGTGCGCCGTTAATGAGCAAAGGGTCTTGTAGACAAATCAATACTTGGGGGAAGAGTCGACACCCCAATTGCAATCCATCCATGCCGCTCCGACCTAGTAATAATGATTCCTCTTTTTGAAAGTATGCAACAAGTGAATCAAGGTAAACCTCAAAACCAAAAGAGTTTCTTTTGGGTGGACCGTACACAGTGCCCCGGCCTTGTTGCACAATGGGATTTATGCAACCCCCACCAATTACCGCATTAAATTCTTTCTTTCCAATCCTACAATTCACACTAAAACTGAACATGGAAAACCTCTCTCGATGCCAACTCGGGAAACCAGCCGGCACGAAGCGGTAGGAACAGCCTTTTACTGTCAAGAAGGTTTCCATATAATATAATTTTGCTGCTAGCGCGCAGAATTTCTCTGTATAACGTCCAACCTCCTTTAGCAGGCGAGCTACATTAGCCAAAAATTCATTTAACGAAGATGTGCCTGAAATCAATATCTCAGCAAATTGCAGGACGCAATTCAATAGTGCGTCGGACGATAGTCCGGGCACTGATACTTGGCGCAAATATTCCGACACGCTTTGTTTCAGCACGTTCGGACGTTTGGCGTTTTCAAGTATCAATGACTCCAGACCCTCAGATAAACTTTCATTGACACCTATGCTATCCTCTAATACGCAACGAACTAAATGGGCATATGTCCATTCCACAGTAACAATGCTCTTTCGGAACCTGAGAAGTGGGCGAACAGCAATGCGAACCAGTTCTGTGCAGAAAAAAGCGTCCAATGCATCTATGGCGGACGCTACTTCCTGTAGTAGGATGCTATAATCCGCAACAACGTTGTATGCGCAACGCCAGGACTCGCGCGGATGGCGACCACTGACAGAATCCCTGACGTATGTTTTACCCCAAAACCATCTACGTATCACAATGATAAAATTCTGGGGAACGGCGGCTGTAAAAGCATTGAGAACGGACGATCGTACCTCACATATCCGTCCGTCTTTAAGCAATAATTTATATCCTCTAGCGTTAGGCACATCATTCACGCCGTCCTCCAGTGCACGCATGAACAGAGGTACTTTGTATCGTATAGCTCCTCGTCGATGAAACTCCTGGCAAAACTTATTAACCAGTTCAACGTTTACGTAGCTGCTCGATCCTGAATTTTCCTCTAGCCGGTCCGTGTAACACGATGCGGATTCTCTGGAAAACCTACCTCCAAATAGAGAACGTAGCAGCTCATTAGCTTCCATGGAGTTGGGGTACTGATTTACCACTTGGTACAGTGCAGAAGTGTCCAGCTTGGAAAATACAAAAATCTCGCTCTGCAGAAGTTGAGATGCTGAAGGGCGCTTAGATGGATCAACGCATAGCATCGATTCCAGTATCTTGAGGATACGATTGTCCATTCTAGATTGAAACTCTGGCGGCCACTTCTTTTTAGGTGTGGCAAAAGATGACAATACCTCAGAACGTTCCATGATGGTTTTGAACGGCGGCGAAAGCATTTCGAAAAACACAACACCTGCAGCATATATATCCACCTTCTGATCGTACGATTCGCCTTTTTCTTGCTCTGGTGACATGTAGAACAACGTTCCGACCATTCCAGTTGGATTAGATGGTTGCGACTTTGAGGACGTGCCACTCCTGAGTTTTGCCGTAAGTCCAAAGTCTCCTAGCTTAACGGATAGCTCGCCATCCTCTGATTTCAAGAAGATGTTCGAGGGTTTTACGTCGCGGTGAATGATGCCTTTCTCATGTATGTAACTTAGTGCCTCAAGTATCTGTCTAAATAACTCGATTGCCAGCCGTGGTTGAGAAACTAGTCGACTTTCCATGATAGCATCACATAGGTTGTCATCAGCACAATATTCCATCAATATGTAAAGGTACTTCACTGGTCGTTCTTTGCGCCTGCGTGTGGAGCGACGGTGGCCATCAGCCGAAGCTAGGTCATCCGAAAATTTGACTTTTCGATGAGAGTGTTGTACTCTAAATCCATCCGCAATGGTTTTCGACGCGTTAGGGCTATCAACCTCCAAATCCCGTGGTGACTGGCCAGTAAAACTCAGATGTACACTGCCTCCGGATTGTTTCGTTTGGACTACGACTTGCTTCGCCAAAATTTCATCATAGGGGTCCTCAGTCCACGCGTCGTAATACCGAACAATGTTTCGGTGTTGTAAACTTGCCAGAACGGCCGCCTCCTCGTAAAGCAGTGTGTTGTGATTCTTATACATTGGTATTTGCTTCAATGCATATACAATTCCATTGCGGCGAACCTTCGTAACGCAACCAAATGACCCTGAACCCAAGATCTTCTGGTGTTTGAATTCCCGGTAGTAACGAGAGTGTTCCGCCAACATTTTATTCACTGTAACTGAGCTTGCATGTGCGGCCATACACACTTCAAACGGATTATACCGTTCATGCGGCCATCGGTTTCCGGAGTTGTCGTCAGAAGTGCCATCGGAATCGAATTCGTCATCTGATGAGGAAGACTCTGTATCTTCTCCAGTCACATGGTTCCTGTGAACCGTAGAAGAACCATCGTTGCTCCACCAGACACTCGAACCAGGGTTACGTTGAATGACCGACTGTTGAAGGAAGCTGTGGAATCTTGCAACAACGTCGTAGAAGACCTGTTGTTCGTTGGATTGTCCTTCCTCTGCAGAAATTGGTTCAAACAGTTTCTTTCGTACTGATGCGCAGAATCGTTTCCTTGCATTGGAAACGCTGGAAAGTTCAAGCTGGATTTTCTTTTCCGGGAAAGTACCTGGAATATCAACACCTATGCATACAACGGTTTCGCGTCTACGGCTGACACCATAGATACACCTTGGCAACTTAATAGTTATCTTCACACGGCATACCTTCAACTTGTCTTCACCATTGGTGGATTCTTCAAACTTAATGAATGAAGATGATGCGTTGGAATCCGCATCAAAACTCCTCGGTAGGAATCCATTGTCCAAAATATATATAGACAAATTTTCGAGCTCTATACATCGTTCTATGTCATTTTTGACAAGATCGGAAAGTGACTTCTGTACCGCTGTTTCCATTTTTTATACGAACAAATATATATGAGTTTTAGCAATGTCAACACCCTTGTAAATCGGGCGGCGGCTAAGAGCGCGTTCCATGTATCGAAATAACTTAAGTCGCAAAATTTAACGACAAAAAATTTTTTCTGGATGGAATGTGTAAGGTAATATATTATGGGTATAGGGTGACGGGTGGAAACACTCTATTTCTAATCAGGATTTGATGGGGTGCTATGGCTAGTTAAAATTTTTAGGAAAATAGCTAGCTACCTGTGAGCTCTGTGACTGTGCCTTCCAGCCTTCGCGAAGCTCTCCCTGCCTCAAATTCTCGCCCACAGTACTATAGCACGAATACTTTACTGTAAATGGGTCCAAAAAAACACATTTTGATAGGTGTAACAGCTAGCGTTTCTGTGATAAAAATACCGGGAGTTATAGGGCATATTAGAAGCTGTGCTAAGGCAAACAACGACATTGTTGAGGTAATACTGGGATTGTGAACGGCTCATGCAGATTCCAGATACGTATAGTGGCTACAAGAAAGGCTGTCGAGCTGTTCAGCTCTTCTTTGACCTCTGAAAACGTAGAAGTACTCACCGACGAGGATGTTGTTGCGCCGTACTCGCGAGGGGACCCAATACTTCATATAGAGGTATGTCTTTGCGCTCAAACAATAATACGCATAAATTTCACATATATATTGCTATTCGTTCTAGTTAGGGTGTGTGGTCAAAAATTGTGTGCGACTAAATCCACACCCTAGAGCCGTAACACCCTCTGGGACCATAGCCTTACGGTTTTTTGGGTTTAGCCTTTTTTTATGTAAACCTTCCATTTAATATAAGGTATATGACCACTTTGTAGCTAAGACGCTGGGCTGATATTTTTGTCATCTGCCCCCTGGACTGTAATACCCTAGGGAAAATCGCTCACGGATTGTGCGACAATTTGCTTGTAAGCAATTTTTATAAAAAGTCAATCAAGTATTGCAGACCGACGTTGCGCGCTGCTGGGATTTCAAGAAACCGATATGGGCTTACCCCTGTATGAACCCTCTTATGTATGAACATCCACTAACGGGCGAACAAATTGCTAAGATAGAGTCATTCGGGGTTAAGGTAGGTTTTCAGCCGTTAGGATAATTAAAAATGTCCCAATAGGTTATACCTCCTGTTGTAAAATTAGTCATTTGCGGTGATTACGGTCGTGGAGGGCTACCGCCTCCACAAGAAATCGGAGAAGAAATATACAAGAAACTATTCAAATTATAAAAAAATGGGCACTGGTCAGAGTTCAATGAACGATAAACTTCGTGAAACCAGACAAGAAATCAATCGCGCCGTTAGGGAATTAGAACGGAATCGCTTGCGATACGAAAGGGAGGAGAAATCACTGATGCAAAAACTAAGATCGGAAGCGAGGTCTGGTCGTATGCAAAACCTAAGAGTCATAGCGAAGGATCTTGTACGAGCACGGAGAATGGGAGTGCAGTATTGTAATATGAAATCACAGATGTCGGCAATAATGGGCCATCTCCAAACTGCTCACAGTACAAACATGATGTCCAATAGTTTAAAGAATGTAAACAAGATCATATCAGGCGTCAGCCAAAATCACAATGTGGCAGAATTTCAAAGACTTATGTACAATTTAGGTCGGGAAAGTGAGGTCATGAACCTGAAACTTGATGTCATGTCGGAGTCACTGGACAACGGTCTAGAAGGTGGGTAGCATAACTAATGCACTATATACTGTCAAATACACTTCACATATCTAATGTAATATCAGATGTAGAAAGTGCAGAAGAAGAGGACTTGATTATAACACAAGTCCTTGAGGAGCTGGGAATAGATGGATCGGCAGCCATGCCGTCACTTGGGTTTCACCTGTTGAAAAAACAGAATACGCAAGCAGTGTCGCATCCAGAAGCGGTGTGTGAGCTTAATAACGGACATTACGGTTCGGGCATGTCACCGGCAGAGCGAGAGGCTTCAGATATAGCAAAACGTATCAGGGACTTGAGAGGGGAGGAGTAACTATGACAACATGATGACCTATTTTATAAGAATTATATTGGCACGATTGTATGGATTGTGACCGAAGTGGATTCTGCAAGGTGCGCGTGCGACCCTGGTAACTCATACCCTAATAGGGGGGTATCAGATTCAGTCTTTTAATTTGACTTCATCATAAGAACTTATTATATACAGTATAATAGACGTGAAACCTACGTGTTCCTATTTAAACAGTGGGAGACAATACTATTGCAACGCTCTACACACCCTTCCAAAAATAAAGGATGCCACTCTTACGCGAATCTCTCAGCTTCTGCAAATGCGGCAAAAGTGCTGACAATCATGTCATAGGCTCTGTTAAGCGGTTAAGTAACTCACTAAGTCAATCCGGCTCTGGTGTGCCCCGTGGTTGTAACTATTCGACAGTACTGACACGTGAGAAAATTGACAACATCTCAGAATGCAAGACGACCAAAGAGCAACCCTCTGTGCAAGACAACTTCGAATGTTCTGTTCAACAACGATATGTACCAGTATTCGGTTGCGATGCCCGTTCGTTGGGGCTCCCAAACCCACAGCTTTCAACGCGGCGCAACAGCGCGTCTATGCCATTTAGTCTCTCTAATGTAGCAAGGATACATACAATAAATACTTCGAAAATTCTACCTTCGTTATCGAAGATACCGTACATTGGTGATATCCCAAACGGAAAATGTGGACAGACATTTACCACTCAAGCGACCGCGTCAATGAAGGATGTAGATAACAGTTGCATGAACTTGCTGTGCTCTAAAGTGGAGGAACTATTGGCTTCGAAGCTACAGCAAGTAGCGGAGCTCCGTACAACTTTGGGCAAGGTAAAAATTGGTGAGATTACCGTTGGCCAAGTACTTGGCGGTATGAGAGATATGATAGGAATGAACTGCGAGACTTCACAGCTTGACGCAAACACAGGCATTACATATCGTGGTTTGAGCATCCCTCAGCTATTGGAAAAACTTCCTGGAGCTACTCTAGACAGCAAGTGCCCCTACACGGAATCGGTGCTCTGGTTATTGCTTACTGGCGAGGTACCAACTGCAAAGGAAGCTGAGCTACTGTCAAAAGAGTTGGCCACGCGATCCAGTGTACCTCAATATGTATATAACGTGCTGGACAAACTACCCACCCACACCCACCCTATGACACAGTACGTTGTAGCAATTGCAGCACTGCAAACAGAATCTATATTCCGGAAGGCCTACAACGAAAAAAAATACAAAAGAGATACGGCTTGGAAGCTTGTTCTGGAAGATGCTTTGAATCTTATTGCAAAAAATCCACTCATAGTTGGCTACATATACAGGCGAACATTCGTTGACAAAATGATCACAGATGGAAAGGGAATGGTGTATGACCCGCAACAAGATTACGCTGCTAACGTAGCGAGAATGGTTGGAATTGATACGCCTGAATTCCATGACATGATGAGGCTGTATATTGCTGTGCATGCTGATCACGAAGGAGGCAACGTGTCTGCACACTCGGCACAATTAATTGGTTCAGCATTGTCCGACCCGTACTTCTGCTTCGCTGGTGCTTTGGCCGGTTTGTCTGGACCTCTACATGGGCTTGCAAATCAGGAATGTCTTTCGTGGCTCAAAAAGCTTGTGGCCGAACTGGATGGTCAGGAGATCAATGTAGGCACTGTGACAAAGTTTGCCCAGGACACTCTGAAGAAAGGCTATGTAATTCCGGGATACGGCCACGCAGTGCTGAGGGTAGAAGATCCGCGTCATACTGCATTTGTCGAGTTCGCGCACAAGAAGTTCCCCGACGACCCTCTAGTCAAGGTCCTTGATGTGTGTCTTCAGGCTATCCCATCAGTCCTTGCGGCTACAGGAAAAGTTAAGAACCCTCACCCGAATGTAGATTGTTCGACTGGCGTGCTGTTGTCGCATTTCGGACTAACCCAGCCGGATATGTACACCGTCTTCTTCGGCATTTCGAGAGCCGTGGGAATAATGGCGCAACTGGTATGGGCTAGAGCCCTCAGAATGCCGATAGAACGTCCAAAGTCTCATACAGTTGACGAGTTACTCGAAATGTGCAAGTAATTCAGTAGTAGACACCTTTAAATGTAATGTGTAAACTGACATTGTGATGCTGTGTGGTCCAATAGCATCTGTGGTTCGTGATATTTTTTGCTCGAACGCCACAAATTATAAAAGATCATATGGCTAAATGGTTGTGGTTGCTCTGTTCGGCCTTTCTGTCGCTCATAACGGTGGAGGCGGCGCGTGGCAGAGGAGCCCAGCTGGCCTTTGCCAACGCGAATCATACTGAAAAGGTAAAGATATATACTTTAAACAATCAATATTTCGTGACTAAATGATGTCTAGGTGCTTTTTCATGCGGATAAGGAGGAACAGAAAGATGGAAGGTTGCGTAAGGTGCTCCATGCCACGAATTCCAAGACGTTGTCGCCAGGTATGCTTTGTTTAACATCTCAAACGACATTTCTGCAGTCAGCGATACTGTCTACTGTGAATCGGTGACAGAAAGGGTACGCTTTCCAACAAGGAATGTACGAATAGGAAACGTAACCATTGGAGGTAACAATCCTATTGCTCTTCAAACCATGACATCATGTGATACTTGCGATACCGATGCAACTGTGGAACAGGTATGCTACTGGTCTATATTTGCCATAGTTTGCAGATTATTAGGTGTCAGCAGTATGGCGCTGCCATAGTACGTCTTGCCGTTCAGTCTCCCAGGGAAGTGAGAGCGTCCGTAGTGGCTAAGGAGAAATTGTTAGCTAAAGGGTGCAATATTCCTTTGGTTGCAGACATCCACTACAGTCCTAAGGTAAGTTTTCGTAATGGCAAATGGCCGTGTTACAAATGCTGCAGGTGGCACTAATGGCTGCGGAAATTTTCGACAAGGTCAGAGTGAATCCGGGAAATTACGTAGATGGAAGAAAGGATTGGGAAGAAAAGGTTTATAACACAGAGGAAGAATTCAGAGAAGGGACTAAACGAATAGAAGAACGGTTCACACCACTTGTTGAGAAATGCAAGGAACTTAAACGCGCTATTCGCATTGGTACAAACCACGGTTCATTGTCCTCACGTATCATGAGCTACTACGGTGATTCTCCCAAGGGTATGGTGATGTCTGCCATAGAATTTGCGGAAATCTGTGTGAAGAATGACTTTCATGATATAGTGTTTTCGATGAAATCATCAAATTCATTCGTCATGGTAAATGCATATCGCCTCCTGGTTAATGAGATGTACAAGCGTGGGTGGAATTATCCCATACACTTGGGAGTTACGGAAGCTGGATCAGGTAAGCGCATATGTGTCGATACTAACAAAATTCTCACTGATAATTTTTTATTTATTAATAAACGTCAATCAATTGTTTTACAGTCGACGACGGGCGTATAAAGAGCTGTATTGGAATTGGAGCAATGTTGATTGATGGAATTGGAGACACCATCAGATTGTCATTGACAGAAGACCCTTGGTTAGAGCTTCCCCCAGGACGTCAATTATTACGGTTCATTGAAGGCTTAAACAAGGACGTTAAACCAGAGGTACATAAACCTACCAAGAGAGAGGACTTTCGGGATTTTAACAACATAATGCGCAGGGAATTGGATTTCGGCGTTTCACCTTTGAGCTTTGATGATTCAAGGCAATCTATATTGAACCGTGATGGGTCTGTTGGTTGCTTCGTTAGTCAAGAAGATCTTGCTGATCCCCTTATGCTCTATAAGGCACTAAATGTTGTTATGAAAGATGGTTTGCCTCAACGCGGATTGAAATCCGTGGATTTCATTTATGTGGAGAACACGCCGCTATTCCACGATTCAAATGGTCAAAGGGTATTGAAGGAACTTATTGAAGGTGGCTTCCAAGTGCTAGCACCTGTGGATCAGTTGCAAGAGCAACCAATAAAATTTGCAGTTGGTGTTGTTGATTTGGATAATTTGGAGGAATTCCAAAAGTCTCAATCATCGCCCAATTATCCGAACGCTGAAATACGTGTAGACTTTACTGATAAAATTGCTAATCTTGCTCTCAGGATAACCGGGCACGAGTCTGATGTTGCCATCGGCAAGTTGTGCAGCATAGAACGAGGGATTTCGAGTAAAGCTCTCGGGGCAGGCGTCCCTCGCTTTATCATTCTTGATATAGACCCTAAGCTGAATCATGTGGAGACAGTGCGACGTGTGTTCGGTATCCTGGTGCGGAACGGATCAAAGCTTCCTGTTGTACATAAAGTGGACGCCAGCGACTGCTTCGACCACGAGGTAAGTCTAATGCCTTTACAATGCCATGTTTTGTGATCACTATAATACGTTTGTGGGCTGTTTAGGTCTGTAGTTCTAGTGATTCGCTTCTTTTGATTCAACTAGTCATTGAGGTTATAACATTCTTCCCAGGAGGTGGTTGTCAACGTATCTACAACCTTGTCAACGCATCTTATCGACAAATTGGGTGAAGGACTAATCATTAAATCTCGTTTGCCTCTTTCTGAGAGCAATGACATTGCTTTGAGCATTCTACAGGTAATAATTTTGTTTTTCGGGGTCATGAATTTTTAGGCCTCCAGGATGAGGAGTTTCAAAACGGAGTTCATCTCATGCCCGTCCTGTGGCCGTACACTATTCGACATACAGGTGGGTCTGCCATATTATTTACGGTAATGGAAGTTCCAGAAAACAACGGAAACAATTAAGAAACGAGTGGGGCATCTCCCTGGAGTCAGTATTGCTATCATGGGTTGTATCGTGAATGGAATCGGTGAAATGGCTGACGCTGACTTTGGATATGTTGGCGGTGCTCCTACAAAGGTAGTTTGTTTTCAATCTTCGTATGTATGTTTGATTAGGTTGATTTGTATGTGAAGAAGAAACTGGTGGAAAGAAATGTACCACATGATCAAGCTTGCGACCGTCTTATCGAGCTGATTAAGCAGCATGGGAAATGGGTTGACCCATAATGACTAAAATGTCTTCTAATATGCTATTCGTGTGATATAGTTAATATAGCAATTAGTCTGATTCATATATGCATCTTCCGTTTAGGGAACTAAATGGCTGGACTTTCTGCCGATTAAATTGTCGCAGTAAACTAATAAATAATTCCTATGATCACAAAATCAAGCCACGATAATGTTTAGCGATTTACAGTTTAGATGTATGTATATTATATCAAATACGATTAGACACAACACTTCCATGGCCTGATGGCTAAGCGTGGGTTGCTGGGTCGCCAACATAACAATACGAACAGACTGCATTATAGGAGCTGGGTATTTGTAAAGCTTTAGTGATGACAAAAGGTACCATTATCAATTAAAATTATAGTGATTGACGAATCATATATGCCAGGTATATAGGTCCTCTGTTCGGACGCTTAGTCATCACCCGGTATTGGTTAGTATATTGCCAAAAAGCACATTTTGCGTGTTTACGGATGGAACACCCATGAGGTAAATACACCGACAGAGAAGAAGAGGCCAAAAACAGTGGCAGCGGCCTTAGGTATGCTCTTATGTGCCTTGACCCAAAAGTGGGACCCATCGCAGAACGGTCGTTTAGTTGAATATTTGCATCCACATAGAACCTTGGTCCCACTGTGGCGTGGAATATACATAACCGGTTTGAAATCTGCATCTGTTGAGTCATTTGCAGTGACTACCTACTTGAGCCTTTGTGGGAGCCATCGCACCATGGTTGTGTCTGTGATCGTCCACATGAGCACCACCAGTGAACCTTCAATCGTTTATATGTCCTAGTATTGTCTTTCTTACCTGATCGCGCTTGACTTTCACCAGATAGGGATCGGCGACCTTTGATTCCGGTACTGGGTCATGTGGCCACCAATTGCTCCACACCATCTTGATGGTTAATTACTGCGATTTAAATGCATATATGCGTAGAAATCCTTTCTGCTCAGCTTTCGGAGGTATCGTATTGGAGTAGTAGGCCGTGTCGGTTGAGGGGGGCTAATCAAGTGTCATTATAGATTCCTAACCGCCATAATCACGTTTACAGAGCCATAATTGCACATATCGTTTTGGGTCATCAAACCCGTTATGACGTGATGGTTGGCAGTATACGTATGTGGCAGCGCGCCATCTGCACACCGTGTCCCCCAAATAACGGCTATATGTATTAAATTACAGTGATTATGTCTCAGAAGGACATTTTAGAGTTGCGATTTTGTATTAGTTCCTTGCCTTTGCAGCAACAACACTATACAATAGTCTACGTATGCTCAAGTTCCTGTACGGTTTCCAACTCAGGGTTGAAGGTTGGACACTGTTTCAGTGCATCATATATGGCCCTTCTTGTGACGTTCTTAAGCTCCTCTACTGTTTTGCCCTGCGCCGTGTTACATGTCAATGATGAGCATTACCTTGGGGTCGATTGGCTTCCCTATGTTAATGAAAGCATGGCCATGGCCGATAAAGAAGCTACTCGCTAAGGGCCACAAACTAGCAGAGTTGCTTATTGCTGTGTGGTCATAAATTTGTGGTCAAATAGCGCTTACCGCATGGTAATATTTCAACTCCGTGTTCAACTGCGAACCTGAAAAAGCCATCTTTGAATTCTTGGAGGACACCGTCTCTGCTGCGTTTACCCTCTGGGTAAACTGCTAAATTGAACCCATTTTCGATTCCTAGTTTGCAATCCTGCCATACGTTGTCTACAGTTTTGCCCTTTCGACTAACCCTCATTACTTGTTTTACGCTGTCTCTAAATGCTATCTTCTTGTCATTAACCTTGTCATACGTGAACTTTATAGGCAGATGTCCAGACCACGTGAGCGCTATTTTTACGGTGGGTATATGGTGTATCGCATCCTTGTATGTGCATATGATCGGTGTCCTGATTCCAATAGAGGTGACTAGGAATGGATCGGCTGACGAGAGATGATTAAACATCAATATACGTGGTTTCTTCTTATAATCTTCTGGTAGATCATTCAATATGGTACATTTCCACGCGCAGTTAAGGACGATAGCCGCTGTGTTTCTGTCTAATAATAGTCGTCGTGTAACTCACATAGATAGAAGCAGTAGCTTAGCATCCGGTTGGTGACTTTGCAGACAATACGCTTGTCCCATAGGTACAGTGGTAGTGTGAGTATGACATATAGGATGATGAGGAAGGTGGTGGCGAAATAGAACGAGACTGTCAATAGGTAAAACTGCGCTGTCCGGAGGACTTTCGCAACACCGCTTACTAGGCCCATATTGGTTGCTAACTAGGTAAAAATTCCGCAATATGTGATTTCTCAGTCGCCTTCTTTTAATTCATTTGTGTCTGAGGTCGTTGTTGTTATGTGGTTGTGCAACGTCGCGACTCGGTTCGGGCAATCATCACACCGGTCTTTATTACGCACTCATATGCATTTCTCTATATCGAAATTGTAGCTATAATATTTACTAAACTTTTCTGTTGCAGTGACTCGATATACCTCTGATCTATGACTTCCGCAGGCGAAAATGCTTGCACATATGGGTTTTGGGAAGTCACCAGTTCTAGAATTCGATGTGGTTCAGCTTTACAAGAATAACACCATTTATTATCTTGGAATGCGTTTAGTTAATTTATTTCTACGACGTGATGTTATGGAATTTTCTTTCAATGAATGCGGCACACACAGTGTGCGTATTGTTCGAATACAACCGAACCTTTATATAGCAGATGGCCCTTTTATAGTCTAATACTTTCTTTATGAGTTTGTTAGAGTTAGCGAGATCAGCTATCTTTATGAGAATTCTATTTGCTTTCCGTTCGTTCACATTTACTAACCTCCAACAATGTCATCTGTCTAATTCACAGTCATAGCGCTTTGCAACTTTCGACGTCATTCAAATGCAACATCTACAAATGCATTCACCTTATGTGCCACTTTGAGGTAGACACTCTCGTGAGATTGCTGTTTCAAGTGCCCAATGCTCCGAAGGTAGAGTGGCGCTAATACTAACGTTTAGTCCATAGGCGCCATTACACATCTACATATTTTTACACTTGAATGTTGTTGCTCTAATTAGTCTTGCTTCATCCGCCACGTTGAGGGAACGTGGTTGTCATGGATTGGCATGGTTGCACATAAAAATTCTGCTGCGTGGGCCATATGCGCGTAATGGCACATCACTCTTCGATATGTTAATTTTGAAGTCGTAAATTTGGTGTGCGAGTATCATACCGATGGCATTCACTAGTCCCAGTGATGCAGACACGGCAACCGGTACGTCTCATAATTTTCGTTTTAATTTAGGGTGTAGATCTGCTTAATCTGGATGGTTCCGAGGATGCTTCTGTCACTCTTGTCTCAGCGGATGAGTTCGCATACTATGTGCCTAGTTTCGACATATCTACCGACGGAAATGTTGAAGACGAATCACCTATGGTACAGGGGAACGGTTCCGTTGACTATGTCAAGGAATTTGAAACACCTACAAGGTTAACATCACATCGCAATACTGATGAGACTGCTGTGTCTAACTCTAGGAATACCATTGATGGTGCTCCAGACGGTTATGAGCCTATCGAGCTCAATGACATCCACAGAATCAGGGAGCAACCTACGAGTCCGAATGTATCTGAGGATGCTAATGGTATGGCTATGCATTTCAAGTTGTTTGTCATTATATGCAGGGCTCCAGAGCCCATTGAAGACTCTTACACCGTACAATCGGTTTTTAGAGAGGCTGAAGCACGAATCATGTGTTGAGATAATTCGTGCTGTGAAGGGTCTTTTAGCGATGTCATTGGGTACTATGTCACGGTCTGATGCGGCGGCGGTGGTTCACAACTTCATAGATATATACACTCCAAGGTTGCTGTCTGCAGACCCTTTCGTCACATTGCCGGAAGATGAGCGTTCGTCGTCTGCCGAGTTTTTTGAGAAGTTCACTATGCAGAAGTTATATTCACAGTGAGTGTGAGATTGTGTATGTTGTGACATCGTTCAGGTGCTATAGCATGGACCCAGCTGACAGGATAGAAGACGAGCGTCTTTGGATCAAGATGCGTTGTCTTGACTGGATTGAGCCTAAACACTTGGAAGTATCTTCCACTGTAGACTGCGAGATTTTGACGGACGCACAGACACAGTTAAATAACCTTTCTAAATTCAAGGCGCCTAGAGACAAGATGGTGGGTATACTGAACACGTGTCGTCTTGTTGTCCATGCACTAGAGGGAACAGGGTATGTCAGTGTATCGCGTTTTTCATCTCATTATAGAAACTCGCCAGCGTCTGCCGACGAGACCTTGCCGTTGCTGATATATGTCACCATACGAGCAAACCCTCACGAGTTGTGGTCGTCTATTGAATTCATTCAACATTTTCGTCACCCTAGCCGTCATATTGCAGAAGAGGCTTACGCATTTACCTTGTTGGTCTCCGCTGTTGAGTATATCAAATCGATTGGTACAACAACGCACTTCAAGATGGACGTTGATGAGTTTAACAAGCGTTTCTCCGAAGCACAAGAACCATATTTATCCCGCCTTAAGAAGTTACAGGAGACACAAAAGTCTTCTCAAAATGGTTACTCCGCTGCACGTGGTGTTGTGCTTCGTGGCAATTCAGTACTAGCCCAACTGAAGCGTATTGCGCAGCCAGCTCTATTGTTCAAGAGCGTATTATTTAACAATTTGGCTGGATCGGAGATTAACGAGGCTATTGAAGCTCTGTCTACATTGGAGTCACAGCTGCAAGATGTGCCTTTAGTTTTTACACCAGACAAAGATTTCACAGCTGACTCGGCAGCACTACTCAGCGATTGGCGCGCTCTGACGGCTATACGTGAGACCGCACTTGAGACAGTGTCTAAGGTGAAGCTTATGCTTTCTAAGCTTTCGCAATAGCCGTTTCTGCGTCCTTGATAACGTGTTTCTGACTTGTGTAAAAACGTCATTACATACTAGGCCAAGTCGAACAAAACAATTTTGAACATTACTAGCTTGTTTACATGCTTTTTTACGTAAGTTAGTCTACGTTTACACACTTGAAAACGTTGAAGCCGTCCGCGGATGTGGAGATGATTACCCCTGGTATCTGCGGGTGGAACATGACTTCTGTTATTTCCGTTTGTCCCATGTGCAAAAACAATAGTTGATGTGGTATATGTTGACCTGACTCTTCTTTATGAGGGCTGGCGTCTTTCTCCACAGATATATCCCAGATGGACATAGAGTCGTCTCTGGAGCTTGCGATGCATACCGCAGAATCGGTTGGGTGCCATGCGACACTAGTAATCGGTTCTTTATGCCAAAATAGCTGTGCCATTGGTTTTTCGCAAAGGCGCACGTCAAATACTGTCACTATACCAGCTTCATCACCAGCGACCACCAAGTTAGTCTGGTTCGGATTCCAGGCAATACTGTTGACATCTGTTACATCGCTATCGCATATAAGCAGTGACATTACAGCCTTTTGCGGTGTGCGCAAGTCGTGTACTCTGCGTATTAATATTCCATATGTTTTGATTTCTTACCTGACATATCCGTCGCAACATGCTGTTATAAATACATCATCATCCCTGGGGCTCCACTGTATGTCCTCTATTGATTCTTCAGCTTTGAAAAATTGTTCCACTTCCCAGTCAGCCTCTATAGGGCTCCAGAGTACAACAGCGCCAGAGCAGTCGCCTGTTGCCAGGGTTCCTGTGGCAACGGGGCTCCATCCAAGTGCATAGCCTTCGGTCTCATGTGCACTACATGTGAATATAGGATCCACTTTTTCCATACGGTGGTATGTGATACAATCATCAAGATTTGTGCGTTGTTCATGGACATCCCAGACGTAAACTTTTCCAGAGTCTGCCATTGTCGAAACTAGCCTGTTTGATTGGGGGCAGCATCTGATCCGATTTACGATTCCTGGGTGTTTAATACTGCTACTTGTAAGATTGCAAGCGTCTTCATCATCACTCTCATCATCCGTAAAATCAAAACCTTCGTTATTTGAGAGATTAGACCACTTCATAAGGTGTACTGCGGCATCTTTGAGCGACTGATCGTCAGGTTGTGTGCCAGCAATGACATAACATTCGTGTGGGTATTCGACTCGACATGCTCCCAATTCATCTCCGTATATATCGAATGAAAGGCAGGGCCAGTCTACCGATATTGCGTGTAGCATGTCGTAACATCCTGGCGAGAGTTCCAATACCTCACCTGCGAATCATTGTTGCGCTTATTGCACACATCATTAGAATATGTACCTCAATTTGCCCCAAAGTGACCACAAGTCAGGTATGGCAAATGAGTAACACCGATGACCATATTTTAATAATTCTAGCTTTATTGATGGGCTGTGGTACCCATTAATCTACTTGGTCAGGTCATTTGCAAATATTTCATGAACACAGTCCACTAGTTTAGTTTACTAACCCTCCTGGAGCGGCCTGATGTCCTTCGTCCACACCAGCGTTTCATTTTGCTGGTTTGATTCACCTTCTTCCGTTTCTTCCTCATTCACTTCCTCCATCTATCGAAAACATGAATGTAGTGATAATTGTACGTACCTCCACGTCATCGGCCGATTCCATGGCTTCGGCTATGTCTTCTTCAACCATTATGAGAGTTATTCGTTCCACAAAAACTTTAATTTCAAATGTTTCTTTGTATGTGTAAATCGTTTGAAATTTTAAATGACCGATTACTAGCGGCTCACATAGCCTCGCGAACCACACCCACAGAGGTGTAGGTTGGGTTGGTATGATTAGGGTCAACACACATTTAATTCATATTATCTCCAGAGATGGAGCTCGATACGTTGCGCTGCTCTCTGCAGCGTAATAGTAACTTTCGCTTTTCGTACACGTTACACATGAAGTATAAGCAGTCGGAGTGGTACAGTATGTGTCCCGCACATTGCGAACCTACTAATATTTTGCAGTGGAAAAGGGTTTAGCTGATTTTGAACAACTTCAAGAAGCGCTAATATTTCACGATTTCACGGATGTGCCTTTACTACCAGACCTCCAGTTGTCTGGAGGCATTGACCCTCTTTCAGACATGTGTGACACTGAAGCGGCTTTAGAGCGATTCATCAGGGTAAGTGAGCTCTTTCATTCACTTTAAAACGTTGTTTAATGTTGGTTTTAGGAGGTTTTACGTCGTCCGGATATGCGATCGTGTATCGATGTTTTATCATTTTGTGATCTCCTTCGCCGTATGGAAAATCCTCCACCTCCAGTTACGGTATGGTTCCAGTTTTCGTGACATGACAAAACTGCAGTCAACCCTGTTAACTAGTACTGTGCCTTCCCATTTGTCTGTTTCCGACGTAATTTACGTGTCTGAGGAGAAGTTGATGATCGTATCATACGAGGTACATTGTCAATATTATTGATTTCAAAACTTGCAGGAGAAAACGGCACTGAGTAAAATAGGCCGCGTATGGTCTATTATCGAGCCTGAGACTCTAGGTGCTATACGTGTTTATAATATGGGTATGTGTTTTCGTTAGGTCTACGTTACGTGTGATCAGGGACCGACATCACAGAGGGTGCGACTCAGCTTTTAGAGAAGCGTTTTTACAGTAAGGTTCGTGGAATAGAGTACATACGTGAGAGCAAGACATTGGTTGTTGCGAAAGATGATGGATACGTGGAAATGTTCCGTATGGACGATGCAACCGATTTCGAATTTCTAGGAAGTGTAGCTCTGCATTCTGGTCCCATTTTGTCCATTACCGTCCTAGACGGTATGGGTTTTACTAGCGGTTATGATGACGGTATTCGTGCTTTTGACGTTGAGCTTAAGTCAACTGTCAGTGGCGGTAAGCTTACACGTCGTTTAAACGGCGAGAAATTGTTGACATCTACAGCAACACAATCTAGAAGTATGATGATAGGTATGTTTCCCGGCTGTTTGAGTTATCAATATGTTTAGGCACTTCTAGTAACCAGGTATACACTTATTACATGACGGACGACGTTCCCGTCTTTGTGGATTGCTGCGACATCCCCCCTCCTCTGACTATCCGAAAAATCCACTGTACTCCCACCAATGTATTTGTCGCCCATGGTAACTGCGTATCGTGTTTCTCATACACTCGTTACCCCGTGGAAACTCTCCGTGGTATGAAGGGATCTGCTGGTGCTTCTAATTGTACGGAGCGTGAGATGTCTGGTATAAACCTGAATCGTAAATCCGATTCTCCATCGAAATCGCAGCCTACTGGAAATACTGTGTGTTTCCCAATGTCCATACGATCGGCGCAATTTTCAATTCAAAATAGCGAGAGCAGTTTTTATACATACCAGGTCTACGATGTGGCATTGAGGTCGCGGGAGAAGCAGCTTCTTGTAGCTTACGACGTAGGCATCGTTTCATGTGAATAACAGTGTGCAGGAGGTTGTAGCGATTTGGTGTATTGTTAAGGGTGTGATGTTATATTCGTGGTACGCACATCGCCACGCGGTATGTTTCCATGCGTCTCTTCGCTATCTTTTTTTAGCAGGTACACATCGTACGTGTGTTGGAGCCCGAAGGCTTAGTTCTTACCGGTGGTTCTGATGGAGAAGTGCGGATATGGTGTCTCCCTGGGGCGTCTCAGCTAAAATTGTGGACTCCTGCTTCGGCTTGAGATGTGTAGCCAATTCAGCTTGAATTATCCAACATAGTTAGTGCCAGCTATATCTATGGTTAATTCAAAGCTCACATTCTACCCAATCGCCATGTTTTTTAGAGTTGTGTGTCTATTTTCATGATGGAGGTCCACTGGTTGACGCGGCTGTTTATATACTGCGTTATAGCGACGGTAGTGGGCCCTTTCTATGACAACTGGACTACTATGGAGAAGTGGCTCTACCGTGAGGGCGCTTATGTCGATCTGTGTACTGATATTCCTCAGCCGGCACCAGTGCAGGTCACATGGCATTGCGAGGAGCAGCAAGTTTGGGTTAGCATGTTGCTCCCAATATCACGAATGTCTGAATGTATAATGAGCATTGGTATTGGTATTTTCATGGACTTCGTTGGCCCTCGTATCACTACTGTGGTTGGGGTACTGTTGAGAACGATTGGTTGGATATTGATGTGTTTCGCTGTGCGTGCTCCTGGTGGCTTAGTAACGGCGTTTTTCTTATTGGGTGTATCCACCAACTTTGTGATATTCCCATGTCTAACCATAGGAATGTACACGAAGAAGTACCGCTACATCGCAGTGTTGCATATTGGTATGTGCAGTTGTTTCTCTTCTATGTTGATAAAGTTAAAATTGATTCTGCTTGAGAGTGGTGGTTTAACAGCATCACAAATAAACTATCTTTATACATTTTTGTGCATAGTTCCTACACTTGTCATGTGTATATTATTCATGCCGCTCAAGTTAAAAGAGCCTGAGGAAGATAAAGAGCCCGTTCGTGCTGCCGAGCCGGTTACCTCTAATGAAGGCGCAAGTGTTGCAGACTATTCATATTCCGATCGTGTCGGAGCAGGATTGAGTGATACTGTTTCTTACGATGATATAAAAGTGTGCAATGTGGATGGTAGTGTTGCAGTACCGTCAGATGATGACTGCACTTGGACCCTTGGTGGTTTTTTCCGCGTTCTGTCTAGTAAGGAAGTGTTTGTTTGTCTGTTTTACTTTGCTTTTAATTTCAGCAGCATAACTTATGTCCAACAAACATTTAGTCTAGTACACAGGGATGATGCTTCTCTGCTGACGTTGAACGAGTACATGGTTCCCCTTGCGGTAGTGCCTTGTCTGCTCTTCGCGGTACTATATATGTACTGGGATCCGATCTGGATTTTGATATTTATGAACACTATGGGTTTGTTAATGCACCTATTGGAGATGACCCACGGCCGTACCGTTGGCGTCCTGCTTTCCATAGCCTTGGTCATGGCTTACAGCATTTTGAATACTCAAGTGTACAATTATCTTGAAAGTCTCTTTCACAAGACATATTTGGGTTCTATCGTGGGTGCACTAAACGGTATGTGTGGTCTGTGGATGCTAATTCAGATGTTTGTGCTTCAATATAGGACTAGCCCGCAGGAGATCTTGGAAACAAGTGGTATAATGGCGGCATTACGGGCATGTTTTTTGGCACCGTTCATCTATTTCTTTTTCTCAGAGAAGTCTGCGAAATCGGCTAAGAATGAAGGGCGCTCATCCCACCATTTCACCTAAAAATTGAAGCAAGTTGGCACTGCTGTTCAGCCCCGCGGTTTCCCGAAAATGGGTCGCTACGCGTGGCCGTGCTAGTTTGATAACAGAATTACCACATGTTTCAACTATCGTAAGCCCTTGTAACAATAGATGGCACTTTAGACGGCACACCGGTTAATTATATGTGTCGCAATGCATAACAATGTCACCTTCAGTACATTAATCGTCATTATATAATTTTATATTTGCTTAAATATTTTTACAGTGGCTCAGCTTTATTATGTTGTGTCATTTTTCTCCGGCCGCCTGCACGAGGTGACTCGTGCGATATTGAAGCACACTACATCGTTATAATTGGCATCCAGTCTGCCATAACATTTTTTTCTATTTCCCTTTATATCATACATTGGTAATACATTTTTTTTAAATTTACGCCTTTGTGAGTAAGTTTCACGCATTCTTTTTCGCTTCTACTTCAAGATGAGACTGCCGCCCGTTTGGAGGCTCGCGTTATACGCGACTGTGGTAACATTTATGAGTGCGTATTACGATTCATGGAGTTCTACAACTACTATGTTGGTGAGATTCGGAGTATACCGGGATGTTTGTCCAGAATCCACCTTCCCTCCCGAATCTCCGGAGACACCGCAATGCGAGGAACAGCTACAAAAGATCAGTGCGCTATTGAGTGTGTTCAGGATATCTGAGTTTGTAACGAGCATCGGTGTTGGTGTGCTAATGGACGTTGTGGGACCTAAGGCCTGTATTTCATTAGGTATTCTCATGCGTATCATCTCATGGTTGTTACTGGTATATTTCACTAATCACAACTGGGTTATGATTTTATCATGTGTGCTTTGTGGTATATCTGTTAATGCCATTGTTTTCCCCGTCTACACGATAGCGCGTTACTGGCCAGCCTACCAGGATATGGCTATGTGCGTGATATCGGCTTGTCTCTCTGCTGGATGTTTCTACGTGCCTATTGTAAACGCTATATTATATGTGATGCCTCATGCTGATATGCCAACATTTGTATGGATCAAACTGTTGATAACTCATTTCCCTTGGTTCATAGCCTCGTTAGTAGTCTTCCCGAACAACGTAGCCAAGGACGTGGAGTTGAACTTGAAAGTGAAAAAGTCTGAAAGTAATGACTCCGTGATTGTGGATGCCGCTGATGTAGTTTCCCCTTGGAACTTCAAGTCGTTCATCAAGTACGTCATCCATCCCGAGGTGTTAGTGACCACTTGTGTGTTCATCCTGAACTGTGTTTCCTTCACTTTTTCTCAAGAGGCCTTCACCCAGGTATATATTGGAAACTCAACGGCTGAGTATTTCAATGGCGTAATGGTCCCACTTTCTTTCCTCTTTTCGCTCTTGTTCATGTTTGTGATTAATCATCACGGTGTGGTTGTTGTAATGTTGGGTATCAACGTCGTGTCTATGTTAGCTCACGTTTTCTTATTGAGCTCTGCTACCATTGCAGCCGTTTTCACGAGCATCTGCATATCCATAGCCTTCAGTGGTTTCATAACGTATTTCTTCATTTTGCTTGAGCACATTGTGGAGATCACGTATTCCGGGAGCATTAAAGGTTTCCTTACTACTGTGGCTGGTATTTCTTTGGCTATGAATCCTTTGATGAACTACCTGATCACACGCCACAACTCTATGGCTGGCTGGCAGACTGCCTTCATCGTCATGCGTGCCATGATGGTATTCCCTATGTTATGGCTTCTGAAGCGCGAAACCGAGCGTAGGAACAGCAAGTCAAAACACAAAGAGGTAGAGATAGTACGTGTGAGTGCAGATGCTTCAAGAAGGGAATCTACCGCCTCGCAACAGATGGAAGACACCGTCTCCACGGTGTCAGAAGAGACTGCCGTTCCTGTGCCCACATCGGAAGAGGCATCGGAGGTAACTACGGTGTGATATGGCGCATCTTAACACGGTGGACATACACTCATTTTAACATGCCCGTGTCTGGATGACACCATTGGTCGCATCTAATTTTTGATCACATTACGTGACGCATGATGGATTCTATCGCGTTGCAAAACACTTTTGATCGTAAATGTACACGAACACTATGTAGGCTATAATGTTAAAAATACATTTTGTTGTCGCCCATGATACCAGTGTGTATCATCTCAAATGTATTTTGAGAAGTTATACATCTCTATCAAAGTGTTCACGTTCTTGTACCTAGAATCATTGGACAACAACAATAGCCTCTCGTTAACAGTGGTCATGCAGGCGTCGAAGCTCTTGATGAACTCTTCTATCCTGGTTATGACCATTCCGTATGCAACTTCGTTCGTCCCGCTGAAAGCACAATAGTAGAGCGTAGCGTATTTCAATGTAACATCTGCGCATCTTAAAATTGGCTGCAGCAGTGCGTTTTCGTTTAGGAAACAGTTTGTTGCAAGCTCCTTGAGATAGTGATCGTGCGCCTCCTTGATGTCGTTAAATCCTTCGCATTGCTCCACCACTTCACAGAACTGCTTGTAACAAGGTTCTATAACACACTGTTGTATATAGGACAACAGTGCCGTCATAAATACACACATCCTCCAACGCGTACACGATGCACGCCGACATATGGCTGGCATACCAGTCGCCTGCCCTCCTCTCTCGAACCGCCTCATGAGAACATTGATGTGACACAAGTTCTCTAATCCGAACACACAACGCCTGAAAGTTTGTGACACTACGCATGTTGTTTACTTACCGTAACAGTAGAATCAATTGGAATAAACTATTGTAACAAAGCATACTTGGTAGGTCGAATAAGATCGACGCTGGCCAAGTGCAACGGTATGCCATTGTGGTGTATAACCAATCGTTAATTCCACATTCGAATTCCGCTACTTTCAACGTTGGCAATTCCTCCAGGAAGCTTTCGACCGTAGGTGCAGCATCCGCATCTCCCATGGGTGAAATGTCATATTTGGATCTTGAAGCTTCAAAGTCCCATTGTGACATGCGTAAAGCACAGTTTCGCTTCATTATATTCAGTTTTGCTTTGGGTTCCATGAGTCCTATAGCTGTTGACGTAATGCCTAGATAGATATCTCCAAAGTCATGTGGCAACAGATGGATTGTATCTAGAACATCGGTCTCCATTATAAGCCTTTGCCCCGACTTGTCATGCTCCAACTGCACAAAAAGACGAGTTCGTGTTACTTTCATATTTACAGTGAAAATAAAGTCTTCCCGACTTCCATCTGACAGTTTGATTAGCCTATCTCCTTTGTTTATACAGATTAGTCCACCCTGCAGTTGTTCCGCTTTGCGTAAACGGGAGAAGGCCGATACACAATGCCCCTGTAGAATCATACGTCCTCTGATTATAAATGCTTTTGGTAGATCCTCGCAGTTATCGTAATCTATGTCGAACTCCACGGTCAGAGAATCATTCAACAGTTCTTCCATGCCTTGTACCAATGCCGCCGCTCTGAGTCTCAAAGGTTCGGTTTTCGATTGTAAAACTACAGCGAATCTACAGAATCTTCCTGGAGTTAATCCTTGCATTTTTTCTTCGTTTTGCGCATGTGCTTCCTCGAGTTGGCTCAATTCTGCCTTGAATGTCATTTCGAATCCGTGAACTGCATGGACCAAATCTTCGAACCAAACTGATGAGTCATCAGCTGATTTGGAAATACGTTCCTTCAGCCGTTTTTCACTAACATTCAGAACAATTTCGTCCTCAACCCACCTGCACATTGTTACTGTTATTTATAATATACTTACGATGAGTCACCAGTTAATACAAACCTTCTTTTATTAATGTTGAAGTTGAATGTGCGTTGTCTCAATTGAAACACATTCTGTCCATTTTGACTCTTGTTTGGAGACGTGAACCTAAAATTATTAAGTTCACGTCTATTTTCACGGTTTCGTGGTTCAGTATCCGACACCCATATTTCTGGATTCTCCATACGCTGTTTCACTACATTATTAACATGCACATTGTATTTGTGCATTATGGCATTCCATGTATTCAGGGTAAGATTTGTGCTTGAGGATATGTTGCAAGGTGTTTGCATCGTAAACCAGGCGCGTTCCATCAATTCCGTGAAAATATCATGGAATCCCATGAGGTACAATTGTTTGAATAGGTAGATGTGACCTTTAACATCGAAATTGTCATTGATATATACCCAGAATTCGTGAGCAATCCATCCAGCGTAACGTTCAATGGCATTTTCAAATATGAGGGCAGATGCACATGTGTCATCCCAGTTATCGAATATATCTGCCGCCTGAGCCTCAAGTTCCTTTTCATTACGGTACCTCCTGATAAGCATTCGTGCTACTTTTCCAATAAAAAGGATATTCTTCCAAGTTTTGAGAGATGCTAGTATCCAACGTTGTTCCTTTATGACCACATAGAAAAGGAAGTTCCATTCGAACTCCGCAGCTTCTGGCGGAAGTTCATGTCTGAGGTTTTCGAAAGAGCATATGGCTTTGATATCGCACTTCGTTTCTACATTCTCCTTGTCCGGGTCAATACGTCTTCGGCATATAACGAATTCGTTATGTGTGTCCGACAATTGTCCATGGCACATCCATTTTCTTACTTGTGTTTTTAAGCATTCTAAGCATTTTCCCCTAAGTTTGTCCATAACCTTGTTGTGTGCTTTATTTCCAGTGTCCTGTTGGAGCATGAACAATATCTCATCAGCTTTCAATGCCACATATTTCCCATTAACTCGATTTCGTTCTGCTGTTTCTTCATATTCCCTTACCACCTTAATAAGCGCTTCTATCACTGCCTTTTGCTCGCTCAAGAGTAATGATATAGTGCTTAACGGCAGTGCTGGGTCTGCGAGTACCACTTTCTCGATCGTGACTAAGCTAGCTCTGTATTCCTGGAGAAATTCTTCGATTCCTGTACACATGACATTGAGATAATGTCCTCGGTAGTCCTTTTTGTTGTCAAGTAATTGTTGTTCCTGATTCTTTTCTCTTTTTAGATTGGGTGATAGGTCAATTTTTCCTTTAATCCTATGGTCTGGAATCTTTCCGAGAAGGCTCGATGCAATATATTGATATTCCGAATCCCTTGTGGCTTTGACAAAGAAGTCTAAATACCTATATTTGAATCCAATCGCTACTACAGAATTGATGAGGTCGCGTTCAGACTGTGATATATCTTTGTACTTATCTGATACTACAAATCCCTCACTCCCCTGGGTCTTCTCAATAATTATATCGCCTGTATGGCCGGCGAGGGCCATGAGTATATCGTGGAACATCTTTGGTTCACATTACACCTCGCACATGGCTTGGCGACAATAATAGATTGAACATAAATCAATCGCGCTATAGCATATTCATATCACCGGAAAACTTTACAATTGTAATGTTGAACGATGAAACAATATTATGTGTGAGCTACAGTGGTCCACCTGGAAGGCAACCCGTGGTGTCTGCCTATGTGGGTGTAGGTGTCACGTGAGTCAACCTTATAGCGGTTTGGCTACATAGGGGCTCCACATCGCTAACTAACAATTACCTGATGTCATTAGGCGTTGTGGGAGGTTGATTTTGCTGGTTTCCGGACCCGGAAGGCCATCGGAGTGCGAGTACGCGATGTTTTTCTCGTCGAGTGCCGTGCCACGTTGCGTCAATGGCATGAGTCGCACACATGTAGGAACACTCTCTCGCAATCTGAGTTTTTGCGTCACTTGTGCACCTGACACATGCTTCCACGTGCCAGAGAGTCAATGTTACTATCGCGGAACTCATATTAATAATTGCCTGCTAGGCAATGCTAAATCGGTGACGAATCGTCATCGCAATATCGCAGTTGCTAATGTAAATGTGTACAGTAACGGTGTATCAATTCGTGGTCGTCGATGGGTCTCAACGGCTGCTACATCTAAATTAACGTGGAAGGATCACGTTGACGACGCACGTAATGCGTTGCGTGATGCTGATTTTGTGGCTATTGATGTGGAATACACAGGCCTACATTTCAAAGATGACCGTTATATTGGTTTGGACCAGTGTTATGAAGCCCATGCATCCGGAGCGAAGCAATTCATACCTTGCCAGGTAGGCCTGACGGCAGCGAAGTACACAGGTGAGGGTTTATGGAGAATAACTCCAATGTCTGTTTATACTATCCCATCTGGTAATAAGTTTTTTAAGGTGAGCACTTCTACGTTGCAGTTTTTGAAGGATAACAATTTTGACTTCCACAGCTGGATACACCATGGTGTTGAACACCTAACACCTGCCGAGGAGCGAGAGCGAAAGTCATCTCTCGAACAGCGTAAAAAAGAACTAGAACAGATGATGAACCATGTTCCGTCTTCTCCACCTTCTGTTGGAAGTGATTTTGACCTCTCCTCGCTAAGTCCAGAGGATCGATCAATGGCTGAGGGTATCATCGCGAGGGTCCGATCGTGGATCTCCAGTGGTAATGATGAGCCATTGGAGATTGAGCTGGATAGTGCATTTCAGCGTCTATTAATGCATACAATAATCGGACAACAGTTTCCCGAGGTGTATAGCCATTCTGAGCGTCGTGGTGAGGGTAGGGTGATTTGTATCTACAAATCTCAAGTTGAATTATATCAACAGCAGAAGATAGCACTTGAAGGTGAATTACGTCGTATCGATGACGAGATCGGTGTGCGGCTATTGTTTGACGAGTTGGTACATAACAATAAGATACTTGTGGGTCACAATTGTTTCTATGACCTCCTTCATGTGTACCAGACCTTTTATGGTGATCTTCCGGATACTGTAGATGACTTTCGTAAGAGTTGGACGTCTAAGTTTCGCAATACGCTTGATACTAAGTACATAGGTGAGTTCCACGACTCCGTAGCTGTGCCTCAGCACGCTGCTACCCTTCGTGGTCTGTTTGATCATATGTGTTCTACGGAACCTTGTGGGTCTGTAGGTGTGAAATTTTCAGTTCACACTTTGCGCGGCACTTCGTGGCGTCTTCCATCTGGCGTTCTTCCTCTACTGTGTAAAAATCGCATGGGTGTTGAGAATGTAAGTCCTGATTGCGGTATTGGCGACTTTGAATCGACATCTGGTCAATCTCACGATGCGGGATATGACAGTTTCATGACCTGTATAATATTTGTTTTACAATGTGGTCGTATTTTACGTTGTAAACATTTGAATTGGGATAAGTTGAAGGTTAAAGGTGTCACTGAGAGTCTGGACTATGCGTCATTTTTGGAAGCTATAGGTTCTGTCAACAACTGTATACGTCTGGTTAAGTCTCAACCTAATTCTATAAATTTGTCTAGTCTGCGTCAAAGTGATATGGCGCGTTACTTTTTAATGTCTGGTTATCCTAATTCTTGGAAGAAGTGGGATATTATGAAGGTTTGGTCACCTTTATGGGTTTCTGTTAGTGTGATTGATGAAACTTCATGTTGGGTGATAGTGAAGAACGACGAGGACATTCGTAATATAAATCTCATTTACCGCATGATGAAGAACCCACAATTCACGCTTCAGACATACGAGCAATCTAAACAATCTAAGGGCGCCGTGGTCAACCGTGATCCATCTGGCTGAATTTTTAAATGAATTGTGTGATTTCATTATGCTTTCTAAAAACAATGTAGCATGGCAGCCATGTCTGGGACATAAAATACTAACTGCCGCTGTAATGTATATAATGTGTTCTGAAGGAGCTTATTGTTACTACTATTATGTTGACAACTTCTTTGACGCTAAATGTTATGTAAATGTTACGGTATTGTAATACACCCATGGAAGGTTTGATAATTGTTGCCTGTTTTTCATATTTGATATACATTTTTAGGTCTCATTCGATTATATATGTACTTTAGCAGTATTATATATAGTTTTTCATGTTGATAAGGTTGTTAAATTGGGTTCAGCCTTATGACGCGTTGTTTGTTCGTGGATTCCGTAATAATTAGTTGAGAATCGGTTGAATTATCCATCTTATAGTCACACATATATATCTATTTCGGTTTTGATAAGATTATTTGTATTATTAATATGGTGGTGTGTGTATATGATTGATGTGTATAGGTCTGGTGTTGCTGGTCCCCATCGATGCTGATCCGGGGTATCATCTCCTTTTTCCTTTAATATGTTAATGTTGTCTACAAACGATGAATTATAATTATGGCGGGCGGAGGTACTAAGCAGGACCGAGCACAGCAGAAGGCGCTTGAGAAGCAAAAGCAGAAGTTAGTTGAGGACAAAACGTTTGGTTTAAAGAACAAGAACAAATCTAAGACAGTGCAAAAGTAGGTTGATCTGCATTGTATTTTATTGACTGACCGTAGGTTTATCAAGAGCCTTCAGCAGCAAGTTACTGGGAAGCCTCCCGCGAGTAGCGAGAAGTTTATTAGTGAGCAGAACAAGGCTAAAAGTGAGAAGCAAAAGCTTTCTCAACAGCAAGCATTATTGGCATCATTGTTCAGGGGTTTGTCTAATTGATTTAGATTTAATGTTTTTCTAGGTACCGAGAACATCAAGCAAGTTGTGGTAGACCCTAACAAGCCAGCTTACGACCCTAAGCAGTCTCGTGATGACCAGAAAATCGATATATACACAGATCCCAGGACGCAATCTCAGAAAGATGAAAATGAGATGTCAACATGGGATCTGACAACTTTGGAGAATGTTGTGAAACAGAAACATGGTGCTGATGCTTGTACTACGGATATAATTTGCAAGCACTTTTTGACCGCACTTGAGACTAAGAAATATGGATGGTTTTGGGTGTGTCCTAATGGGGGTGACAAGTGTAAATACCGTCACTGTTTACCTCCAGGTATGTTTGGTTCGTATTTATATGACAATGTCTACCAGGGTTTGTCCTTAAGAGTGATGTACCTAAAGAGGTAGAGGATGACGAGGAGACTTTGGAAGAGCGTATTGAGCGCCAGGTTAGTGTATCATCGTATGTTTAATATGTTTATAGCGTGCTGAGCTTCCCCCTGGCGGTGAGATGGTTACGGCTGAATCGTTGGCTCGATGGCGTGCTAAGAAGGAGGAGACTCGTCTAGATCAATTGAAGGAGTCTATGCACAAGGGCGGTCAGGTTCAGTTGACTGGTAAGGATCTGTTTACTTTCAATCCGAGTTTGTTTATGGACGACGACAGTGCTGCTGTTGATTTGGATTACGATGACGATGAGGATATAAATGAGATAATTCGTGAGAACGAGCGTTCTTTGACAACGGGTAACGTAATGCCGGATGGAACACAATACAATGACGAGGATGATGAGTTGGACTCTGTTGACATAAGCAAGCTGCGTATCTAGTATCGTATCTTGTAGCTATGTCGTGATTCAGTTATATTGGCTGTGATTACGTATAAAGTCAAAGTGATATATTTTGTTTATCGCTACACGTGACTTTTATCATAATTTTCCTTAATAGATGTTAATGGTGTATCTGGAGTTTGCGCGCGACCTCAGTTGGACAGTTTCCCCACCCGCTTTCCTGTGTTTTTGAGGGCAACATTACCACTTGACTACACATTAATATTTACACAATGGACTATACAAACGGATTAAAACGCGAGGTTGGTTAATATTGGTTAAACAAATATTTGATCTTATTTTAGGACGGCGTATCGGATGTGATTGCTGAGGGTTCTTCTGAGAATCCCGCTACTAAAATAAAACCTTCACGATCTACAGGTTCTTCAGGTGCAACGGCAGAGGAAGTACCGAAGTATAACTTTGGTGAAAAAAAGAAGAAGAAGGCACCGACATCTGGTGGTAGGTCGCAGCTAATATTATTAGTATTGTTATTATAGATGCTTCAAAAACAGAAATCATTGATGGTACCGGTCAAGTTTTTGTACGTGGTCATATTTATCCTTATGAGGAGGTAAGTGTCTATGTGTGTTGTTGATAATTCTCAGCTTTTGACGCGTGTCCAAACGTTGATCAATACACATAGCCACGACCTATCGGGAAATAAAAAATACACTATCCGCCCACCACAGGTTGTTCGTGTTGGTTCTAAGAAGGTTGCCTGGATCAACTTTAAGGATCTTTGCACTGTGTATGTCATTGTTCTGTTGTGTACAACATCTTTGTAGGATGCGTCGAAGCACAGATCATGTGCATCAATTTGTGTTATCTGAGCTTGGTACTGAGGGTTCCATTGCTGGTGACGGTCAATTGGTGCTAAAGGGGAAGTACGGCCCCAAGAACATTGAGAGTCTGCTACGCAAATACATTAGTAGGTTATCCGCATTGTTAATAGCATGTTATTCAGCTGAATATGTGACATGTTCCATGTGTAAAAGCGCAAACACGACAATGGAGCGTGACTCACGTGCGAGATTATTCACTCAGCACTGCGAGGCATGTGGTGCCAACAGGTAATTAATATTGTTTCCATATACAATATGTATATAGGTCTGTGAATCCTATCAAGAACGGTTTCCATGCTTTGAACAGAGGAGAGCGTCGGAAGGCGAAGGTTTGAATTACTTTTTTTGCGTTTCGTTGTACTCAATACGATCGTTATGGAACTTCCTGACTACGGCGGCACAGTAATGTTTTGCTATCAATCTGCGGCGTTATAAAGTGTTGTATCACTTGAACTGAACGTTTAATATTGAACTATATATATATATATATATATATATATATCCTATTTTTGCCAGTCGATGCATGGCAGTATGCGTGGTGTACACCACTGTGATGCAGCACTTACATGTTGACGAACTGAAGCAGTCCAATAATGACCACGAAATATACAGCGAAGTATATGAGAGAAAGATATGAAACGGATGGCGTGCTGTTCTTAAGCAGCTGTTCAGCGATCTCTGAGTACCTTGAAGGGGTCCTGATGAGTGATATCATGTGTGCGAATAGCTCCTTGAATGTTGCAATACGTAGTGCTCGGCGGGCAAGTATGACACCTACTGACAAACAGATTATTAGTGATATATTGGTGAGTAGACATATTATAGACAATGAGGACATTCTCAGCTCGTACAGGGCGTAGTTCGGCCTAGGTGAGGCTGCACCTATTAAACATTACGCTTCGACATATAAACGTACGATAATGTGCAGTGGTACTACCAGACGTCATTTTTTTGCATAGAATATATCGTTGTTTTGTTGGTGATAATTATGGTTAATATAGCAATATTTCAACCATTTGTCGAACAAACCATTTGTTCATTAAATATCTCAGAGTGATCGATACAAATAACGACTCTGAACGTTGTTGATCCCCTAAAATCCGTTAAATTTCCACGCTGGAAGTGAATGGATCGATATAGGATATATCCGTGTCTTAGGGCTGATCCTCAATATACAATACTCCAGCTCCTACCAAAAGTACTAGATCATGAGAATAATGCCAATAAAAAGCGATTGCGACAGTCACCGCTGTTCACAATGCCTTATACGGTTACGTACCGGCGTCAAGGCTGTTTAGCAGATGGTCCTAAACCATAGCAGAGTACACATACATGTGATTTTTACCGCAGTATATTGTCTTTGGTAAGATAATTTTTTCATGAAACTCGACATCTAATGTTGTGATTGACAATGGGCGAATACAACGCGATCTTATCGCGTGTTGCCCCTCTTTGATACAAATACCTACTCGTACGCCTATATTTCGACACTTAAAGCAGTCAATAGTTTCGCTTATATTATTCTGTACGATTTAGCGTGTTTTAACCATCTGCTGGGGGTACTAGATCCTTACCGGGTTGAGGATTAGACATTATGCCGATATTAGATGATATTTGCGCCTAAACTCCTGACGCTCTGCGTCTGTATCAGTTTAATAGAGCTAATAGTGGATGGATTCTTGACTGTAAGTTTGATATTTTAAAGTTAACCGTGGATACAGGCCCCTGTAACTCCGAAAATTGGTTTACATCCTGGCGTTGAATGTGGGTTACAATAACAACGATAATAACCGTTACAGATGGAATCCCACGAGACTTCACCGTTTACTCCGAGAAACGCCACAAAGAGGCGCTCCTGGTGTGTTTCCTGCTGATGTTAATCATAGCTTCCAGGGCAAGAAGTTCCGAACTCTGGGTACATCATCGCAAGCAAGACACTACCGTATAGTTGGTAGAGGAGGAGGTCTTCCACGGTTACGAAAATCCAGTGGCATGCCAACCAAGAGGATGGTACTCCCCGCACGGCGGTATGTGTTACATGAGTTTTATCCATAATCAATAGGTGTATGATTCTGGGTAAGATGGATAACACAAAAGCACGGCAGATAAGCCATTCTGGTAAACGGTCACATAGACGCCAAAAGGTTAACCTTCAGTGGAAGCGCATATGGTGTATTTCACGTGGTTACTATGTACGCTTACGTTTATCCATGAAGGGCCTAAAGACAATCAAGCGGCTCGGCTTAGAAGAGGCGGCCCGTAGGTTCAATTTGAACTTGAACAACCCCAAATTATTTGCTGGTTACGCTAATATCAAGGAAAAGTGAGTTATCTCTATAATAGGTTCATGTCCCACGGTTAACAACTTTTGCTGTTATAATTCGCATCCTTCCGTGCCATTGAATTTATACATCATGATTTTTTGATGTGTCATATCTTGTGTATGTCATAGTGTTGAATATCTTAAAATAGGGTGTTCGATGCATTTCACTCGATGTCTAATGTAATTATAATCATGTTATTTGCAGAAAACCAAAGCAACCCATATATTTTGAAGATAACATTGAAAATGAAATTGAAGAAGAAAGTGTCATAGATAGTTGAATGACGCTTTAGAATCGCCTGGTTTTTTAAAATTGGTCTTCACAATTAAAAGGGGCCGGCCAAATTCACTCCGGACCCGTATAACATCGGCGTCGTCCGAGTTCAAAACAAAAAAAGCTCCACCGCTGCCTGACATGCCGTAACGTTTAGACTCGATATTGTTTTGTAATGCTTGCATCAACATTTTCACGTTTTCGTTTTCCACAAATTGTTCGATTGCATTGAAAGGTTTGAATTTTTCAAATTCTTTCATTGCATCTATAAGCTCCGTTTTGGTATAAATGGTTTGGTGCAGTTTCCGATTAACCAAAAGTTGTCTTGCCTTTTTGAAGGCGTCGGCAGTGCTGACATGCTCGTCGGGTATGAGTATATATACGTGACCGTTGTAATCCAAGGGTGCTATCTCTGTAACTTCATTGCCCATACCCGTTATTATTGCCACATCAGCTGCATTGACTGTTTTCACATAGTTAGTAGTATCTTACCGTCTGAGGCGAGAAATGCGTGATCTGATCCCAATGCTAATTCATCTTCTGAGCTTATACGCGTAGGAAGTGCTTCAAACACGAAAGCACCATCAGCTGAGCCACCTCCAAGTCCAGAACCTGGTCTAACATGTTTTCGAGTCAGCAACAAGTATCGTTCGTTGTTCCTGCGCGCTTTCCTTAAAGCCTTAGCGATAACGTTACTGTCGTCGAACGGGAAGGAACATTTATCTTTTTCCTCTGTAAATATATACTTTTTTGTAAACCTTTTTTAACTTACCGAACCTGGTTTCGTCTATCATCAACAATATATCGCCATCTGAAGTTGTTTGGTACTTTTGTGCCAGTACATCAGCTTCGTCATTTTTCAGTTGCTTCAGCGATAGATGGTCACCCCAAAGTATCTTCTGCATAACACTGGTGAGCTTTAGATGCGATAATGATATATCCGAGTCCGGTTCTATTTGCAAAGTCAGATTAATTTTGGCAAATGCTACGCCGCTATAGTCCCAAAAGGTGTCCTCTATTCCTGCAGATTATCTATATAGGCGGATGCCACCTATTACCTTGTTTGGGGCCATCTGCTCCTAACAGAGAGCGTATCTCATATTCATTGGTAACTACGTTGCGATGTTTTTCGTGAAAGGTACTTGGACCACCAAGATAGCCGGCGAATCCAAGACACAACGGGAGGTACCTCATTAGTAGGTTTATTTTCCTCCTTCCCTGATCATGAAGTTTCGTAACACTTTCATGCTGTGATATGAAACGTTGATGGTAGCTTCCCGTGCGCTCACGGCTTTAGCGGAAAGCGCGGCGCGTCCCGTGTTAAAGCTGAAACAGACATATTATCACCGCCTATGGCAGGCTCTAACCGGTCGAAAATGGTCAGAATTTGAACGCTTACTACGTGAAATGAGGTTAGAATACAAGATTATTGTCATATATCACATACAGATTGAAGAATCTTAACCATGATGAGGTCACTTACACACTTAAAGCTCACCACTGCATTCTCAACCCGCATAAGCCGAGTATCAGTGTTGGTGTACTACTGAGCTCAACTATCACATGTGCAGTGTTATCTCGTCCTTGAGGAGATGAAGCAGGCAATGGTACACCCAGCCGTCATCCGTATGAATGAGGTACCCTTAGACATTCTTTGGTATATCATTTTCAGCACCTGATCAACTCATACTTCGAGCTGGAAGAGCTCAAATGTCAGCCTCCAGCTCAACTATGGCAGAATTTCGCCAAGGCTACCTGGCAGACATCATTGAGGTACGGATGATGGGGAACAAATTCATTCCAAACAGGTTAAATCGACAACGGCTACGCAAATTAGGTGAAGCGTTGAAACAAATGGACCCTGTAGACGTGATGCGTTTAAGCCAAGAAGTAGGTTTATGAATTAGACAGTCATTATTATCAGGATATTGCCACTATAGCACAAGATGAGTTCCTACAAGCAGCATTTTCTGCTACACTGGCAATGGATGAAATACATGACGAACCTATCAAGTTGGCCGCAGAAGAATCGCATAGTGACGTGGCGGCGGTTTGTGAGCTCAAGAAGGAAACGGAGGCCGTATTGGATGAGGGGGTATCATTCAAGCATGACGAAGCCAGCACTGAACTGGATGAGAGCTACAGTGATTTTGAGTTTGATAGTGAATTAGAAACCGAAATTCAACACGAACGTGTATCCACACACAGTGAGATACATTTTAAAGAGGAGGCTTAAGCCAGCCTCCTCCGTCTCCTCTTAGGACTCGTCTTAATGTTAATGCTATTTGTAACCGTACTATACCGCTGTAAATACTTTTCATCTACAGGGAATCCTAGGTCAAGGCCGACGAAAGCCGGTGATATTGGTAGGACAATCTGTACCAGGGTTTCAGCATCAACCAATAGTGAAATCAACTCTTCGTACGCCGCTTTACCATCCTCTAAGTCCTTTGGAGATACTTTCGACACTAGTCCTAGCTCCTTGAATATGTCGATTGCCCCTTTTAGCTGTGACATGCAAAAGTCTTCGACACACGTTTTCTCCATAGTCAATAGATCTGCGATGTGCAATAGCGATATCTGCGCATGTTATGAATTTGAATACAGGCTTTCAAAATACTATCACACGATGATTTATAAGGTATTGTGTAATAACGATATGTTTTAAATATATGCACTACATAATAGTTGTGAAGACTTACCTTAACATCGTCGTAGGATACAACAGTTTTATGCTCGTCAATCGAAGCCTTGCATATAGATAACAGTGCTAATAACTGCATCAATGGCAGAGGTTTAACCTTCAACTCGATAAGAGCCGTTTTGCTGAGCGACAATGTGGGTGTCAGTGATCCGATGTCCTTATGATCCACTTTGTATTCATCTAATTCAATAGAATTGGCCATATCACCATACCCTCGTTTAGGTGTTTCGGCCTCTTCTATCGACTTTTCAGGAGAGTTCTCATTGGAGTTTGATGAATAATCTGTCACCGGTGTCAGATGCTGCAGTTCATCCGTTAGGTTCGACATTGAGGTCGCCAATGCACGCCTGCTCATATTGCAATTGCCATAATTAAAACCTACGTAAATGTGTCTAAGCACGCTCTCAAGTCCCCTGTGGTGTTTGCTACACGCCTTGCTAATAGCAACAATGATGTATCCTTGATCACTGCAGTATACGGCTCATCTAATTTCTCAAGTTTCTTTTTAATGATAGCGATAATTTGCTTCTCATTATAGGGCTTGAACAACACCACTCGGCACTGCCGTTCAGTGATTAACGTGGCAAGTCTCAGATTATTTGATATTGCAATGAAAAGCACGCGACTGCCTGGGGCATGGCTTGCAGCAAGCAATGCTTGTAACATCCAGTTAGATTTACGTCCAGCGGCGACCTTAAGAGTCATCGACTGCAGGAAATCAACCTCGTCCATAACACATATCGTATATGTCGATGTTGTTTTGAATGCAGAGGCTAATGCTGACACCATCTCCCTATACGATAGCTTTTTCGTTTTGGGCACGTTAGAAAGAAGCCTACTACGTATAGTCGGACATCTGATCAGCATTTCGTAAAATGAATCTAAAAGATGCCATGTTGAGATGTACGATGTGCCTGACATGTATAATTTTCTCAATTTGGGCTTTCCCGCATCAAAGCGGCCGACCACATGGGTCACTGTTGTGGTCTTCCCAGTGCCGCTTACTCCGAAGACGAAAACGCCTCCACCAGCTTTAGCACCGACACGGCTGCATTTTATTGTATCAATATCATATTCAAATGACATACCTCTCTATAATTTTTCTAAGTGATTCTGCTTCTTCATCACGACATCCAAGATAAGTGTTATCTGATAGTCTTAGCAGCTCTATGGCCTTTTTTTGCAGCTCTAACAGCTTCTCAGCATCATTGCATGTGATGCTGTCAGCTGTCGGAGAAGTAGCATCGGTGTCAACCATTGTGACCAATTCCTAATAATGACGTCGTTGACAGTGTGTCCAGTAACGCTGGGTCCTTGTATGCCGCAGGAATGATAGTAAGTGGTTACTCCCCAGTCATGCACACCATACAGTATCCTATTTCAACCCATTTTCATGTAATTAAGGTGCTGAATTTGCTGCATTTTGATGTATTTATTGCGGGGGAGTTTGTTGTGGAATCCTTCCACTCCATTGAATGCAGTACCACCTTCTAACGGTCCATTATATGGAGCCTGATTTATTATACAATTTTATGTGCGTTTTATGGCGTCTGGAGTGAAAAAATTTCGCATATGATTTTCGACGTATGAGGCTAGACAGTAACCTTACAAACTCCTCTTTTCCGGAATAAAAACACTTTTTAAAAGCACACATTAAACAATAATAACCTTTTTTAATATATTTCGGCAAAAACTACCTTTCGTGGTGCGTATGCCGTAAAGTGTCACATTTTAAGAAGAAGGGTGGTATTACATTTGGCAGTCGCCAAACATGAAACTGAATGTACAGCGTCCTGGAGACGCCACTGTCGGAAAGGCGAAGTCTCGATCAAAACGTCCCAGTACTAAAGTGAAATCGTCAGGCAATGCCAAAGGTCCTATTAGAAAATCCAGTAGACTAGCGGCCCTAACACCTAGTACTACGAATTCCAACGCTGGTAGTTCGAGGTCTGGTCTTAAGAAAGGTAAGGAAAATGTCTCCAAATCATCAACCATCAAATCGGCACTTAAATCTAGTGGGAAGCCTTCGGCCACGCCTACTGTAACTATGAGTACACCACCTTCCAAGGATTCCAAAACAGCGACACCAAAAACCATTAAAACCACTAAGAAACAATCGACAGGTAAAAATGACACTAATACTAAAGGTGGCCCGAACGTTGAATCGACGAAGTCGAACAAAAGTTCGACTAGTGTGAAGGTAGAGAAATCACAGAAAGTTATAAAGCAGAAAACCACAAAGGGCAAGACAACCGGTAAGAAGGACACTAGAGTCAAAACTACAGCATGCGAAATAACCAAGGGTAGAGTTACGAGGTCGTCCACAGCAAACAAAACCGATATGGATCACGATGCATCCAGCAATGATTCACTTCGCGTGGTCTCCATTAGTAGCCAAGGCAAACCGAGCAAGAAGCTTTCCCCTAAGATTAAGACAGCGAAGAACGCCACCAAGGGTAAAGGTAGGATAGCAGAGTGGTCAAAATTATCTAAAGGCAAAAGTGCAAAGGACGGCTCTGCGAAGCGCCAAGTAAAAAAGGAACTACCCAAATCTAAAGAAGAAGAACGGAAGGACGTCAACAAATTATATAGTAGGTTACTAGTAGAACACCGTAAGCAGGATGTCGTCAAAATCACAATAGCAGAGTTGCTACGTAGGATCGGCAGCGATAACTATTCGGTGGTTAGTTTCGAAATATACTTTCTGTCATAGAATTTCAGGCGTCTAATAAAAGACATATATCACGTATACTTCAAGCATGCCTTAAATACGGTGACAAAGCTGTAAGGGCGGCCATATTCGACTCTGTCAAGAAAGAGTTTACAGTGGCTGATCTTAATGTACACAGTGCGAGATTTTTAATAAAGGTATTCCATTACTGCAATGCTGAAGCCAAGGATTTTTTACGTAAATCGTTCTTTAACGATCGTAATAAAGCGCTTCTTTATTCACGTTATGGCTCTCTAGTCATGGATACCATGTACCAGAAGCTGAAGAACAAGGAGCAACTGTCGATCCTTAGGCTTTATACACTCTCGAACCACTTCATTCTTGACGAGTCGGCAATGAAGGATATTCAATCAGCGGGGACCCTGCAACAATTTATTACGGCCATTGACAAAAGCAAGTCACGTGACTCCTGTGTGGAGAAGCTTCGTCTAGATTTGTTGAAAATGGTGGATAAAGCACAACTTACAGCATCACTAGCGCATGACCTGATCTACATTTATTGGAAACTTACCTATAACAAGACCGAGCTGATATCGTTATTATATAAAGTATTTGGGCAGATGTTATCTACGAGAAATGGTAACACTGTACTCTGTGATCTTTTTGGTTACGCTGACAAGAAGATGCGTAAGTCTATACTAAAAGGTCTCAAGACCGATTTCCCTGAAGCTGTGTACAACCAGCTGAACGTTACATTCCTCATTAAAGCTGTATTATCCACCGATGATACCAAGATGTCAATCGACTGTCTGATAAAACCACTGCAGGATGAACTTGCAAAGCTGATATCGCATCCTTATGGCCACCAGTTTATACATGCTATACTTGAGCCTTGTAAAGAGGTGGACTCCGTGACTAGCCTAAAGGATACGGCAACACGTCAAAATGAGCTGCAGGAGTATCTGATACCTCGTTTAGTTGAACTTTTTAAATCAATCCAACTACGGGAGGTGATAGAGAACAAATTTGCACGTCGGATCATCCTGTCAACGTTACGATTATGCGGGGATAGCGAGGTATTTTCATCGGTGGTTGATGTCGTGAGAGAAGATGTTGAGGAGGAGATGTCGTTATTTAACAACTTGTAAGTTTTAGACCCTAAATCCCATTTATGTTGTCCCAGAGAAACACTACAATTTATTCAAACATTAATCAAAAAACCAGGAGAGAATTTGGCTAAACATCGCCCCTATGCCGAATTTTGGCCTATAGTGAAAAATAGGATTAATCGCATATTATCCAGTAAATGTGTATTTATTTTGGTATGCATTTTGGAGGCGGCTATTAGGCAGGGTGATGAGGAGGTCATTTCTGATTTTAAAGAGATCGTCACAGTAGATATGATCCGTGATACATGTCGTGCCCTTAACAAAAGTAGGTCATGTAAAAGATTGTTATAACCATTTTTTTCAGAGAGGGAGAAACACGTCGGTTTGGATATTTTACTGAAGCTACTATCTTGATTTAGATGACATTTTATATGAAGGGGGTGCAACGGTGCTATTATCGGTTGGCGTAAATATGACCTAATATGTGCCGTTTTAATTTTCTACTATTGGTTTTTAACAACCGATGGTTCCTCAATACATTCATATACTAATTCATTCATTACGTGATAAGAATTTGATTGTTTTTGGTGATACATATGGTTTTAACTGCAAGAAACATTTCGGGGCCATTGAGGGGATGCCTCACCTCAGGGTTCATATTCTCGGGGACATGCAAGTTCGGTACAAGCATCTTGTTGATAAGAAAGAATCCTGGGATATATATGTATCATACAGATAGCGAAGATCGATAGATTACCTTTCTTTGTATGTCTGCCGATACCGACTGCGCCAAACCCCTTCTTGAATCCGATAGGTGCGAATTTGGCTAGAAGTGGCCCCCTACCCTTACTAGAGCCGTATCTCGCACATCTGTATACGGATATGCGGAACATTGGCGTTTAGCGGTGTCAATGTGACTGTGTATGTTGAATGGTCCCTAATGCAGATAATATCTTCGTTATCTAGGTTGGTGCACCCAAAATTGATGCATCATTGTTATGAATATTTTTTGTGCGTATTTATTGTCGAAATTCCCTGGTAGATCAGCGGGAGATTACGAATGGATAGATGCAACGCGTACCTTCGGATCGTCCCCACCTTCAGGGCAGATAGCCATCTTCATTGATATATAGCAATATGCTTCTACGTAGAATCGGTTGGATCTTGGAAGACGCATTTGTGGGATTCTAGAGTGTCAACTGACGCAGCGTTGAACACGTTGATTAGCGTGCCCATTAAATATCTCGTATTAAGGGCATTGTTTGGTTATAATTAACAAAATTGTGACATACACGTCAAAGTACCATATAAAATATTGATCCGGGAATAACGGATAAGGCGAATATCGTATTAAATTGCTAAAAGGCAAAACTGGATTTTAGGTAAAAAATATACCATCAAAGAAAAGGATAGTTAAACATACATGTGCTAATTACATGTTAACCAACCTTGTTTTAGAGAAATTGAAGATAACTTATTCTTGTTACCGGGCACTACGGCTGGAGTAGAATACTGGTACAAAAAATTGAAGAAAGGATATACACATCCGAAATAAATCTTATCATATGGCCTTTCATATGATAAAATATTGCTATGTAGTATTTGATGACCCAGCTATGCAAGATCACGTGGCATATCTTCTTATGCGGTGTGTGTGTGTGTGCGCATGTGCGTCAAAAGAAAAGTTATGTTCGACATACACATTAATTCGGCGGATCTAATACCGAAATCTTAGGTTAAAAAGTGAGGTTTGCGTCATCAAGGATTGTCTAAAAAAGGCTCCAGTACGTCCATATTCCTGCACCACAGGTGCATATTTAGACGTACTCAATTATATACCTCTGTGACAAGCATATCCTCTCCAATATACAATACCAAGCCGCTTGCTGATATATATTAGCAACGTCTGATAACCGTTTCTCGTCACACATGCCATAACATTTGACATTGTGTGTATACTATTCGGATGAGGTGTGAGAGTTAAGTGCTTGCGTCGTATAGACAACGATATGAACGATATATATATATATATATGTGACTCTTTCTTGTGTTTGTGGTTGATATAAAGCTCGTGCATAAGATTGGGTAATCATCCACGCGGATGCAGGAGGAAAATTAACAGGATAGGCTCGATTATTGTAGCATCCACGTTTACTTGGAGTATACAGAAATTTCGGAATCTTCCCCTGTAACGGTGACATAAAGAAGCTAGTAGTTCATATTATAAGGATATTGTGGCGGGGATCGAAGTTTTACATCAAAATGGAGAATCCACAAACACACCTTGAAAATGACTGCGAAGTTCAACAGTCAACACAATTACCCCGTACTGTGACGAATGAGGAACTACCTGAAGAAGTTACAGGGGATAGCGCACTGCATCTCTCGGACTTGAAAAATGGCGAATCTATACCAGGAATATCAGTGGCACTCAAAGGCGGTGAAAAACATCTCATGAGTCTAGCCTCTATCGAAACACAACCACCACCAAATTATACACAGTTTGGTTCTATGTATGCCAGGTCAGATGTCAGCTATGATCAGGATAAAAAAGGAAATGGATACAATGCATACTATGCAAACTACTACCCTATGGATTCATCGTGGTCTTATAAAAATCCACAAATTATAGATAACCCAGATGCACTATCAGCTCAAATGCCATTGGAAGCACAAGCGTCTCTATTCAGCAGTTGCGCAAGTAGCTCTACGACGAAATTGGAAAATGAACCCATACAATTGAACGGAAACCAATTGTTAGCGGAATTGCAAAATGCAGAAGGTGGAGTTCCGCAACAAACTGCAAGAACTGAATCATACCAAAAAGTAGTGGCTCGTAACCCCGTTATCCTAGTTGATAAGGTAGAAAGATCACTCATTGTTCAATGGTATGAAAACAGTATTCGCAGAGAACAACGCATCTCATACAAAAAGTATGGTAATGCAAAGGCACAACAAAGAGCTGAAACATTAATATCAAAACTTCTTAACGGATCAACATTCGAACAGTTGTACCCAGAAAAAGGCCCACCCATTCTTACCATTTTCGAAAATGTCGGCAACTATGGTGTATCGTTGACGAGGGATAGAGTAATGCGCGAATGGCGTGTTGATTGGACTAATAGCGGCGGTGTTAAGATGCGGGCACGATGGTCATGCAAAAAAGTTGGGAATGATGAGGCTAAGAAACGTGCAGAGACATTCGCTAACAGCCTTATACAAGGAACTTTCAATCCCAGACTTTTGCACAAGGCCACGGGGACACGACTCTCACGCAATGACATGAAATACAACGCCGTGCTAAACGAAGAAGATTTCGCGAAACAAGATCTAGCTATTGGGCAACAAAGTGCTCGTAAATCAGAACAAAAGGATGGACCAGCGAGAAAGAGACGTAACACAGGTGGAGATCCACAGCGTAAAAAAGGTACACGTAATACTGGTAAAGCAAAACGAGCACCAGTTGATTTCTTTAATCAACACAAAACAGGGTCTAATGGGTTCCTCCATCTATCTGCAGATGCATCGTTCCCCGGATTCTATCCTATGTTCCCTGGTGAGCATGACGGCAAAGTTTCCATGCATAGCGGCTCGTTCGAGAACCTACCACCTCATGGAGATGCCCTGATTGCGCAGAATTGGCAAAATTACGGACCGACACAGAAGATGGATTATCCTGCATCGACTGAATGGAACTTTCCTGATGCACAGGGCGATTTCAATAACTATAATCATCTTTTCGGTATGGTACCACCAGAAAATATGGCTAATGTCGACTGGATGAACATGAATTGTATGGAAAATTATGGCAACCCAGTGTTGGACGGTCCCATGAGCGTTCGTGAGTTAGGAGACGATGCACCAGGCTCCGCTGAATCACAAAGCGCAAACACCGGCTATATGCCATATTACCATCTATTCCCACCAGCGCCATCGGCTTGTTTCCAAGATTCAATGTGCTCACAGGGTCAGATGAGCCTCAACAACACTGTGAACGAGGGTGAAGTTTTCTCAGAATCATGCAATTCTGCAGAGGCACTATCATTTTCAGCACCTTCATTCAAAGAAACAGATGCGAAACTATCTGCACGCAGTGCTAGGCTACAGCAAGGCGTCCCATCATTGGAACTTGAAGGTACAGCAGCACCACCATGTGATGCCCCCAACCCTCTTGGCGCAAAGCCAGAAGAGCAGGGTAATGAGAATCCAATGATGGGATCCTATGACCATGAAAACGCTATGAACAACATGGCGGTGTCATGGCCGGGTTTTGAGGGTGTACCAGGTTGTGATTTCAGGATGAACTCATTGAGCGGTAGCCAGGATTATCACCAAGCATCAATGCCTGAGATGTACGTACCAGAAAGTTTCCCTCCAAACCCTGTGCTGGACCCTAAGCAGCTGGACGGTGAAGTTGCGAAACATTACGATAGTAAGCAAATGACCCAGGATCTGCAAGATTTCTATAACGCACTGAATATGGACGTTCAGGGCGGAATGCACCCACAAAACCCTAATGTTATGGGTAACATGGGACACGTTTTCTACTAAAAGGTCTAAATATCAATCTATCGCGGTTTTTCGGACTAAATCGCAGAACATCTTCAATACGGACCAGTCTTTTACCTGCTGGTTACGTAATAACATGTGCTCTGTTGCACCCTGGTCAGTCTTCGATCGGAACAGTGACTGCAGGGCATTTATCGAGCATATGTGAACCATATATTGGTGAACTCATATTGTCTACTTGGGCTATCAGTTATGCTATCGAGTTATTACTGCAATGGTAGAAAAAAAGGTAAATGCGAATTGCGCATATGGGATTGAGGAATAAAAGTTCTTATGGTTAAACAGATACAAATTCTGTTACTATTCCATACACCTTTGTCGTTTCCTTGGAGGAAATAAACTTCGGCCGCAGCTCTGATGCTGTAATTCGACGGCGTTGTACGCTGTCAAATAGGGCCGTGTATTGCTTTAATATTGATAAATGTTGATATTTAGACTTTACTCATTCAATCTTGTCTAACCATTGTTATACTCGCATTGAACTTGTTGTGAACTAACGAGCGGTAGTTACACACACCCGGCCACCTTATCGGTCATAAGGCTATCCAACTATCAATAGCTGACTTATAAACAGTGTTAACAATGCGTTATTCCCTCATAATGTGATGATAAGGGCCTTATGGCAACGTATTATACGTTGATGGCGGCTCGGCGTGCCGGTAAAGCTCTCATTCGGAGTGCTGGAGTCAGGGAACCTCTGGATTCTCTACGATCATGCACAACTGTCGCTCGCTGTTCTTTCTCATTCATCAGGAACCTCTTTGAAAGTGTTTCTTCAGTGGATGATAAGCCACTAGACAAAACTCCTGCAGCAGTGTCACTGTTTGACAAAGAATCACTGCTGCACAACTTCCAATCGCAACTAGACGCACTGTTATCGCGCGAAGATTCTGGATTTGATGAGTATATAAGGTTTCTACGCAATGCGGAACACCCACCGGCGGAAACACCGCCTGATCTCAAGGCACATACCACTGACAAACTCGTAAGGTTACTGGATGCCTTGACATACATATCGCATTTCAACCATTCCGATGACATTCAAAGGCTGATCGATAATGTTTCCTCGGTGCTCATTCAGAGGCGGTTTCTACTCGGGTCTAAATCGGATATTGCAATATTGACGCAGTGTGCTGCATGTCTCTCGAGAAGCAGGAGTCCTTCACAACAAGTCCAGAAACTCATTCTACATGTAAATAGCGAATTTAGGAAAAGCGGAGATGAGGCAATTCGCAGCGGACAGTTAGTTAACATTCTCAATTCGTTGGCTCATATAACGCATCCATCGATAATTGATTTCATTGTTCACACGTGCACACGAAGTATTACGCAACTGACGCCCGGAGATTTGGAAGAGCTGCCAAGGCTGTTGAATAAGTATAAAGTCGATAATGAGCGTGTAATGTTGGCTGTGTTTCAACACGTGGCGAATAGTCCAAGCGCAGCGTTTAAATCGCAACCTAACCATTTACGGCGTTTCTTGAAAAACGTTGCCTCCTTTGCATACCTGGAGAATGACGATGGGATAGTGACGGATAAGGCCCACAGACGTTTTAAGGAGTTGTTGTCATCCCGAGTTGCAGTATATGACAATAATGAGCTCTTTTTTATATTAGCTGGTATACCCGACTGCGAAGGTCTACCTCCAGACTCCAAAGAGACCTACGCGACAATTATTAGGGAAATACTTGATAGACTTGGGATATTGTCGAATGATAATCTGGCTACCAATGAACGTATCCAGGAAATACTACGAACGTTGTCGCACTCGCATTTGCTAACGTTAACTGATACAGTTACAAGAATAGACCTGTTTACAGATGAAATCCGAAAAGAAGCAGATGCTTTGGCCGATTACCTTAGTGGTTTAAGTGCCAAAATAGAGGATAATGGCGCGTATCGGATGACTGGGATGCTCCAATATTTGGCATCTGAACTCTGTAGCAGGGCTGATATGTTCGTATCACCGCCCATCCTGAAAATGACAAATGAAGAACCATTATGTCACGTGTTGAGTCTGAGCGATATGAGCGTCATAATATCCGTTTGCAACGTTGTAATGCCGGAACAAGCAGTTGGCTATGATACACCTGAGAAGCTTTTATTGATCGCCGAATCCAGATTAAAGGGAACAAGGGTCGCATCAGAAACGGAATTATATAACCTTTTGAATCATTTACAAGGGACCAGTCCCACTATACGTAATAGACTTACGAAACACGCATTAGCCATACTCATCGGCCAGTCTCGTGGCAGTCGGGAATCCATTGTAGCGACTAGACATGCCATGAAACTTTTACGATCTATGATAGTTAAAGAGTCTGATGTGTCACAATTCGTGAAACACACCGGCATCGACAGTACCGTAATCAACGAAATATGCTCCTACGCCGTATCGGAGACGCTAAAATCGACCGCCAGCGGTATCATTGATAGCAAAACAAAGTGTGAGGCATTATCTGAGATATATGTGTGTCTCTTAACGGTTAAAAATAGCGGTCTAGGTTGCGCATCCACTGACGACCTCCTCTCCCGTGTAAAACTGCCGCTTCAAAAGGCACGTAATGACAGCAATGGCATTTTCTCTAGACTAACGCTTAGAAACATAATGAGCTTGCCAGTAAATGATGAAATACGGCGAGGTGTAGAGGCAGCCGTCACGTCCTGGTCGGAATCGTTATGCAATAATACTAGACATGAGTGCGTCACATTATACGATGCCGTTACCTATTTAATTGAATTATGCCACTCATTGATAGGCGAGAAAGATATGGTCAGCAGTCTGGACCATGTAACCGTTATTTCCGCATCTGTCGTAAAGGAGCTAACGGCTTTCGAGAGTTTCGTTGAGACTAAATTATCTACTTACGCTGATGCCGGTAAAGGGGCGAACCCATCCAGCCAGAATGCCTGGGACGCATCTACAGGTCTGAGGGAGCTTTTTAAAGCTCCCCGCGAGCACAAAGATATATATGTAGCTATACGTAATAACGATATTAAAAGATATCTCCCAGTAAAAGCTTACATGGGAATTCAAGAACCTGGAAATTGTACAACCATGTTTGACGTAAAGAGGTCGATGCAAAGCCTTCACATGCGGTTGACCAGGTTAGAGCTGCTTTTAGATAGATTAAATGAAGCTAAAAATGCCGCTGGAGAGTCTATTATCGAACGGATGCGTGTCGCTCTAAGCGATGTTTCTTCAAGCGTCAACAGGTGTGTCAATACTGTATCAATTTTTCAGCCGATTTGGCCAGACACATATTTACCAAGGAAGCATAATAAAAATCTTGTAAATGCGGCCTTCAAAAGATTAGAAATAGGTGAAAGAGCACCTCATCACGACAAGTGACTCGATGAGTCTGCTGCTGTGGAAAAAATTTGTACAAAAAATTAAAACAACACCAGAACTTCCATATATCAGATGCAATTAATCATTGATTTATGCATTTTTGCAGCAACATCAGTGACGCTTTGTGAACACACACGCAATCGTATGTTAATGATTTTTTCGTAATATACTGACTGTTGAATCCTTTTTTTACAACTTTTTTCAAATCGAGGAATCTCTATGGGAGTTCCTGGATTTTTCAAGTGGCTGGCGCAGCGGTACCCTCTCATATGTGAAACGTATCGAGGATCCGCTGCTGAGAAGGATGACGCCTTCCGCCTGCTCAGGTCGCTTGAACGATCAGAGGACGATGAGGAATCCAAAAATGTACCCGATGGATTCGATAATCTCTACCTAGATGTCAATGGAATCGTTCATAACTGTTCCCATAGCATCGAAGAACTCTGTCAAGGCATACGATGTGAGGAAGATATTTTTATACTCATATTTCAATACATTAACAATCTAGTTAAGATTGTACGGCCACGGCAACTGCTGTACCTAGCCGTCGATGGAGTTGCGCCAAGGGCTAAAATTGTCCAGCAGCGTGACAGACGTTACAGGAGTGCACGAGACCGTAATAAAAATGAAGTTATATTCAAAACAATGCAAGAAGAACAGGATCCGCAAGTTAAAGTAGAAGAAAAAGATGAAAATCAATTCAAATTCGATCCTATCGAAATAACCCCCGGGACACCATTTATGCAACGATTATCAGACAGACTAAAGTACTTCGCTCACATGATGATCCATGAAAACAAGTTTTCCAGGAACCTTAAAATCGTGGTTAGTGGATCGGATGTACCCGGTGAAGGAGAACATAAGATTATGGAATACATACGTAACGACAAAGCCCGTAGACATGATCAGGACCGTGCTGGGATGTCAAAGCAGTACGTATCACACTGTATATATGGACTCGATGCGGATCTCATCCTTCTGGCACTTGCAACGCATGAACCTTACATATGTTTATTGAGAGAACAGATATACTTCTCCAATAAACACTCGCAGGTCAGGATGATGATGAACATGAATGACTATGTATTCTTGCACATAGGGATACTCAGGGAATATCTACTTAACGATATGATCCTATCTGATGATTTAAGAATACGCCCTAGAACGATAGACAGGGTTATTGATGATTTTGTTTTCATATCATTGTTCATGGGCAACGATTTTTTACCACATGGTAAATTTGCTAAAATTCAGGATGGAGGACTTAACACATATCTCCGCTATTATGCCAAATTCATCGATGATAAGTTTAAAGCTACACCTTTTGGTGATATATGGCTGGTAACGGGATGTGGAGAAATACATTGCTTTAATCTACTTAGTTTCCTACATGTACTCTCGAGACGTGAGTACGGCAAAATTACAGATGAATTGAAGGGAACCAATGAAAGTAATAACAAACATGAAGGAAGAAGGGGACATAAACCTGTTGACGGCGAAATCACCGTTGTGGATGTAGCAAACTGCTGCATCTCAAAGGACACTTCGGAATTCAAAAGTAGATTCCGTGGTCAACCCACATCAGTACCTGAGTGGAGATCGCGGTATTATCTTGCGAAGATGGGAATTGCAAGTGATGTCATAGTTCATCGGCTTAGTAGTAACTTTGACCCTGATACACAACGCAGTACCATACCTGAGGTCGTACGTGACTACCTGGTTGGCCTACAGTGGGTCATGGATTATTATTACCATGGTGTCCCCTCGTGGACGTGGCATTTACGTTGCAAATATCCACCGCTTATATATGACGTAAAGAACTTCCTACAAGAATTGAAAAAGGAACATGACAGGCTCAGTCGTCCAGCTGTATGGTCAGATGCCGCAGTAACATTGTCACAACTAATGGATATTAGATTCGACCTCTCCTCTCCGGTTACCCCGTTTGAACAACTGATGATGGTATTGCCGCCGTCGTCGGCTCACCTTCTTCCAAGCATATTCGCGAGTATCATCACCGATCCGGAGTCACCTCTGAAAAAGTACTACCCAGAGAATTTCGATATCGATATGGACGATACTAACGTACAATGGGGAGGTGTAACACTTTTACCAGTGGTTCCGCCAATGAAGTTGAGGAGCTTAATGAACGGAGCTTTGCACTCAAACGGTGATACTAAGTTCCAAGCTGGTCCTCAAGATGCACTGCTTTACATGGAATCTAGCAAGCTTTCGGAAGACGAAAAGTTGAGAAATGGTGAAGGAATAGCTAGGATATATTACTATGATCCCACAGTGCCAGGAAAAACAATCAAGTCACCAATGAAATTTTTCCCGGATATACTGCATTGTCAGGTGACATACAGACCGTTTTACAATCCGACACTGAGACGTGGTCAATCATTCCCACCACAACTCATGATGTATGATCAGGCTGCAGCTACCTTCGGTAGTCCTAGCTGCCAGAGGGGTTACAACATTTGGTTCCCCTCACTGAACTCCATACCATTCACGCCATTCGTACGTGGAGGAGTTCAAATATTCCAAATGAAATCATATTTACCAAGTTTGTTCCTTTGGATAAAGCAACCGCTACATAGTGGCGCTGTGCGCAATTTCAGTAATGCTTCAAAGGCCAAATACGTCACGGTTGGATATCCGTACCAACACATTGGAAGACTGGAAGCAATATATACCCCTTATGTGACAATTCAAGATGGAAATGTATTTATGGGCAATCCGAGGGAACTTGCGGATATGTTAGTGGCCGTACGACAGGACATGGTGAAAAGGGGTATAGTAGTCAGTTTGGCATGCCCAGATCCAAATATTCACATCGAGTGTGACCAAAGTACATTAATGAGGAGTGCAGAGCTCATATCTAAAATGTTCATCGGTCTTCCAGGATGCGCGCTTACGTCTAATATGCCATCTGTACAACAAGCAAAAATAGCAGGTCTGGACAACATATGTGAAAACGTCGTTGTACAGTACCGTCTGGTGGATATTAACCTACAGGATACCACGAAATCAGAACGTGCTATAATCACCTTCGTACGTTTTGTAGATCATGTAGCAGAAGGTGTACCACAACTGAATCGTACAGTATACCTTGATGAAATGAAATATAAACCGGATATGATATTGTCAAACCAGCTCAATGAGATGGTGGCACTTAAGAATGCAGTTAAACAACATGAGTTGACATATGGAAGGTTTTCTAAGCCGTTAGTAAAGGTGATATGTGTAATGGAAGGGTCACTGTATGGCTGTGTAGGAGCAATCCGTGACGTCGGAAATACATTTGAGGATGTTAGTGCAGTCTTCCCGATCCCTGACTACACAGTCACCATTGCTGCCAATGCAACCCACCTATTTGAGCGGCATGTAAAAATAGCGCTGCTAATAAAAGCGAGGCCAACTATAAAGTGGTACAAATTGCCCGAGATTTGTCAGATGTTGAATATGGCAATTACCACTGCCTCGGCAACTTTTCACCTACTGACTTCGGGGACCTTCCACGATGAAGTAGGTATGAACCTAGTACTTTGGAATGAAGAGAAATCATGTGTAATGTGTCTTCCTGGTTACACTCGCTGTTCAAACGAGGTGCTTGTAAATCCACAAATGGCAGATCCCGATATGCTTCTGATGAATGTGGAGTACTCTGAGGGAGTGTTGGAACTAGTCAGTGGTTATCGCGAGCGTTTCCCGGAAATATTTGAACATTTTGACAAAAGCAAAGTAAGACCGAATAACTCTGCCCGGGGCGGCTACAGGTACCACATTAATTTGGATCATGTGTTTACCGGTACACCGGAGGTTGTGGAATATAAGAAGGAACAATTGCAGGAATATTTAGCTGCACAACCGTTCCGCCGGTTGAAACTCACAGTAGGAACTTACAGTTGTTATACAGAGGATACTATTGAAGAGATATCAACTATATACGATGAGAACTCAATGCCTGATACTGGACATATGGCTACTTGTGTATTAGTTCGATTGACACACATCAAAAACTTCCATATACCCTCTTTCCATACAGGTACAGTATTTATGCGAGAAGAAGAGGTTAGGTTGGGCCTCTCTGTTGTGTACATCAACCATAATGAAGCAGTGCCTCTGGGTACACGGGGCACTATCGTTGGGATTTACCCACAAAATCCTGACGGCACAGGAAGATTATTTGAGTTAATTTTAGATCGTCCATACGTTGGCGCAAGTCAACTGTTTGGACGTTGTGGGAACATGCGAGGCGTATTCGTCTCGGTTACGGACATATTACCTATCTTTGCCCATGGAATATTGGACATCGATACATGGTATATGCTTAATCAAGCTAAAGATCGGGCCAACACACCGTACATAAGTTACGCGTAAGTTTGGCTTAAAACTTCAGGATAATTGGAGGCTTCTAAACCCGTCGTTAGACAATGTGTAACTCTCGCATTATGGACAATTTCTGTCCTGATAGCGAAGTTAAAATTCTTATCTACTACATAGCGCTACCATAACCACAGGTTAAATGAAAAATGAAGCGGTTTAAATAATTTATGTAGTCTATGTCAAATCATATACGTTTCCTTTCGGGTTGCACTTCTGTTTTCCGGTCACCAGGCCCACTTGTGTTGGTTCTAACTTTGAGGTGAGATTTTTCATTTTCATTGCATCAATTGAAAGAGCCAATTGACGTGTATGAGTAATGTCCACCTGTGAAAGACGTTAAGTAAGGGCAATTGGTTTTATTTCATCAGTTTTCCAGCAGCATTTGGAATTTCAGATTGTCAATCATGTGTTAGTACTCGACATAACCACGGACGATTGATAAGATAAATGAAGATCACTTCGGAATGGCATCATCTCCTAAAAGGACTTTGCCATAAAATAAATAGGCGTCATTATATGCTTCCATATATTCGGGATCCAAAAACATTGCGATTGGAGTATACTCCGCTTTGATTGGCATTGAAAATTTAGATACGGTGGCAGCCCAATCGTTGAACATCAAGCTTTGGCCATTACCGTAAATGTTGCCACCCATAACAAACATCGAATTCCTTGTATCCAAGGATTCTTTGCTCGTCACTAAGGATTTTGAAGTGCTCGCACTGACTGAGGTATCCACCATAGCAGCTTGTGCCTGAACACTGAGCTCAGCTTGAATGTCTATACCACGTTTAGCTAGGTCCGCTTCCTGAGAGGCCTTAGTCTCCATGATCGTGAGCATTTTGCCGCCCAGGTAAACCTTGCTCGTAACGTGGGTGCCGAATATAGTAAATAGGCGCATCCAAGCGGAAACACCTAACTCCACGCAATCCTTGCCTGTAGGGTTGGCACGGTAATCCCTCGTTGTGCAACGCATCCCGCGAGCTTCTTCTTCGAAATTTTTCGAAAGCGTGCGTAGTGCCACATCGAAAGCCGCTGTGAAGTCCCATTTGATGGACATAGGTATACCAGCAACGTAATTGAAACAGTAGGAACGGCTGACGTAAGTCTTTACATCTTTCATTTCTTGTGATTTCTTGATGTTATTATAGTTCAGAGAAGCCGCGAATTTGAGAGCATCTCCGGGGAAGGAAGCCGAGACCTCTGCATCAACTGAAAGTACATCGGTAAAGGATTGCGACTTTCCTACATCGGAAATGGTTTCACCTTTATGGCAAGATATGTATGGTCGAACCCATGCGCCTTTGGGTTGGATGTATTCCCGACTGTTCGAAAATCCTTCACCGTCGTTTCGCCAATGCATCTGAATGATGCTGGCCCTATAACCTGGGTCGAGTAAAATGACGGTGTCGCCGAGTGGGTTCCCTTTCAACAAATCGTAACCTGCCCCAAGATATTCGAGGCCATTAGGAGATAGGACATCCCCTATATCTTCACCTGTTTCTTCTTCCTCCTCTTCAATAACGTCATCGTAATCATCAGTGTCATTTATCTCGTTGTAACCATTTTCGGATTCATATTCATTTTCCTGTGGACTATCATCCATTAGTCCATTATTATTTTCTTCGTAGGCATTGAATTCGTTGGACTTATCATCGACATTGTTGTCACCGCCGTCATAGTTTTCATTGAAAAGCATATTACTATTTAAATCTTCGGAATCTTCATACGAATCATCGTCACCTGTGGTACTATGATAGTCGTCGTCGTTATATCTTGGTGAATCATCAGGATCGTCAGCATCATCACCTTCTGTCATATATGCATCTGGTGAGTCGTTTTGACGAAGGTGATCATTTCCGTCATCATCCATCAATTCGTCCAATGTATCATGTTCTATGGCATCTTCGTACTTTTTTCTTGTTTTTTCGGTGGGTATAGGCCTTTTAGGTTTCATATAGTTGTAGGTTGGTTTTCTGCTGGCTTGCATCTGTAAAAAATTGCTGTACTTTGAGTCATCGACCTTCTCGCAGTTAGCAACATTCGTGTAGCCAGGATTCATAACTGATTTTCCGAAATAATCTTGTTGAAGCGCTTCCCTGGAATTAGTATTCTTTTCCTTACCATCCTGATGGTGCACGTTGTTTTCTGCTAAGATGCGACCTTGTATTTTGTTGAACCCTAGTGTTACCTGAACAACTTTTAACAATGCGAATATCACATCTATGACATACCGTTGACTGTGGATCTTTTTGCGTTATCCATCTCTCTTGACTGTGAGGAGAAGTATGGTCCTACATCATTGTCCATGTCATCCCCTTCATCATCGTCGCTGGAACCATCGGTGTCATGAGAAAATACCGAATCCATCGGATCAATGGGCCCTGTTTTGTTACTTGTGTTGTTAGTTTCCGTGTTTTGTTCCGACTCCATCGCTTCAAGTGCCTTTTCGATATCATCATCATCGAGTCTGCTCTCTACGTCACGGTTAGTGAATTTCACTGGGTATCCCTTAACTACATTTGGAGTTCTCAATGTCATTCTGCTCCGCGGTGGGCTTCTAGCAGGTCTTGCGCTTACAGGCGCCACACCATCATCTTCGTCAAAATGTCTAGTCAATTGCTTTAACAGTTCGCGACTCGTCTCTTCATCTGCATCGAGAATCCCATTACCGTAGGAGTTTCGTTCAGTTAGACGACGTTTGATCACCGGCTTTTCTTCAGCATCCACAACATTATCAGTGTCGTCATTATCCTCCCTGGGAAGTGTCTGCCTTGCATATGCTTTGGATTCTCCCGACTTCTGTAAATCAGATCCATTATTCTGTGGTTTTCGAATATCACGATTGTTTTGAGTCTTTGGTTGGACCCTCCGACGGTTGCCACTACCATTTACATTTCGCCTCCTGCGTTGTCTAGGACGATGGCGGTTCCCGCGATTCGTACCGGTCTGTAAGAGGCGTATAGGTTTTTGGGAAGTGGTGGTTCTAATGTGAGGATTAGATACCCTATTTGACGATAAAGGTGCCCTACTATTTGGCCTAACCGGAATTTTGCCAGTATTTCGTCGGGCAGGTCTATTATACTGCGGACGGAAGCCCTTGTCCGATTTATAAGGCACGTTGACATCTTGACTAAATGAAAAGCTGTTTACCTGTTGTTGTATGTAGCTACTTCCATTATCATCATACCCAACTATAGTAATATCAGACTCCTCTAAGGGTATAACACTCTCAGTTTCCATTGAGCACTCCGTTACGTTACCGTCCAAATCACTTTCCTTTTTTTCTTCTTCGTCACCTTCCATGGATGATGGAGTCTCAACATTGGGTTCTTGTTCTGGAATGGCATTCTTGTCATCAATAGGGGCAATATTCGATTTGTTTATATCGATCCTCAAATCCCCTTCTTCTGGAGTGTCGGCGATACGGTGGGTTGTGGAGGGTGATATGACCACCGTAATTAGGGTAAATACGGCAGTAAAAAGGAGTTTCATGATGTCTAGTTTTGTTTTTGTGTTTATATTTATTACTATTCCACACGACGTTATTCGTATGTAGACAGCATCCAGAAATTGATAATTCAAATAGACATTATGCACACAAAAATTTGTAATATGGATTTCGAAGAATATATTATAATGAATGAACCGTAGGAGTCGCTCTGAAACTGAACTCTTGCACCCATACTATGTGCAGACTCTGGACACTGTTGATTTGGCTCTTTTTATGGTTCTTTTTGGACATTTTATTCATCAAGGGAGCTCCACACGAGACAACACACTCGCGAGGCTTCCCTTATATCCTTATATGGTTGATTTCTGCGAAACACATGGCGTACCATGTCGGCGCCTTTAGGTGTCCATCATCTTACCAATTGATGAAGTACCTTTTAAAATCAAATCAACGCGCCCAAGCACACACTTATACTGGTATTCCAACCCATGTCAAAAGCAAACTTGGTCGAAGACTAGACATTGATCCGGCCAACCCCGTAGGTCAGACAGCTGAAATAATTAAAGACTTCTTTAAGAATAACTATAATGAACACCTGAATACAGGCCCACCATTCTCATATATCTCATTTGATTCGCAACCTGTAACTATTAGAGATAATTTCGATGAGCTGCAGGTGCCGCTGAACCACGTCAGCCGGGAACCGTGTGATAATTTCTACGTTTCTGATGAATATGTCGGGAATTTCGCTAGACAGAAGGCTGATTTACACCCAAAAATTATAGCCGATGTGAAAGAAGGTCGATATACAAATGGTGTAATAAATCGCATGGCAAATGAATTAGGCCACTCAAAACACAGGGTACTCCCGACCCATAGCACTTCACATCTGCCCGAAATACTGCGTAATGGATTGAGACGGGCTATATATTCAGGTAATTGTTATATAAGTTGAATCTAAATGTGAATTGTAGGTCAGGTATTTCGCAGGGATGCCATTGATTCTGAGCACTACCCGGTGTTTCATCAAATGGATGGCATCATGCTGTTTACGCGTGGTGAATTGGAGGAATTTGGTGAGACATACAGTGATTTATCTGGCAATCCAACTGATGAAGATCTGATAATCCATCATTTGAAGGTTACATTGGAAAAACTGCTGGCACACCTTTTTAGCAGGGTGGTAGACACAGATGGCGACAGCCATATTTCAGTGGCAACGACTAATGATAGTTCGAGCAAAGCCAAGAGTGGTAGTGCTAATAATTCATCGAAAGCGAGTAGCGACTACAAGGAATTAGTCAAACAACCATTGAAGGAATGGTTACAATGGGATAGCGATACTTCGTTCCCTTTCACTGACCCCTCATTTGAAATAAATGTGAAACTTAACGGAGAATGGGTGGAGATTCTAGGCTGCGGAAAGTTGAAAGATGTTATCATAGACAACATCATACGGAGCAGTGGTAGTATGGAGAGCTCCAGTGGCGAGGACACAGATATTGTTGGAGGATGGGCCTTCGGAATAGGTCTTGAACGTTTGGCCATGGTTCTCTGCCGTATAACAGATATACGACAGTTCTGGGAAGAGGACGAACGGTTCTTGCGTCAGTATCGATGGTCCATTGGTTCGGGTAAATTGCCGGTTTTCAAACCTTATAGTCGCAATCCTCCAATATCAAGAGATATATCTTTCTACATCGATGGTTCAGCTATGGATAAACGAAAGTTCGACGAATCTGAATTCAGATATATCTTTGACGAGCTCTCCCGCGATTATGTGGAGGACGTAGCAGAAATATCGCAATATATACATCCCGAAACAGGGCGCAAAAGCGTATGCTACCGTATAACTTACCGTGCCATGGGTGAGAACCTAACCAACGCATTTGTCAACAAGATTCATCAGCTTGCGCTTGATCGTATCGTTAACACGTTCAACATAGAGTTGAGATAGTTGTACATTATCTAGTTTGACTAATTGTAAGCACATAACTCTAAAATTTGAAATTTGATATATATGTACAAATGTATTTATTGTAGGTTCCAAGGTACGTGGCATCCTAGGAATATCCACGTGGAGAAAACACCGCCTACTAGCGGAAATACCTTGACATAAACCACATTGACACATCTCTCGACATCAGGGACCAGTAGCTTCTTGCATCGTTTGCTACAGTCTAGCAGATGACGAATCTCATTGATATCACTCGTCGAGAAGTGTATTGGTACTCCAATGAAGGTGTGGTTTGGTGGTATAGGTAGATGCCGCCTCCAAGCAAACTGACGTGCTTCCATATTGTAATACCAGTTCCATTTTGAAATTTGTTTGCTCTCATGTATTCGGAAGTCGTTTGGTATTGTAAAACGGTGTTCCATATATTGAGGCGTAAATTTACGCTCGTTAACCACAGATTGCATGTCTGCCATAAACTGTGGTAGAGTGTGGGCCTCAGGTACATCATTCGATCTGAAGCGGTTCAATAGGTTTCCGAGCAGGTTACGTCTGGGTTTCGCGATTCTTTTGCCTTGCCTTTGTCCGGAAGCAGCCGGTAGTCGGATACCTCTGGGCTGTTGTCGGTTATTGTTTGCAGCCGGGGCCTTGAGATGGACAGCCGATGTGATGCACTGCTTGTAGTCTGAAAGTGGATGGTTCCATGGTAATGGCCCTATCACATCACCGAACGCTGACAAGGGAGTAGGAACATCAGCATCACCTTCAGACTTTGGAGATGATACTGCCTCTACCTCATATCGGTAGTCAGATAGCTCCTCCACATTACTAGTTACAAGATGTTCTGAAGCATTTGACAAAACTCTCATAATTTCCAGTTGAGGAACATTAATCTTTACCGACGACTTTCGTAATCGAAAACCTGCGTGCGATATGGTAGCATACCAGCTATACCGTGGAACAGGAGCACTTACAGCCGTGTTAAGATTACCTTCAGGCATAGCATTATGCCTAGGGGCAGACTTAAGTATAGCTTTCATATTAGAAGCGAGTCCTAGCCCCCATGTTCTCTTAGGACGAGATTGTGTTTGAGGTGGCAGATTGCGACGGTTCCCTTCCTCTGTTCTCTGAGTTACATGGGCAACTGAAGGATCAAACACCAAACTGTCGTCCGTTGATGCGGCGGTTTCGTCGGAGTCATACTCGTCATCGTCCTTATCCTTTATGCACTCAGCGAGTTGATTAGCAGTCTCCATGACACTACGCATCTGGCGCAATTTGTCATCGTCAGCCGTCATATGGCCATTTACAGTAATCGGTAGTGAGACTTTTGGAGCCGATTCAGCAGCATTTTCGCCTACAGTTTTCTTAGCTCTTTCCTTACCGGCAGTATTACTAGCTCGGATCTTGCTGGATCGTTTCGTACTCCATCCTAGTAGATGAGGCGGCATGCCAGGATCGAACTGACCATCAAGACGTTGCCGGAATTCTAATAGGTCAATAAGAGAGTCTAAGCGTTCGTCCATCTGTTGGTCACGTGCAATATTGGCTACTCGTCCTTTCTGTGCGTACATGAGCTCTATCATCTCTATGATATCTGTCAATATTTCGCGAGATGTGGCAACGCAAACCGCTTGTGGTGCCGGCGCAGTAATTTGTACATCTGGCATTATGGGATCGCTGGGTGACACTTTTAGAAACGGTTTCCAGGCATCTTGGGAATCCAGATCATATGTGATGCAGCTAGGGTGTTGTGATTGCATATTGCCCCAAACCTGCTTATCATTGAAAACAACCTCAAGAGTGGAATATGGTAAATAGACTAGCGTCTCTCCCGGAACCAGTAGATATGACTTCGGATCACACGTGCTCCGCCTACGAGCAGCCTTGTCTAACTGACGATTGTCTACAAGGAAGGCAGTTTGTTTCGGTAGCGAGGAGTTAGCATCTGTGATAAATTCGTTGCCGCTGAATATTTTACGAAGGTCAACTTTAACGTCCGCTACATAGTCATTGCCATAAAGCTCATAATCCATAAGCCTTTTTCGTGGTCGTTGTAACCCCGGGTGTATGTAAGTCTTGTTATTCGGTTTTTGCTCTGGAGCCTGTTGCGTTTCCTGAATAGGCGCGTAATTACCACTAGCCTTAACGATATTTTCGTGCTGCGATACATCCTCCTTCACATGCGTCCTCCATCGTCTGGGAAGGTGCCACATACGCTTGTTGGCAGTTTCCCAAAATGTTACTGTACCATCGGCATGACGTGTCATTACCCAGCAATGTTCCCTATAACCATTTTCCAGCGTGCCCTTGCAAACATAGGCGTCGTATCCAAGGCCCAAGAGGCAGCTACACAGCAATAGTGCTCGGTCATGAAGGCCACCTTTTCGTGTAAGCACGAACCTCGAGGGCATCTGCCATGACTCTATAAGAATACGTCCTCCAATTGATGCCATACCATCATCTTTGTAAGTGAAGTTCGATATCCAATGCATCAACTCTCCTGGAGGTGATAGTTGTATGTATACTTGGATGGGTTTGACGAAATAACAGAGTGGCATTAAATCCGATTGCATATTTTCATTCACATTCGCGGCACACTTAGTTACACAAGTAAACCTACGGCGTGGAATAGCGCCCGGAAACCGGTCGCAATATGCTGTCTGCCACGCATCAAAATCTTTTGTCCAACGTCTACTTAGGTCACGATAGATGTCTGTACGTATATGTTTCTTCGGCTCGTCTGGTATGTACAGGTCGTTAGGCATTGGCGGAAGAATATACATTTCTACAGATACCGTTGGTTTTCTACCTCGGTGCGCCACTGTTGAACCTGTCAATGGTAGTGTTGCCTCGTATAGCCTTGTCATGTGACGTCGATAAGGTGCACTGGAGGCTGTATCACCAGTGTATGTTAATGTCGGCTCTTCCTCGAACTCATCTTCATCATCCATTTCGGCTTCATATGAACCTGCACTGAAAATCCCATCTACGAGACTACGTCGTTGTAGCACACCTTGCGTATACAACTTAGATAAAGGTACCTCTACAGATCCCAGGAACTCGCTGGAAGCATCGTCATGGTCCCACACTTCTACCATTACAGGACCCTTGGATGACATATCTACAGGTAGACTGTGACGTATCAACGCGGGATCTGTAAGCTCTCTGTTGTCTACAAGATGGATTGGGAAGTACATGTTTTGATTGTATATTGGCGATACCGTAGATTCCACAACACCAGTACAGTTCACAATACCGTCCCATTTTACCTTGACCATGGGGTCTGAAGTATTCGAATCGGTATTAGATGCTGGTAGACTAGAACATCTAATAACTCGTACCACTAGATAGTGACAACGGTGGTCGAGCTGTGTTATTAGGGCAGAACCTGTAATCGGTTGTGCTGGCCTTGATTTTAGATCTTCAAAAAAGTTGACAGTACAACTCTTGATACAGCATCTAATGTTACCTTGGATTGTACCACTGAACATATTTCTGGTACCCAAGGTCAACTTTTTGACCACACCACGTACCAGCGGCAATTCCTGTACCGACTTCAACGATAACACGCAAGTACCAAGTAAAGCGGGAGGACGGCTTATGAACCTACTTCGGTGAACACAGTAAACCTTTGCTGTGAATGACGCATATCTCAACTGACGCAGTGTACCTTGGAAACGGAAAGTGCCTGGTGCTGACCAATATGCCGATGTTGCTGCGCCTGTAGTGCGGCTCTGCCAAGCACTACCCATAGCGGAAGGTACCGATATCTTCAGTGTCTTGGGCAGCTCCTTGACAGCATCAGGCAGTTCCGGTGACATTGTGAACCACCAATTTTCAAAGACAAAAAAGAAATCGAACACCTCCTCGAGCAGGAGAAATACCGACAGTTTATGTACTGGGTATCTACGCTCGGAAGCTTCTGTTATCATTCCTGCGTCAGAAGGTAATCCACTAGTGCCTCCAGCGACTTGGTTGGGTATGTACATGTTGAGAGTGATGTTGATGTTTGAGTTTCGTTCTATGATATCTTGAAATGTTATCCTTTGCGATGCGTGAAGCGAATTTATGCGTAGTCGATGTGTTTTCCACAATTCGATTTCGATCACGTAGTGCTGCAACTGTCCATATGGCAAGGTCAACCTTCTTTTTTTCCAGATGAAAAGTGGTGTTTCCAACTTAAAATCTTCACCGGGTTTTAGAGTGAATCTCTGTGTGTACATTGTTAGATTACCTAGTCCGCTCGATCCTGAAATTCGTTCATTGACATGTTGTACTCTTATACAATAGAAGAAGCTTTGCTCTACATTCTCTAGGTTATGCATCGAAGATATATAGAAAACGCTATCCCATGCACGTGGATGTGCTTTCCAGTCACCAAATGTAGCTGGGGATTGCCGATTTGCAGCACGTACATGTTGTAGACGTCGCCAATCGGCGTCATACTCGGCAGCCTCTTCTACCTCCGATGCCTTGGAGCTCTCGCTTTCGGTATGACTTTCATAAGCTACCGATTCAGAGCTACTTGTGGACTCAGACTCTGTTGATGTTTGCGATACCTTAAGAAATTATGTTACAATGAGTGGTCATATACTTACCGGCTCAGGCCTGGATTTGCCAAATGCTGGCAGCAACCGATCGAATAGTGGCACTCTTTTAACATGTACATCATCATCACTGCTCACTTCAGATTCGGTGCTGCTGCGCTGCTCCCAGATTTCTATCTTTACCATTATGTCCTCCTAATATTGTAGGACGATGTAGAATGGTAGCGTATTTCAAGCGTCATTGACTGAACTATGATTTTTTTAGTTTCAACCAATTTTACTATCCATATTATACGGATCTTGCCGTGAGATATGGCATTATTAAGATGAAAAGTCGATACACATCGTCTGAGTAGATGCGTACACACCTAGCTCTAATTGGATGGATCGCTTACACATATAAAAAATAGCTGCACCATATGTATTATATGATATAAAAGAATAGTTTGTTGC